CTCATGACCTCGCACTTGCCAGGCAGGCGTTTATGCCGTTGAGCTAAAAGACTTTAAAGTGGCAGGATGACTAGCAGTTACGTCTAATTAAGAATGGCTTAGATAGGTAGTGGTGAACTTACGGCACCCGTGCCGCAGCACGTGGTTCGTTACCAATGAAAGCTGTAACAGGTTTGCCATTCCTGGCTTAGGCAGAAGCAGGTGCAGATTTGAGACTACATGTTTGCTGAATGAATGGTAGAACATGGTCCTGCCCTTGAATTCTGTTTAGGACTATCCTTATATACAGGTTCACAAGAAAGTCACTCTCATTCTGACGGCCCCAGTGATGTGGGACTGAGTTGAACAGATGGAAGCCACATGAAAATACATGTATCCTAGCTGGGCACAGAGATGCGCGCCTGTAAACCCAGCACTCTAGGAGGTGATGGAGGAGAATTGCAAATTCCGGTCCATACTGGGCAACTCATCTTGTCTCAAAAATAAAAACTGGGCTGGGGGAACAATCCCAGTATCACACACACACACGCACACACAGATGCACAAATATATATACTCTGAATATGAGGACCTCCCATCTATGAACTAGTACTGTAACTGTAGGACTTAAAGTACAACTGAAAGTCTCCCAAGTAAATTTTCACTAAGAAAAAAGAAAGTCATGTTAACTACAACTAATCCATCTAATGTAAAGTAACCATTAGTGCCTCTGGAAGGGCTGCCTTGTATTTCAGTACTGACAGCATTAATGTGAGGAAAAATGCAAAGGAGCCCCCAATCTAGTCGTGGGTGCCCAGCCATCACAGCTGGACAAACAGAATCTGCTCACCTTCCAGTAACGGCAGACATTACAGTCTGGCCCTGCAATGCCCCACAAAGGCACTAGGGGGAGGCACTGCAGACTAAGCCATAGAGCCCAGCTGGAGGCGCAGCTCACAGAGGGCAAGCCCTCCAACGGTGTATTGGAAGCCTGGCCCTTTTGCTTTCCTTTCTGCTTCGTGGCTGCCACAGAGTGACACTCAGCTCTATCTCATGCTCCCATCACGATATTCTGCTCTAGCCCAGGCCTAGGAAAATGTAGTCAAGAAACCATGGACTGGACCCTCGGAACTATGCGCTAAAGTAAAGCTGTCCTCTTCAAGGATGACGTTCTCCGGTATTCGTCACAGCAATGAAAGCTGTCTGACGCAATAGGGTACAAGATTTCTATTCTGTCAGCTCCACAGTAGCATGTTCTAGATCTCTGAATTTTAACCACAGGAATCTTCCATATGCGTGAAAGCAGCTGTTTCCTGCTGTCAAAAGTCCAGATATATTCAAATATCTCAGACCTTTCAGCTGCTCTAGAAGCTCCTCCAAGTACTGAATCCTTTACTTCAGAAGAAAAAAACAAAACCCCAAATCCCCTAACACCATCACACTATGACAGATTACTCCAATGACCAGCGTCTAGGAAATCATTACTGAAAAAGAACTCTAATGTTAATTGTCTAACTCATGGCCTATTTTCTAAAACTATTTTTAAAAGCATGAATCACTCTGAATTGAATGAAACAGGGAAGATTTGATCAGAAAGAAATGTCAAAGTAGGTTAAGGCTTCCTAATAGCACTCCACTGGGAAAGGAAATGTGCCCTCTTCAATGTGCTGCTTAATTTAAGCCATCAATAACTACTTGCTTAACTAATTTGCAGTAATACCCTCGGGTGAAGCTAAAACTTTATAGCTTCTATTCAAATTGCCACCTTGGAACACCTGTTCATTTGTCACGTTACTCTTCTCCATGTCAGGGATCATGCTTGAAAACACTGCTCCTTCAGCAGGTCCTAAGCAGCTGGGGTGGAACACATCCCCTGGGCACGTGGGTGTGCTTTCTCTGCTTCTGACAGCAGAATGCTCTAATGTTTTATGGTAGAACCCCATACGCCTGAGTCTACATTCTCAAACGACAAGCTGTAAGTCTTATGGCCCAAGTCTTTATTTCCTCATTTTTGCAACTCAAAGGCTACAAATGCTATTAAATTGTCACAGCAACATGAATCCTCCAGGGGGGAAAAATACTTTAAGGGCTGGTTTAGATTTGGAGTGTTATTACAGGAAGCACTTATGTGTTAGGCTTAAAATATGTATGGGGAGAAAACAGAGAATTTTGCAATAGAAGTATAAAGTTCTTAAATCCAGGAGATTCACACCAGTCAAGTTCCTTCCACTTTGGCCTAACTGTCCTTGCTTCTAGGAGGAGGGAGAAAGCTGGAGACAGAGAAGGGTATTGTTGACAGTAAGAGCCGAGGCAACTCATTTGGTCTACTGCTGCCCCATCTGCATGATCAGTTGTACAGTATAATTTAGGGATTGATGAATTTGTAAATGGTTGGAGGGTTAATTTTTAAGGCTTTGCTATAGTGTCTCACCGCTAACTCTGCCAATGTGAAACTGTGAAATCGGCTACAACCATTAAATAGGCACGGTTATTTATAAGAACGTATGATTTGGCCTTTGGGCTGTTCTTTGCCAGTCACCAGTAATATCTACTTAATAAAAATAATATTTTCAAAGGCACTATAAAAATAAAATGAAGTACAATGAGAAAAGACTTAAAAGATAGCAAAAGACGAAAGTGAGTTCTCTAAGAGAAAAAATTGAGTATCAAGTGTTTTCTACATAAATAACCAAACCCAAAAACTAAATCTGAAATACATTTAGAAAGTTGTTTATCATGGAATTTAAGCCACAATCAGGAAACCTCAGGCATTAAGTGAATCTCAGCAGGGGCATCACCGGCAATGAGGAACGCAGTGGCAGCACCTCAGTACCGTCAATGTTGAGCATTTCAAACATGTCGCCAACACAACTGGCCAGCATCATCACAAGATGAAATACCAGCAAGCTCAGAAAAGGGAAGGAAACTGCTGATTCTCATGGTTTCTCTCAGAGACTATGATTTTTCTAAAATTCCAAAGCAAACTAGTAAGAGAATTCTGAGGACATACAGCTCTATGAGGTCTGATCAAAGGTAAAGTTGTTACTTAAATTTTGAAATGTTTTATTACAGGAAAGGATATGTTGGCCTTAACCCACCTCAAGATACTGCCCTCTCCTTTAGAACACACCTACAACATCATCCTGGCACCTCCAGGAGCAGCGTCCTCACTGAGCACACACAGCTGCCGTGCTGCACCTGTCACAACACCCACCTTTCACAGGCATCGTGAGGACAAGCAAGAAGCACAGGTGTCAGGTCCAGTGGATGCACAGGAGCCTGCCCCTCGCCTGGGTGGCACTTGGCATTGGTGGTGTTCAAGCTCACACCTCAAAAAGACACTTGCAGAAGGAGACTTCCAGAAGTGCTTCGGAAGAAAGTAGCAAGGCAGGAGGACAGAGGGAGCACTGCGGGGGGGGGGGGGGGGCGGATGGCGTGTGACTTTTACTATAATAAAAACTGTTCCATTTCCCATTTGCTGTGCATTCCAGAAACCCACTACACAGTCTCTCACCTGGACACAGAGTCGAGTGCGTTGCAGAGCATGTAACTCCAGCCTGAAGAAGGCGACAGGGCACACACCTCCCACGGACTGTGTTTCATCTGCACTGAAGCCTGGAGCCATGCTGCGCTGTCCAGCATGCTGACCTTGTGGCAGCCAGATTGTGTGCATGGTCAGCTTAGAGGCATAAACAACCTCCCGGCAGCTCAGTTCTGATTCTACGACCCAGTGATTTTGTTTCAAATCCATGAACAGTCCTTTGTGTTTTAGAGGTTTTGAATTTTTGAATCTTGGAAGCTGGGTGGAAACACAAAATAATACCAGATCTGCTGTTTGAAGGAACCCACGACGCTGACTACCTGAATGACACTGACCTGTGCTAGGGATGCTTCCAAGGGTAAATTCAGAGACGAGGTCAACTCATCCACTGGTGGCAGCACCCCAAGAGAAACACGTGCTCTGCAAGAGGACTCAGTTTCCTTCCAGAGCCCAGGAGCACAACGCCTGCTTCCACAGTGGGAGGAGTCAGTAGGGCACTGATTTTGAACCGAGGGCTTGGTCCCTTCGGGTTCTGACTGTGGGTGACCTCATACCCTTTAGGAATCCTGGCTCTCTCCAATACAAAGACAGTTCTTGTAGTTTGGGCAATAACAGCAACACTGTATTTTAAACAGCACTGGTTTCCATGGAGCTCTTTGAGAATTTATTTAAGCCCAGAACATTACTTTAGACCTGGCCACACTACAGAAACAAATAAGGAGCCCTATTAAACATAAAGATGTCCAGGGAGCATTGGATTAAGACATTCAGAGCTTCAAAGCATCAAAACATGGCATCCCTTCTCATACGTAATTCAAAAATAGAAGCCACACCAACAGGCGGAACACAGTGGAAGGAGTCCAGGCCAGATGAGACTTTTCTTACAACGCTTGAGTGCACTCTTCTGATTTTTTGCTCTCTCTTGATTTTGACTCTGCTGCTCTTCTAGACTCGGTGGGTGTGAGGCTGTGAGCCTCTTTGTCCAACTAAGGCAGCCTGAAGACTTGCAGTCTGAGCCCCAGGAGAAAAGACAGGAACCAAGAAACAGAGAAGATGAGAAGGGAGTGAGGGAAAGGAGAGCAAGAGACTGGGGAAAAGCACCCCAGACTGCCCTGCAGTGTAAGGAGGTTCTGCACGGCCACTGGGGAGGCTGCAAGCCAAAGTCGATGGTCAGGAGTTGTGTATCCCAGAACAGGTCCATGGGTGCGCAGGGACCGTGGGAAGCACCAGCTCAACGCCAGTGCAGCAACAGAATCCACGATGCGGCACAGGCCCCCTCTCTGCAGGCCTACACAGGGGTCTGTGCCACAGACTTTGATGTGTCAAACGGCTCCAGAATAAAATTTCCTTGAATAGCATCCTTTAAAGTTAGATAAGTATTACTCTAACATAGTACTACTATAGAATTAGAAGGAAAGGGAAAGATGAAAATTAAATGTAACTTGAGTGTTTAACATAAACTCACAAGTTTGGACATCTGTAAAAACAATGCTTCAAATGTTTTATTTCTCGCAGAATTTATATCCAAGTAATGGACTTCAAAAGCATTTTTTAAGACACAACAGACTGAGGGCCAGGGATTTAGCTTAGTGGCACAAGTGCCAGTCTGGCAAGCACAAGGTCATGAGTTTGATCCTGGTACCAAAAAAACAAAACAAAACAAAAAGCAAGAGATAACAACTCATAACATACAAGGGCCTCTCGATCAAACTGAAATACGACAGACCTTACTACCAACAGATTATTTCTTTTCCAGGGGATTAAATCAAATAAAAATATTACAAATATTAGAAATTCATTTCAAAGTCAACTAAGACAATGAGTTTACAATTTCTGTAATTTTTCTTAGTTCAATGTCCTGTACATCCATTTACAGAATATACTATCAGTGCAATATAATTTTTTAAATATTTAGGACACTGTAAATAGTTATGATTCGTAAGAAAATATAATCTATTTTAAATTCCTGATTAAGTTATTTTTAAAGGCACAAAACAATAGAACCTGCTATAAACTTTTTAAGATAGAAGTTTTATATATATTACTTTCAGTCACAGAAACTGAGAAAGATGAGTGGTCAAAAGGCAGGGACATCAGAAACCAGAGCTCCAGGGCTTAGGCACTGCCCTCTGCTCTGCTCTGCGACAGCGACAGCGACGCGGGGAGACCTGTAGTTTCACGGCCAGCCCTTAGGGCACTTGAGCAACGATAACAGACCCACCGTGGCACATTAACACAAACAAAGCAGTCCGGTTTCTCTGCATCTCCCTTTTACCACTGAGTCAGTAATTTGAAATAAACTCCACGTTCAACAGCAGCTGTAAATCTGCAGACCCACCCAAATGAAATACTTCTAAAATGTTTTTTAAGTTTGAAGAACGCGTCTCTGAGGAAAGATGCAGAAAGGATGGAAATATTTTGTCTTGCACTGATGCCCTTACACCTGCTCCTCAAAGCAAACATGTACATTCTTCCCAGTATTGCTATGTAACCCTGTGCTTTATATATAAAACAGTGGAAAGAGTTCACTCTCCAGTATTTAAAAAACATTTAGTACTAGAATCAAATGTGAATTTATGATACTCTGAAAAGTCTTTTAACTTCCAAAAAACAACTTCTGGAAATATAAAAACGTTGCATGTGAGATACTTCAGAGTCCCCAAAGCTTACAGTACAGCATTTTCATTTACCAGTGAATTGCAATTGTGCCCTATGAACCTGTCTTCAACAGCTTGTGAACGGCTCTCAGAATGTTGGGCTTGTCACATGACAGATCACTGAGTGCCACTGCTTCAAGGTGTGAATGCTCACGTTCCTTTTTCATAGTGCGAGGAAGAAAAATAAGAAGCAAAGCAACACCAGTGCTCTTGGGAGAAAAACATGCTTTTGTGAGAAGAAAGAAAATACATGTCATTTCTTCCTTTGGAGGCTTTTCTTCAGTTACTTGGTTTACCAAACATTTTCTCTGACTGAGTTACTGAAAAATTACCTTTAAACAAAATGTTGACGTGTCCAGCATTTGTCTGGCTAAAACCTTTCAGAGTGCACTGGGAACTGAAAACTCATTCTTTAACAAAGACTTGAAAACTAAACCGGCTGCCTGTGCTTCGTGTGTTAATGAAAATCTCATTCCAAGTCTGAAGTAGTATTTCTTCAAGGGTCTGACCCACTAGCCGTCTATAGGTGGACCAATATATGCATGATTACAAAATTACAGGCAAAAATAAGAGCTGGGAAGGGGAATCCAACACTAATGTCTCTAAAATAATAAAACTAAAGAGTTGCCTGGCAACTTCTCTCCAGCACGACACAGAAGGTGACTCTTCCCTGCACCAGCTCGCTGGGACCTGTGACTAGGACCGCACTTGGGAGCTGAGAAGTTTCAGTGACGGCTGCTTCATCAGCTTCTGCTGCTGTCTCCTCGACTGCGCATCCTCAATGACGTGACAGGCTCTCTGCGAAACAAAACCTGCCTCAGGAACTGGACAGGCGCACTCAGGCTCACCGGCTGATGCAGGAAGGACGGAGCCAGCTGGAGCGCTCAGCCCAGTCCTGCAGGGAAGGATGTGGATGCCGTCTGCACAGGCAATGCAGACACAATCTCTGAATGCCAGGGAGGCCACAGTATGTTAGTTTAAATGTGTCTGTCTCAAAGTTGTAACTAGAAGAGCTTTAGGGGGACAAAATGGGTATTAGTTATAACAGGGTTTTAAAAAACCCTTTCAACTGAAAACCTCAAAGGGGCATTATTTATTTTATTTCTGAAACACTGAAGTGAACCCTGGGCCTTGCGTGTGCTGGCCAGTGCTCCAGCCCTGAGCTACGGCCAATGCCATTTTTAACTTCTGAGATGGGCATTCACTGAGTCCCTCAGGCTGCTCTGAAACCTGCAGTCTTCTTGTCCCAGTCTCCCGAGGGGGTGGGACAGCTGGTGTGCACCACCGCACCCAGCGAGGGCATCTTTCAAACGCTTTACCTGTGCTGTGGCATTATCCTTCAGGCAAACTTTCTGAACACAGCCTGGACTGGCACCATCTTTTTTCTGGAATAGACCTTGCTCCTGTTTCAAAAGGACAATGGCAAGAAAGATTTTTCTTTAGAAGAAAAAAAATCACTACGTTTAATTGGATGCTTAAATATCATCTGTATATCATAACCAGCAGACACCTGCATCTACATATTCAAGTATGATACGAAGTAAATCAGCTCAGTACAAGGAGAGTGAGGCTGTGTGTGAGTTGTTAGAATGTATAAAACCGGAGGAATGTACACCTACCTGTATAAAACAAGGCTTTCTGCAGGCTATGATACACAGCCTGCAGAAACAGCACTTGCAAACTCATCACGTCTAACAAATCAAAAAGCCCTTCCTTCACTTCCTGGCGATAGACACTATTCTCATGTAACATGAAGTACATGGAATCAAGTCCTACCACTGATGTGGAAGAACAGTAATAAATGAAAAAACTGCAAAATACATGCATGGTGACACGGTGTGTCCGAGCCTGAAAATTGCGTCAGACTCCAGGGTACCCTTAGGCTGCGCACCTACAAGGAGGAGATGCTGAAATCAAAGGGGCAGAAGACATGGGGACCCTTTCAATCTGCAATTTCCATGGAAAAAAGTAAACACAAAGGACAATACTTTCATCTCTATCACACTTCCTGGTGAGAGGTTTTCAGAGTTTCAGTAACGGGAATAATAACACCATTAATACAAAGGTAAGTACAGAAACTATCATACTGGAATTATAAGTTTTAGGGTTTTTAAGGGATAAAAATGTATTTATAACACATACAGTAACATGTTTCAAAGTTAAGTGAGCTATGAACTAAACAAAACATGAGGTATGTTTCTTACTAATTACATACTATGTAATTACAAGTTCCTTCATAGAAAATGAGGACAGGAAAGACATGGAAGTACTGTCATATACTTCAATTATATTAGCATTTAGAAATGCCAAACGTTACAAAACATGGTTATTTTAGACATCTTTATTTTTACTGAAGTATTTTAACAATCACCTAAAACCTAAAAGGTGTTATTTCCAGAAATGGCTAACATCATAGCAAAATAAGTATTTATATGGAGTTTAAAAAAAAAAAAAACTATGTTTTTAACTGTACCAAAAAAGGAAATACTAGTATGTCGGATTCCTCACTCTTTTGATAAACTAGTATTTCACTCTATGTAATCTGTCAAAACATACAGTATTTGGTCATGGTGGTAAAAATTTGACTACTATAGTACGTCTGCACATAGTAATAGTAATAATAACAAACATACTGCATAGCTAACTGCAGAACAGTCAGGAAATCCCAGTCTCCTCCCATTTAGTGAAGGGAAAATTCACATTTGCTTACCTTCACTGAAATCTGAAGCACATTCTCATTCACAGTAGGAGGAAAAACAAAATCTTCAAATGGAAACTGCCAATCGAGATACATATGGGCGAGAAACTCCACTTCCTTGAGACACAGCACTCGCCTGCCTCACAAAAGAAAACAAAAACAAGAGGCCGGAGATTTAGTTCAGTGGCAGAAGCACCTGCCTGGTAAGCATGAGGTCGTGAGTTCAGTCCCCGGAACCAAAAAAAAGAAACAACAAAAACATACAGACACTGATGGGAGCAAGTGTTCTCTCACCTGGGACACTCAGCTGGATGGCAGCAGCAGCACCCATTTAGTAAGCAACAAAGTCCACTAAACGGTGTACGTTTTCCATATATTTTAAGATCTAACAATACAGACTTTCCAAAGCCCTTGCAGAATTCAGAGAAGTGTAACTTTATTTTTTAACTGACCACATTCCTGAGAGGGAAATCACTTGATGCACATAAAGAGTGGGTTATGAAAATATTTTACTTGGAAAATTATTAATTGCTCTTTACTGTCAGTCATTTATGCCTACTAGTCAAGAAAGAACACACAGGAAACATCCCAAACCACGAAAGTTACTTCCACTCTGGCCCTGCTAACAAACAGCAGATCTGGAAACTTAATACTAACATACCCTCTATCACAGAGGAAGAATCTCAATTTGCTCAACAGCATTAAGAAAAAAAAAAACCAGAATCTTTACAGGACATCCATATTGATCTCTCAGGCTGTGACTCACGACAATTACTGATATAACTATATTTACATTTAAGTTCCTGCTACAGAAGGCAAGTAAAGTGTAAGGACTGTTACTTCAACAAGTACGGAGGGTGGGAGAAAAACAAGGAAGACACATTTTCTATCTGAGTCAGGAGGGAAGTAAACACATCAGTAAACAGGACTATGGTGACAGAAGGTAGGAAAGCCCTCGGGCTGTGGGAGAGGGACAGATCGCACTGGCACAGGCAACATCAGCACTGATGGAAGGAAGGAAATGAAGCCCAGAGGAAGAGCGCAGTGACAAATATAGGGTCCTAAGGAGGGAAGGCTTATTTGAGGAACACAGAGGTCTGCAGCTGGAGTACCAGATATATTCCGAGAAAATCAACTGAGTGCCAGCTCCTGAAGGGCCCTTTTTTCTTCTTTTTCCGTTTAAAGAAATATTGACTTTAATCTACAAGCAACAGGAAATGGCCTAAGTTTCTTATTTTTAGTCATGGCTCTAGCAGCAAAGAGAGGGCAGGAGGCCCAGGAAGTTCCTGTAGCAGTCCTCGCAGCAGACACCCATGCAGTCCCTCAGTGAGGGCAGGACGGCAGGGAGGGCGAGGAAAGGGCTGGACCCTGGGTCTGTAGAGGATAATGCTGGCCAATAGGGTACAGACAACAGGTGTGGTGCTGGCCCTGCATTTATCAGCAGAGAGGCAACTGAGATTTGGGGTTTGCTTGGGACTGTGCTGAGCAAGACAGGAAGCTCCGTGTCCATGCCTGAGCTTAGTCAGTGCCAGCAGTGCCCTCTAACACCTCCCACAAGTCCACACAGCATCTAGAAGGTGGACCCCTCATTCTGCCCTCAAACCCAGCTGAGAATCAGACGGCAGGCCAAGAGCTAGAGACGGGTATCAGGCAGCATGAGGCCAAACGAATTCACTAACTCAAGTATCTTCAAATTTGTTTTTCTCTTGGCCACCCAAGTAAGATGCCACTGCACTCCTACAACCATTTCCTTCTCTTTCCTGCTCCACCTTCACCAAAGTTCCAGTTCCAAAAGCAGAATCCTCCGATGGACATACTTTCTGAGGGGAATCTCAACTCCATATTTTTATTCTAAACCACTGTGTCCATTCATCCATCTGTCTCCTTGACTACTGAGTTATCTCTACCTTCAGATCACAAAGCTGTCAAACTCAACAGACAAAAGCACAAACTCACTATCTTTTTCATCAACTCATTATAAATAGTACCACCAGCTCTTGGCATGCAAAGCCCCAACCAAGTCATCTTGTGGTCCCCTCTCTCTCATAGCCCGACAGTCGCCCAGGCCTGACTCCACCCTCCCCATCATCTTCACCCTCCCTCTTCTCATCCACCTCATCCCTTCCTCTCCAGATTCAGAGTTGCTGTGGCACTCAGCAGAGTCCCCATGCTCTAATGTCCCGTCTGTACATTCACTAGGACCATCAACAGGACAGATTTAATTCCTAGGATTAGATCTTCTTAGAAGACACTGGTAACTTTAAGCAAAACCAGTTTACACAGTGGGTCTCAATCACATGGACTGCTAAAGTCAAAGTCAAATTCCAAGAAGTCAAAGCTAGCCCTCCCTGTTCCTGGACAGGCAGAACCATGACTGCCCGAATGGCCACACCTTTAAAGCTGGTGCACAGATATAATGCAACCTCAGCCAAAACACCAATGGCATTCCCTATACAGCCCGAGCAAACAGTCCTATTACTCACAGGGAATCAGAAGAACCAGAACAGAGCGGGGAGGCACCTGAACTGCGTACCTGTTTGTAACCATGAAGATTGTACTCCTGCTTCCGAGAACAGCACAGTGGTACTGGTAAGTTTCTCCTTCCAACTTTTTTATATGATTCTGAAAAAGAAGACAGACTCAAGATTTGGGAAATATATATATTTAAATAATATTTGTGTAATAGCTAATATATAATCATAGTGTTTGGGGCAAATTAGAATAAAAAGTACAACTCTACATTGGAACAGGATGCTAGAAAAAACTTCATAATACATGTATAAATTAACTTCCACTATTGTCTTAAAAGAAAGTTATGCATTAAATGCTTATCAAATGATCTTCTGATAAAATGAATTTTTTCTGTGATAACTTAGATATTTTAAAATATCGACCAGAAAGAACTACACTTTAAGGAACAAGCAAACGTAAGCTGACACAAAACCACTACACTGACATTTCAGTGTTTCTCAGACTGCTGTTTGCAGAGAAGACTCTGGGGATGCTCTATGAATACCTAATGTATCGCAACATTTTAAAAATATGGTTCTACAACATTTTTCACAGGATAGCTCGTATTTTTCGTCAGATTTTTTGATGGGGTTGGGTGAAAGACTCAACCACTGATTTATACAGAGGTCGACATTATACACACAAGAAAATTATAAGGTAATGGTTACTATTTTTGAATTTTTGGTTGTATAAGTTAAACACACTGAAAAGTATATTTGTATATAAAATTATATTTCTAATAAAAATTACAATGATAATATGAAAATGAAGATGTTCTAAGATCTCAAAATAGTTGCTAAGATTTATTTCTACAGAGAAATACCAAGCATAAAATAATTCAAATATAAATTACAGCACTTTAAAAGATTTATTTTTCTTTTAAACTATCTTAAAAGTATTGATTTGAATTAGTCAACACACATTAAAAAACAACAAATTTCTTATAATTAATAGCAGGAAAATATTATTAATGGCATTATCTACAATACATGAAGACCAGAGGATAATATATTTAAAAATACAGAATGTGAACATACTGAATAAGACCATAATATTTTATAACAAAGAATACAATATCAATATTATTACAGGAAAATATAATCAATATAATCGCAAGCAGAGAAAGCACACTTGTAGATATTGTTTTAATGCTTGAGTACACGTTATTAAAAGATGTTGGTCCCCAAGCGTCCCTTGATAATTACAAAGCCCACAGACAAAAATGGAGAAATCTCCAAGCCTGAGGCCTCAGCCTTGCAATGAACTTCGGGAAGGGAGGAGTGCAGCTTTCAGAGCCAGGCTCACCTGTTTCACAGCTCACCTCTGAGTTAGCTAAATACTTTTGTCAATTAGGCCTCAATTTCTTCAAAGAGAACATGGGAAAAGAATTAACAATTATGGGAATTTATTTTCACCTTGAAATTTAAATGCTAAAATGAAATTAACTTAGAGATGCAAGTATAAGACATAGTATCTACTCTTTATCTCGTATATATCTCATTAGTTGTCAGATTATTGCACTTCAACCTTGAATGCCTCTAACGTGTGATATCACCGGAACACACTGTGGCAGACCTTCTAGGTACTACTAAAAATTCTCTAGGCTCTGAGATTCAGAGGAAGATAATTACTGATGGAAGCAGGAGACCAACACCGCAGATAACATCGCCTCTCTCCTTTCTCAGGATGCAATGTGGAGTTAGTAACAGGATACGAAAGCCTTTTACCTGGTGCTTCATTTTTTAGTTAACTCTAAGCAAACAGCACAAGATATGAATAAACAAAATATATGCTGATGTCTATCATAGCATTATTACTGTTGTAAAATAATAGACAAACTTTAATACCATGAATTAAAAATAAAATACATGATGTAAGGTTACCTAAACAGATGCTAATGCAAGAATTTAAAATGCTAATGAAGCCTTTCTAAGAACATGGAAAATATAATTAAAAAGGAAAGGTAAGGGACCTCATTTTAAATCTTATATAATCTGGGCCAAAATTAATATTAAATGTAAAACTGACTACACACACACACACACACACACATATATTATACACACATATATACATATATATACACACACACATATGCAGTAAACAGTAATTATCCTAGAAGAATAGAGAAGAAGAACATAATGAAAATCTGGTATATGAAATTCTTAAAGCTGACTATTAAATGGGGATCAAAAGACCTAATAAATTATTGTAAGAGATGAAATGGTATCATTTTTATATGCTAGTACTCTTTGCTATTTACCTTTTGCTATATGTGGTCCTTTAAGGCCATGTTGATTTTAAAAATATCCAAAACTGTCTAAATAATCAATAAATATTTCTTACTCAAATATCTAAGCACAGTAAGATAGGTAAAGGGTGAAACAGTTTAAATTTCTCAGTATTTGTGCTTACCACCCTTGGGAAAAAATACTAAGTCCTCTCAGTAATATACATTGTATACCTTCTAGTAACCATAATAATAATTACAGTTTAAAGGACTGCTTGATAAAGAATTAATAAATCAGACAAGAAGATGACATCTAAATAAACTAATAAAGTTTCTTGAGGTTTTATGCTTATTAACATACATTTGTTCAAAAAAAATCACAAGTAAAAGGTTAATAACCTAAGGAGCTTTAAAAAAATTAAACAAGTAAACAAGAAAAATATCTTGAAGTATGAAAGTTCCCAAAATTTAATTCTCATTAAAACTGACACAGCCAAGAAAATTAAAAATCCCTTTTACTCAAGAATCTTAGGAAGGGTAACTATTACTGACAAGACAGCATCTCAAACCAGTTACTGTGCTTGACTCTCACAGAAAACTACAGTCATAATTTTGCCTTCCATCAATTACCCAGACATACCAGCAGTCTGCCAACTACTTTTAGTATTTGTATGTTTTGTTATACCTGGTCCCATAAGGGACAGAAATTGTGTGTGCCAGGGCAGCGGAGGGTATGCTGGGGGCTGCCCAGGGCCTGGCAGGCGCTAGGCAAGTGCTCCACCTGCAGGCTACCTCCTCCAGCCCAAGAGCAGCAGTCCTGCTACTCCTGCACTGGGTCCTCTTCAGATGCCAGTTGTTTCCAGCAAAGTGCTTCTTTTAAATGTGAATCAAAAGAGTAATTATCTTGATAACTGTAGTCTTATCTTGATAATTGAACAGCTGTTGTATGTTCATGGTTTCACTGTGCTCAAATAAGCAACACATTAGAAATCTAAATTTTACTTTAGTTTCAATTTTGGGCACAGCATAAAGCTGTGAGATAAGATGCTGCTAAAGCCAATTAAACATTTCAATCATTTATTTTAAAAAATTACACATAACTTCTCTTTCTGTTTGCACTAATTAAACCTAAAAATTACAAAGCACATATAACCAACAAGGAGACTGGATCTCTGAAAAGCATAAATGCAAGACTGAGCATGTATATAACATGAGATCAAAAAGGGAAAAAAAGAGGAAAGGGAAACAGAGTCTCAAACCTCATATGACAACTCTCACTTAGAGTCTAAAGACAGACTCAGAGCAACTGACTTTTACAAATGCCCTAATTCATCGTCCTTTGACTTGAGTAAACTTAGTAATTGGGGAACCAAAAGTCTATTTAGTAATTTGGGAAATAATATTCCACCATCATGACTTGCAAACATAAGAATACATCCGAATCTGTGTCTCTTACATTGTTTTCTTCTGATCTGCTTTGTTCCGTTTTGTTATGTTTGGTTTTACCCTCTTTAAAATAAAATTAAAACAAAAAAAGAATACATCCAATAGGCTGAATATAAAAACTACCCCTTTCTTTTCAACTTTACCTAAATGCACATAAACACTGTAAGATAAAATTTTCAAAATGATAGTAGAATCATCTGGTTTTGGACTGTCTTTCACCTACTAAACTGGAAGCAGCTGTTTCCCACAACCTCTCATCTTTTACACTGAGCGCTTACCAGCACTGTTTTACCAGATACACTATCACTTTTGTTTGTTATCAAATGCTACGGTCAAAAGCCCAAATGGAGAGGAGAGTTATAAAGCCAATCTCACTAGAGGTGGCTCTCAGTCTGACTCACACCCAGTCAGTACCACAGCTTGTGCTGATTAAGGATGAAATCAAGTAGTAGAATGGGAAACATTTACTCTTGTATTTCCAGTTCTTGCTGTGTAGGCAGAAAAAGAAAGAAAATAAAGTTAGAAGCACGCAAAAAGATAAAATGGAATCACATATAATACAAACCAAAGGCTAAGAATGATTCAGAGTCATTTATTTTAAAGTCAAGGAAAGAAAATATTAATAAGCTGTCTTTGCAGGAAAGCCAGTGACGGAAAAACAGCAATTTATTTATGTACGTATTATTTAAATATAATAAAGTTATAGTAAAAGATGGAAAACTTTAAAAGTTAACAGAATTGTAACCTTATATTACCTTTTTTTCTCTCCTCAGCTGTTTACCTGAATAAATCTAGAGTTATAAAGTAGTGCAAATGAACTAATTTGTGGGGGAGAAAAAGCAGTGAAATTCCAGTGATTAGCTACAAAGCAGGAAGCCAAAACTAACAATGTTCACTAAATGAGTACAGCCTGTGACTTCTTTTAACATTATCTTTCCTGCACCAAAAAGCTTTGCTACTGTGCAGAAAACCTCACCAAATATTTACATTTAACATACTATGCTAAAACAAAAAATAAATAATCTAAATTATTCTACAAACCGGCTCTCATCCTTCAATGAAGTTCATCAGTTAGGAACGTTAAGGGCCTGAAATCCTGGCTCTAGCAATCCTTAAAATTGAACTCTGCTTGTATCCTCAAAGAACAGAATTTACCTCGAACAAGTCATGGCCCTCTGACTCCTGCCTGTCGTAGGGACGAATGATGCCATCCTCCTGGATACGGCGAGGGGGGCGCAGGCTCGACACTTCCTCAGCTGACTCCGCTGCCCTACGCAAGGTAGCAGAAAATGTGCAATATGTGAGAATACTTCAAAATAATCCAAAGACACATGCTGACTAAATATACAAATATTTGATAAGCAAACAATGATAATTTTATGTAGCCCAAAATATAGCAGAAAATAGTAAGTCCAATTCTGAACCCTAAGCTTCTATCCTCTTCTTTTCTTGGTACCAGGGATTGAACTCACGACCTTGCACTTAGCAGGCAAGCGCCTGGGCCACTGAGCTAAATCCCCAACCCCATTCCACCGTCTTCCTAAACAAAGTCACAAATAATAAAAGCAAAGACTACATCACCTACTCTTTGTTTTCCTGGTGCCCAGCACAGTGTTTAGCATATGGCAAGACCAGTAACTGTTTGTTTTGTGGTAACTACATTTTAGTCATGGTGGCACACGCCTGTAATCCCAGCTACTCAGGAAGCTGCGTAGGATCACAAGTACTGAACCAACCTGGACCCATCTTAAAACAAAAAATAAAAAAGAGTTATGGGTACAGATCAGTAGTAGTATAATACTCCTGGGTACATTCATTCATATATATGACACAGAGACAGACAGCAACCAAGACTGGGGGAGGTGATGAAAAAGAGGGAAACTGAACAAATCTTTTCTGCTTCCTTTCTGGTGGCCCCTTACCTGTCAAGCTGTTGTAACTTCCAAGTGAACTCAGTCCCAGAGGCAGCAAGCACTCCACTCACTCCTGACAGCACTGCCCGAGTGGGCACACTCACCTCTGAATGCCCTGGAAGGCGCTGCTGGCCATGTCGACAATCCCGCCTGTCGGACGAGCCACAGCACCCACGAGCCCTTTTCCAATTCCTTTAAAGAATCCAGCAGCTCCCTCCTTTTTGGCACCTTCAGAGGAAAAAAGACAATAAGTATACAAAGATCCTTTAAAATAAGCAAGTTTGAACTCAACAGAAATGTGCACCAAACTCAGAAAGCTACAAGATACTGACTTTCTAAACAAGTTAAATTTAATCCTCACACAAGAACACTGGGTCCTCGAAGTGTGTGCTAAGTGAAAATTCTTGGGCCCCAACTCAGTCCTGCTGAACCAAACCCCAGAGTGGGTAACCAGCACTCCAGACAGCTGCAAAGCTCCAGAGCTGACTGGTCCTTTAGTCAGCAGAGGCAACTGCAAGGCCGGAGAACTGACTATACAATGTTCTTTTTTACAGCAATCATCAAGATTTTTCAAGCAATATACTTTTAGACATTAGAAGTTAACTAAAGAAGTTAGATCACAACTTTTCAAACTCTGTACCACACCTCAAAAGAAACCCTGTGTCGATTACCAAGCCTCACGACTGCCCCAAGTCTTCCCTAATCTGATCACCCAGTTCACTTCTTGCCCCCTGCTCACTCTCCTACAGACACTGCCTATTTCACCAGATTTGCCTGTTGTGGACATTTCCCATGAACAAAATTATTCAGTCAGTGTTCTAGTACCAGTGGCTTTCTCCACTTTATACCTGTTTTCATGGCTCATCCATCTTGTAGTACCTATTAGTATTTGATCTCTTTTCAAGTAGGACAATAATCCATCGTACGGATATGCCATATTTCAGCTACTCATACAACAGGGAAAGGGTATTTCGGCCCTCTAGGAGGATATTTGGGGTAAGATGCTGCTATCATAAAGTTTTTGTCTGAACCTCTCTTTGAACTCTCTTGGGTGCATACCTTACACCAAAAGAGCCACACGAGAGCCCAGCTAAGTCTCTGGTTGCACAGTCAGATTCTTCCACACAGGAACTGCATGACCTTCCATTCCTATCAGCAATGTATGAGGGCTTCGATTTCCCCACACTGTGCTGAGTTCAGCCTTCTTAACAGGTGTGACGTGGTATGTGACTGTGATTTGTGCATGATGACTAATTAGATGTTCTTATGAGCCGTCTTTACAAGTGATCAGAAAACCTGGTGAAAGTTTACATTTAAAAAAAAAAGTATCTGCACTGTCAATGTTTGGGAGGCTAGTCACCATTTATGCTTTGATTCTGTGATGGTAATTTTTTTTAATTTGGTATTGTTCTACCTTTTTCTGTTTTTCTATTTTAAGTTTCTTTTCTTTCTTTAAAAAAAAAGAGAACAATATGTAATATAACAACCATTGTTAAATTTCTTTCATTGTTTTGACACCCTATATTGTTACTGTTTGAGTTTGCTGTTGTTTATGCCTTTTGCTTTTTTTCCTCACTTTTCTTTTTTAAATATATAAATAAAACAGTGAAAGATACAATGTCAATTATCCTCCTCCCTCCTCCAAGCACACTCATCCCATCGCCCTGCCCCTCTCTGAAGCAGCTCTGAAGTCCTCTTTCACAAGTGTCTGTGGTTGTGCCGTCGCGGCTGCCTCAGTGTACTGAATCAATTCAAAGCACTTACCTTTAACTTTGGAGACCAGCACTCAGTGGCATGGTGCCAGACCCAGTAACAAAATGCATGAGGACCCACCCTCACCTTCCAACAAGATGCCTGCCCACTGGATGGCCCTCAGCAGCCACGTTCACCTGTACCGATACTAAGGACGGCTTCCAGAACTGCTTCAGAAGTGGCAAAAGCAATGGGGTAAGTGTGTTCAAATCGAAGGGGAGATTCTGAGGGGACTTAGTGTCAACATCTTGTATTATACTAATTTTCAAAAATTTAAATGTTCATCATGAATTTTAGTCATCTCTCTCTTTTTTTTTGTATCAGGAATTGAATCCAAGACCTCACGCTTGCCAGGCAGGTGCTTAGGCTGCTAAGTCCCTGGTCCTTTAGTCTCATCTCATACATCTGATTTGGAGAAATGTCCATTCATATCCTTGGTCCATTTAAACTGAGACTTGTAAGAGTGCTTTATATTCAGTCTTTCATCAAATAGATGTCTGTAAAATTCTGCTTCCAATCTGTGGACTGTCATTTCCCTTTCTTGATGGTGTCCTTTTGGCACAAAAATTTTAAATTCTAGTGCAGTATAATTTAACTACTTTTTCTTTTTTTTCATCTGTGCTTTTGGTGTCGCATCTAGAAAAGCTAAGCCACCCCAAAGTAACAGAGACCTGGCTCTGTGTTTTCTTTGAGTTCTGTAGCTTTGCTCTTATGTTTAGGTATTTAGCCTATTTGGAGTTCACTTTTACACAGTACAGGGTTAAGGGTCCAGTTTTACTCTGCTTCACGTGTGGATGTCCAGCCGTCTCAGCACCCCTGCCAAACTCAATCGGCCATAACTGGAAGATTTTATTTCTGAACTGTCAACTGTCAGTTATACGCCATTGATCTATACGTCTATTCTTACACAAGTATCACACTGTTTTTTTACTACAGCTCTATATATAACAAGTATTAAAATTGCGAAGTATAAGTCCTCCAAATTTGCTCTTTTTTCAAGACTGTTTCAGCAATTTTGGAACTCTTGAATTTACATATAAATTTTAGATTGTCAACTGTCACAAAAAATACCAACTGGGATTTTGATAGGGATTGCACTGAAGAATTCGTACCTTTTTAAATGAGACTATAAAAAAGATAACCACAGAAAAACCTCAAGTCAATTACTAGTGAGAGTCTCAAAAAATCTAGTTTGCTGATGGTTCTGATGAAAACAGCTTTCAAAGTCTGAATCATAATCTCCTACTTAATGTCTCTGCTTTCTGAGGAAGATATACTAAATAATTTAAGAATGTGAATCTAAAATTTAGTCAATGGTTTTCTCAAGTATCTTATAGCAACATCTAGCATGTTTATCAAGCACTGACACTTTACTTTTTACCGGGCAGAAATACTCTCAACCTACCTTCTACAGGCTTTGTTATTATTCCCGTCACTCCACCAAAAACTCCCTGAAAGAGAAATCAATCAGAAAGGTTCCTGGGAGAGAAGTTGCTTAATTTTAAATCAACCACTAGAGGTCTCTACAAACATACTAGAAACAAAAATTCAAAAAAAAAAAGACTAAAGACTCATGACTCACTTGATAATGTGAGCATGTGAGCACATTATTATTGTAAAGATATTAAGTCACAGAGCTTTTTAACTGAGTACATCCATGGAAGACAGAGCAGTAAGGCAGAGATAGAGCACCTAAACCTGTCTCTGTTACCTGTCAGCTGTACGAGCACAGGCGGTTGATTCAATCTCTCTGTGTAATCCTCCGTCTCACATCAATAAAAATTAGTTGAGTGAAATAATCTAATTATACATTTCAATGAGATTACTTTTTAATTTAATGGAACTGTAAAAAACAGAAAATAAAGAAAACACCCTGGCACAGCAAATAACCTGACAAATAGAGCATTTCACAGAATGTAAGAGACAGCTGTTAAAACTTACTGGCTCAAACACCAGTCGCAGCTTTTTGAAAATACTTCCAAGATTAAAAATACAGTTATACACTCTTAACAACTGTCAAAAACAGCAGTGTAGGCCTGGTGTGGTGATGCACGCCTGTAATTACAGCCCTTGGGAGCTTGAGGCAGGAGGACTGCTGCAAGTTCGAGGCCAGCCTGGGCTACAAAATGAGTTCAAGGCCAGCCCAAACTACATAGCAAGACCCTGTCTCAAGAAAAACAAAAGATACCTTTATCTGGGGACGACACAGCTCAGCATCAGCAGCACAAGTGCCTGCCTGGCAAGCACAAGACTGAGAGTTTGATTCTGGGTACCAAACCCCCCCCCCAAAACCAAAACTCAGCATTTGGATTGCACACTCCAAAATGTTCATATAAAAGTTGAAGGTTCTTGAAGAAGATTTACCCGCAGGAAGCCCTTTCCTCCTCTGGCCAGGCTATCTCCAAAATCTTTAGGCTGTCGGCCCATCTCTTCTCGTCTTCTTTGCTGATACTCCTTGTCCATTGTAATTGCTGCCAAACCTTTCCCAACGGAACCAGTGATTCGAGACACAACTCCGGCTGCACCACCTACCAAAAGCCAGAGGAGGAAGTCACATGGGTCCTATGGAAGCAATGTCACAATGCACAGCACGCACTGCTTCCAACTAACAAATCTGTCTCACACAAAAATGAAACGTTTTTTGCCAACTATCAAATATTTGAAGTACATTGATTCACCACAAAGACATATTTAAAAACTAACAGGCCAATATTAAATTATTTCCCATTTAAAAACACGAAAACATGTCTTTTAAAAGAGACTAAGTGATCCCACCTACTAAATATAATCATTTACTTCTCATAAACAACACATTTTATATTAATATAAAAGTATACAGATACATGTAAATTGGTGATACATACCTACTGTGTGCCCAAAGAGACTTCTCATTCCAATCACTAACCCCTCAGCAAACTCTTCAGGACCTTGGACAGCACCCTGGCCCAAAGGAAGTTTGCTACTTAGAATTAAGCCTTAAAATTCAGGGTTTTCATGAATATGATGAGTGTGTAAAGATCCATGAAGGCTAACAAGACAATTTTTATCCTATATTTCAAGTACTGATAGAATACCACTCTAATCAAAGGTATTTTCTACCACACAATCTCAGCAACTTCTGTAAGACAAAAAACCTGGACGTTAAATTAAAGTTTTAATGCTAAGTGGGCTAAGTGGGCTAAGTGGGCCATGCAGTACAAAGCTGCCTGCCTCTTCGGCAGCTGCTCCCAGGACCGCCTGAGTCCATATCTGCACATATTCAGCTTTCTGCTGCACTGCTAGCAGGCCGCCTGAGTGCATAGATGTTTCTGACTCTCTCACCCTCCCACTTATTCTCTCGGCTTCATCCTTCCAAACAACACTCTCAGCACACTGGGCTCCCACTCTTTGGAGAGCTGGACGAATGAGACAAAAGCATGACTGTGACAGCAGGCTGGCTCCTAATGTCCCACCAGTCCCTCCCACAGCGGTGCAACAGCATCAAAAGAATCTACAGTCTACCCGACACTGTAAACACCCTCGTAACTACACTAAATCTGGGACATGGGCACATTTCATTGTCCAGATAAGCACAAGTGCTTATTTAATTCACAAAATCAGGCTTTCAATGTCATTTCAAGTATTTTTAAATAAATAAATATCATTCAGTTCCTAGATACAATGAAAATACAAACTATTGTCATTAAAAATTTTATACCCACACTTGAACTTTTAAAAAAATCAATACCTGGAAGGGTTCGTAGAAGAAAGCTTCAACTCCTTCAGACAGACCTCTAATTAATCCAAATGGGTTTCCAAGCACATCTAAGCCCAACACAAGGACATACATCTGTTTTAAGAACTATGGAAGACAAAAGGTAAACTAAGTCCTTTGCAGCTGTTCAAAAAAAAGGGCATCATGATACAGTAGGGGATGGGTGTGAGAGATTACGCTTAGGTAAAAGGAGAGCAATGTGAAATCTCCACTCCCACATCCACTGACTGATATTTCATTGTGTATCAAGTGTCACACTTGTACGGCTTTCAAATTGAAACTAAGTTTGAGGTAGAGTCTGTCCTTTAGCAATTATGAAAACCATGACAAGTATCTACCAGCCTCCACCTTCTCATCTATGAAACGCAAAGCTACATCAACCTTGCATGGGTGAGTATACCTATTAAACAAATACATAATTCAGTAATGGTGGTTGTTATTTTTACCTTATCATCACTATTACTTTTTAAATTATGTGCAGAATAATTACAAACTAAAACAAAAAACAAGAAAAATGAAATCCTTATTTGAACATGTAATCACTGCAACATCTACACATCAGAAAGGAGAAAACCTTCTAGCACAAGACAGCAAGAGGAAACCACTTGTGGTCTCAGGACACAGCAATGCCACCTGAGCAGCTGGACACCTACAGAACCACAGGGTGATAGACGTCCAGGAAAGACACCAGACCACAGTTTCTCTTGCAATTCCATATGCTATGCTGACAGACAACAGCCCCTCAAGAACTCAAAAGTAATGACACCAAAATCACTACTCTTTCCCAAATGGTAACAACTGCAAAGGGAAAGAGGCACAGGGGGAAATTTTTGAAAAGTATATAATGGTGGCAGAACTAAAGAACAAATTAATCCTTTAAGAAGAACACTAAGTTTTGAGATTATAAATTGAGATAAATTATGTAAACATTACTACGTATTATACAATCACATACAAATGTTTTATTCTAGTATTTTATGAAGTATATTCCCTGAAAGCTACTCTAATAAGAAATTACCTGTTCACTGTAATGCCTAACAACACTCCACATGAGTTGATCTCTCTTGTAAAACTGGTATTGTATTTCAAAATAAGCGAGTCTAGGAGGAGAAAAAGGAAAATTTCAAAACACTAAAACTATATTCTGGGGGAAAAGGACTTAAAATTCACTAATAGCCTATTCTAGTCACAGTCAATTCTTTCATATTTAACTTTGCACTGATGTAATTTACAGCTGGTATCTTAATGTTATGGTAACAAAATTATGATAAAAATAGTGCATTTTCATGTAAGCTTACAATAAATATGTGACAGAGTACACAATTTTTAAAGTCAACCACCATCTCACCACTCTAGATTTTTTCGTTTCCTCATCGTTTCCATTTTTAATTCTTTTCTATGCAATTACAAAGCATTTACAATATTTTATGCGCCATCATTGTGGGTATCTGTTTTTATCTTCACTCACGTCCCATTAAATCACCTCGGGTACACAGCATTCCACTGCCACTCTGTGGGACAGCATCGGAATGACCAACTCCTCTCTGTCACCAAGAGCCCAGTTCTGGGTATAATTCATGCTGCCTCATATATTTTGAATATAACTCTAGCTGCTTTTCAAGATTATGTTTTGGACTAAATTCCCAAAACAGAATACTGAATGACAGACCACAAAAACAGACTCCATAGATGCAGAGCTTTAGTATGAGGACCACTTACATTTTGAAGTGGTGATAATTTACATCAATCTGCATGCACTTTTTTTTTTTTTTCAATCGGTACCCGGGATCGAACTCATGACCGCCTGCTTGCAAGGCAGGTGCTTATGCTGCTGAGCCCCTACATGCACTTTTGATAAATACTAAAACTAGACATTTCAACTATCAATCAGTCACCTTCACTTTCCTTTCTGTGAGGTACCTCTTACTGTCCAATGGCTGTGACACCAATGGAATTTCTAGGAATGGTTAATATTAACACTAAAAATCCTCTCTACATCTTATATCATTGTACTTTTCCAGCTTTTGTCTTCATCTTCCTCGGCTCTAATACGAAATATTTAATTTTTATGTGGTACAATCTATTTTGCATTTTCCACTGAAAAGCTGTAAGAAATTTTTCTTATAGCTTTTAAGCTTAGATTTTTTTTACTCACAGATCTAATAACAAATTTTTTTCAAGTCTTTCAGATTGAAAATTACACAGTATTTTATCCTTTGTTTTGTGAGACAGAAATAATTTGAAAAATTTTCTTCCAGCTGACTCCTTGTCCCAATACCACTATTGAATATTCAATGCCACAGAGAGTTACTGAATTCATACGTAACCAGCACACATAAATATCCTCATATTAAAGGTAACAAGATGTTGTTATTTCTGTACATTGCTGGGTGGTTACAATGAAATCTCACTTCATTGCTACAAATTTCTAAATACAGAAAATAATTAAATTTTTATTTTATATTCATATTACACAGATATGAGTATACTTTTTTTTTTTTGTCTTTTTCCTTTTTATCGGTACCAGGGATCGAACTCACGACTGCCTGCTTGCAAGACAGGCGCTTATGCCGCTGAGCTAAATCCCCAGCCCCAACATATGAGTAATAAAAGAAAATATGACTTCATCATCATTGTTATTAATAAAATAAGCACATCTTAAAGAACACCATCAAAAATGGATCAAATTCTTCACGTAGTAAGCATTATCAACCTCCTAGGCTAATACTACAGAAATAGAAAAATTAGTATCCAAACACCCAACCTTGGCATAAATAGCTTCCAGTGTACTGGAATAGAAGTCTTACTTGAAAATAAGGTCATCCACATCAGTCAGAGTGGCACCTATGCTTTTCAGAAGCAGGTTGACAGAATGAATCGCAATCATTTCCTGTTTGTCTGATTCTTCACCTCCAGAACTCAAAGACAGACTCAAATGCAACTAAAAGAAACATAATATTCAATAAACACAAGCAAAACACAAAAGCTTTATACAACAGGACCCAGATTGTCCAATCTAGTATGACAACCATAAGTATCTTCCAATGAAAGCCCTGCTAAAACATATTATTTATCCTGTATACAAATAAAGAACAACTCATATCTGATTCTCATTTATTTTCTGACAAAATACAAGTGGTCTGACTCAAAACTGGACCTCTATTTTCATTCCAAGTGTATAAATACCATCATGTCATTAGGAAGGAAGCAAAATCCCTGTACAAAAATGAGATAATGATTTAAAGAAGAAAACGTCAGCTGGCACACAGTTTGCCAGCCAAAACAGGAAATTATTTATTTTCATCCAATTAAGGCACACAGCTCATGGCAACAATTAATGATAACAATTATGTTATAATTATACCATAAAAATAATTAGCAATGGCATGACAATTATGGAACAGTTAGTGAGTTGCCAAATAAACTTTTAAAAGAAATCACAAGGCTTTCAGTTTCCACAGTACCTCTCTCAGTCCTTAAAAGCAGACTTTCACCTTCCCATTGGCTTCCACTTTATCCAATAGCAACATTAATGCAGTAGAGCAGGAAGACACAGACAACGGGTAACTCAACACGTGTCAGGGAAGCAGATGACTCTCCTTTCTCCTTCTGTCCTCCCTGGACGTCCTACTTAACCTGCCCAGAGCTACACAAAGTGGACCTGATACAAGCCCAGGAAAGCCCAGGGCTCTACCCCTCCCTGAGGCAAAGTCAACATGGACTACAAAAATAACTGTTCATAATCTTCATTATTCTACTGAACAGCATAATTCCCAGTGTGTCTAAGATCATGAAGAGCTAAATTAGCAATCTTTAACACTCCCCTACAATATAAACTCCAAGAAGTCATTTCATGTCTGAACAGCAATTTGGATAACAGGCACTCAATAAACTTTGTTGAAGGGTATTATTTAATCCCACAAAGAACAGATTTTTCACTCAGTAATGAAAAAGAAACTCTTTATAACCTAACACAAAAAACAATGTCAATTTTAAAGGTGATCTTATACCTGAGTCTGATATCACCAAACTAACATATCATTTTAAAATAATAACCTTATTTATGAAACCATCCACTTAAGCTCAATGGATTGTGAATGCAACTGAAAATAAAGTGCTGTGAACAATTTTTGAAAATGTAAAGGATCAGCAATATTTTCCAGTTTCTTAATTGTTAAATCTGGTCCATTACACAAGTTTCGAGCATTATGGTTGATAGGATTTGTAAATTTACTAAGTAGTCACCTTTCCCTGTAAAAGCTGAGAAGCACAAAAGGGGAAAAAAGAAATGGGTTCATAAAGTACAAAATCAGGCAAGTGAAAGGCATCCAATTTTCTACTCCCTCAGTTGCAATCAAATGTGGGAAAGGGAAAACATCGCGTCAAGAGCAGAACGCCAACTTCAGCGCTTTCGCACTCCGGTCAGGGCACCCTGATGTGCTTGGTTTCCACAGTGACAGTGGTTACGAAGTGCGACCAACACATTAGATGCTGGTGGGCACTTCTACACCTAATTAAGAAATGCCTTTGTCAGCGTCTTCATCTTTCTTGAGTAAGGGGTTATTAATCCAAGACTAGAGAACATGCTCTAGTAATTTTTTTCTGTGGGAATTATCACTGTACATCTGTTACAGAGAACCACCTTAATTGTTACCATTAATCAAACAAAGTTCTCACCAAATATTTGATGTAACAAATTAAAAACACTGGTACACAGACCCTTTAAAAGTCTTAAAACAATTACATTAAAATTTCAAAATAGCAACAAACCTTAATGGGTGAAATGTGGAAATGTTCAAAGAAACTGAGAACTGACATATCAGTCATTGAAGTCTCCATTAACTCTGTGTTTAGAGCATCAATATCTTGTTGGAGTAACTGTGTCTGAAAAGGTTAAATCAAGAATTTCTTTTAATTTTTTTCTGCACTGAAATTATCTTTAAAACTAATTGACTTTACCACCTTTCACACAGTTTTCCTTGGAATGAAACTGTTACCCGTTTGCTTTCAGCGTCAGGGTCAGTTGTTGGGGTAAACAGGGCAACCATAGCGCCAAGAAACCCCTGATCGACTTTTAAGGCCATTTCCTGAATGAGGACCATGAAATACCTATAGGGAAAAACAAAGTCGTAAAATGAAAAAGGGTTTACATCAAACTTGGTAAGTTTCAATGTTAAAACTTTAATTTAGTCAAAAGCCACAGTAAGACATTTTTTCTTTATCTCTTAAAAATTACATTAATAAGGGCAAAGCTTAATCAGACCGAAAATTTTCAGTATAGTGTTTCACTTTGGGGTAATATTACTGTATTAACACTCAGCACGGTAAAATTTCACAATGAAGATGAACAAAATTAGAATATGCAGCACGCACCACTCCATTTTTAGTTTACAGCAACTGCTTTAACGAACACAACTCACAGACACTTATCATCTGTACTTCATTACTCCACACTCTAATTGAAGTTACAAAATGAAGGTGACAGATGGAATTCTACATTTTCAAATACGTACACACCGTCATTAAAATAATTTAAGGGCAAAAAGTCCTTGACCTAAAGTGGGTTCAGCCAACCAGACCGCCACCTGCTGGTTCAGAGAATAGGCTGTGTTGATAGCAACTAAGTTACATGAAGCAACTAAACTTTTCTATTGTCCAGCTGATTTTGGGGCCAGCAGTCTGAGCATCTCTTCGGAGGATGACAGTGCAATATAGCAAATATGGGGGATTTCTTTCTATCTTATCTTTGAAATCCAGTATTGTTTTCTCTGTTTTGTTTTGTTCTGTTTTATTTTATTCAAACTTCTGTTTAGATTGGCTTTCTTCTGTTTTGTTTTTGGCTTGATTCTGCTATACCTGATGGAATGGACAACTATTGTGGCGATAACAAGATACACTATGGCAGCTACTGATGCTTTCCTAGCATCCTGCTTTGAAGTTCTGTACTAACTTTGCTGCTCTGTTTTGATTGACTTTGTTCTGTTTTGTTGGACTTTACCATCTTTAAAATTTTTTTAAAAAATGAAGAAATTTAAAAAATCAAAAGTGGATTTATATGTTCAGGTGGAAGATAATTTTCTACAGAAATGACTTTCAAAAAGAATAAAATTTATTTTCAAAATAAATTCTCATTTTAGATTCCTTTAGATAAACAGTGAAAATACTTACTTGAACTGTAAGACTTTACTGTACTCATTAAATCTTGTGATGACACTCACATCAATGAAAGGTTTGGGCTCTAAAAGGAAGCAGATGCAAGAGAAAGATTAGCTTTATACAAGACAAAACTTGCGCCTACTTAGCTTTTAGGAACAAGGTATGCCTGTAATTCCTTTTCTACCTGAATCCAAAGCAATGGACTTGGGAGGAGCCACAGGATGAAATACAACAGGAAACATGGTACCTGGTAACTGATTATCGACCTGAAAAGAAGAAAACCAACTTAGGCTTTAATGAAGCTTTTGGTGTCACAGACAGAATTATACAAAACGCTACCTTCACCGTAATTCAGCATCTGCTTGGACATGTGACACCTCATAATCTGTAAAACTTATACACCTCAGCAGAGGCAAGTCTTTATATAATAATTACATATATGAATTCCTTCATACCTCTAACATATACTCTATTAGTGCAAATATTTGAACCAGTCAATCCTGTGAGATTTCTACTACTTATGGTTTAAATATTTAGATGTAAGTAAACTGACTAAGAAATACAGAAGAATTCTCTAAATAAAGAATAAAGAAGAAAAAAAGAAAATGCCTTACATAACAACTTTATAGTTAAAAAGAAGACAAGGAGGGAGGTTCAGAGAAGGAAAAAGCAATCAATCATCCAAATGAAACCTCCAGTAAAGCCCCATGCTTCACCATGAAGAACAACAAAGGAAGATCTCACTTGGGAATCCCATCACAGATGCGAGGGACTTTTAAAAACAACATCATCCCAATAAGACAACACCCCTGCAGGTTAACAGGCCAAATTCAACAGTTGCCGGAATTACATGTTCTTTAATGCTGATGGTAAGGGAGATGCTGAATTCACATAATAATACTTGAGAGAAGAGGAAAAACATGAGCAATTTCTTTTTTTATTAGTTTGGTGCTGGGGGTTAAACCTGGGGCCTCATGTGCTCAACCACTGAACTATACTCAAAGTCCCACAGAAGATATCAAGTTTAATATAAAAAGAGAAATTTCACTGTCAAAATTGTCAAAGTACTTAGAAATACTTATTTAACTAAGGATAACAATATTACCTGTAGCCAATACAACCTGGCCCTTAAACTCCTCTGATGAGGAGACTGCTTAAATTCAACCTGAATTCCTGACAGAAAATCTCGTTTAATAGGGCACTGAATAGGAAGACGCATTTCCATGGGAACTTTCTCAAAATTGACCTAGAAAAAAAGCACAATTTTGATAAGTTGGTATTAGCAGAGTATCTCCTTTTAGGTATCTGTGCACTGATGAAACCAAATGAGAAGACTATCTTTCTATGTCTCACCAGAAGATCTTAAGGTCATCTACAACCGAGAGCTCTGAAGCAGACTCACTTTTCTAAGAAAGCTATCTATACACAATTAATAGCTAGCTTCTGCTGGACACAAAGGGCACAGCCCCACCCCGCCCCACTTATGTGCAGCCCACTGTCAGGGTGAGTGGGAAACAAATCTGGTGACCAGTGCAGATTCAGCTCTCAGACACCAGAGACAAAGAACACCTAGAGTATACGACTGAAGATGGCAAGCTGCCCACTCAAGTCAAGTTTCTGGAGTCTTCCTGCAGCCACCATGACTTTCAGTTTTTGTTCTGGAAGGCCTCATGGAGAGCACACCTTTATTTGTGGATACCAACAATCATTCAGATTAATGAATTTAATTCAGCAGAACTTTTGTAGGTTTTCTAACAATGAAGTAATGTAACTGTACTTAGCAATGCATAGGTATTATTCAACATATAAGAGTAAAATTTTCAATAAACTACCGTAATTGCTGCATAAATTTCACAAAAAGTTTCACAAAACTGATTTGTAGAAAAAACCAGTTAAAACAATACAGAAGAGAAACATTTAAATCAGGCTTCACAGTACAAGATTATATTAACACATTTAATTGCAGTGACATCATATAGTATTTTAATTATATATGAACACTCCTACTAATAAGTAAGAGTTTATTTACTAACAAACACATATTTCAATGTCTACACATACTAGACAATAAAACTACTCACTCCCACTCCCAACAACAACAAAATACACCTCTGAACACTGGGGCTTACCTCAAAATTATTCTCTAGCTTCACCCAGCCGCGGTCACAGGAGTGCTGGTGCTTCTGGTAGGAATGCTCCAGGAGGAGTATCTGCTTCTGACTAAAAGGCTTCCATTTCTGCTTTGGTTTCATTTCCCAAACAACACCAGAACTAAATAATTCACAAAGAGGATTAAATTAGAAACACAGATTTAAATTTGTGGAACTGTCATTCAACTCCAGATTAGTATAACTCCTAATATCCTATGAAAATTAAATTGATAAAAGAGATCTTTATAATATTCAACACTACCTGTGTTACAAGAGCTATATAAAGAATAAGATTATTATGTAGACATCTAGAGAATTCCATAAACTTTTTAATTGATAAAATTTAAAATATGAAAATAATTGAGAATTTCTACAAACAAGAGTCTACTAGTGAGACTTCTGTGAGAGCAGATAACATCTTGCCTAATTAGTATTCCTATCAAAATCCACTGCAGGGGCTGGGGATTTAGCTCAGCGGCATAAGTGCCTGCCTTGTAAGCAGGAAGTCGTGGGTTCGATCCCTGGTACCAATAAAAATGAAAAACGAAAAAAAAAAATCCACTGCAGATTATTAATGATGATGATGCGGAATGAGCGTCTATAGATACCGCACTTTGGAAACAGGTACTGTCAAACAGGGACAATGATCTATACAAATACGGTGACTATTGTAATGAGATTTTAATTATGTTAATATATTACTTGAAAGACATTCCTAAAAGCTTACTAAATTCTTTTGTTGACATTTGCTTTTTAATATACTGCAGATTAGGTGGCAGTTCTTTATCTGCCCAAATGGATATTAAAATGAGGAAGTTTCTTAATTATTTCCATTGAGGTCAGGAAAAAATGTTGCTGGAATCAAGATGAAGGCCATAAAGTATATTCTCTCCAAATATTTGAGAGACTGGATATCCTGCTTCTTGTTTTGACTCCGGATGGCACAGAAAGTTCATAAAACAGCTTGATGTTACTTGTTATTCAAAGAAAAGTTGTTTCCAAAATGAGTCTACTGAAATGTAAGTTTCCCATAGAGCACTGCTTAACCTTCTAATTTTAGGGTGAGATTCACTGAGAAGTATTATCAGGTCTTCAGCAAAAATAATTTTCAAAGTCATTCAGTGTTGAGTAGTGACCACAGATGACTTTTTGCTCAAAAAATGTTCATCTTGGCCCAGAACTCAAAAAGGAGAACTAGAGTTACCACTGCTACAGCACTGCATTCACTAAGAACGATGAGGAAATTCAGCTTCTATTTCTAGCACTCTCAGAGCTGACGGCAGCTAACCCAACCAGGATGGGTGAGCTCACTGCTGGACACGACTGGCTAGGAGAAGGCCGATCCAAACCCTTTCCAGAGAGCACCTACTAACAGGTAAACATTGGGAAAACACAGGCTTTAAAGGCTTCATAGTGTTAAAGCTTTCTCAATTTGTTCAGCTAAGTTTTTTCCTGCTCCCACCCTAGCCCCATATTTGGCTGTAATATACTAGAAGAGTCTTTCTTAATAATGCTGAATCTATTTCTTCAACTTGTTTAAAGGTATCCTCACCAACAGTTTTTCTAGGCAGACTACTGACAGAGGCTAATTCTTCAGTTTCTTCAAACTCAACACTAAATTCTCCAGTAAATAACTGAGCAGAACTGGGAACATCTGTTCACTTATCAAGAGCTTAGGAAAACTGTGTACTCATGACTCAATACGCTCATTCTTGCGTTTTTATTGGCTGAGGTTGCTCTCAAAGTTCCCGCTCCTTTATGGAACTGTTCCGGCTGAGGTCTAATGCTTTAAACAGCTTTATTTTCTCTGGACACATTTCTTTAGCTCCTGTTATCAGCCATGACCCAATTAACTTACTAGTAGTAAAAAGATTTTCCTTGCTTGCCTAGGAAATGAATGACTCGCTCTGAAACTCACCTTGGTTACAACCTCACTTTGTCGTTTTCTTGTTTTTAATCAAGAAATTATGCTGTAGTAAGACATTTTGTTTCAAATCTTCTGGACATTGCTGTGTTTTTTTTCATGTATGCTTTGTTTACAAAGGTCAATACAGTTTGCATTATTTTAGCACAGCTATGATGCTGTTATACAATAAAATAATGCTTTACCATCTTGAAACAATAATCCACACTGCATTGTGCCCTAAGGGTCACCTTCAAAGTCTACCATCAGTACTACAAAGTGTGCAGTAAAGCAAGCAGTATGTACAACAGTTGCTGGGATTTGTAGCACAATGAACACACCCTAACATCAGCCACCAACACAAAAGAATGAACATGCTTGTGGTCCAAAACCTCAACTTCAACCCTAACCTTTGAATATCATACAATTGTTACGTATTACAAAACAAGGATTCTTTTGTTTTTTTCTACCCTATAAACATGTGAAGAATCATTCTTAGTTCAAAAGCCAAAGGAAAACAGGCAGTGGACCAGATTCAGCCATACCTTACTGATCCTTGCATGAGAGAATATTGTTTACAGAAAAAAATGTAAACCTATAATACATTAATTTGCATAGTTTACTAGTAACAATCACAAGAAATCTTCACTATCTGGTGATGTTTAGGAGTTAATGAAGTTATTAAACAAAATTATCTACTACAAATTACACATATCCAAGAAGTCTTTATGATAAAACCTCCAAGAAAATTTCCTTAGCTTGATAATGAACATCTACAAAAAACCTATCACTGACACTGTATTTCAGGAGGATAAACTAGATGCTTTCCACAGATCAGGAAGAAGGCAACGATGTTCACACTCACCCCTCTCATTCAACACTGTGCTGGAAGTCCTAGATAATGCAGAGAGAGGAGAGGAAAGCAAGAGGAGAGGAGGGGAATGAATACTGGAAAAGGAGAAATAAAGCTATCATCATAAATGACATGATTGTCTACACAGAAAGTTTCAAAAATGAACCAAAAAAAAAAAAAAAACCCACCCCCAAAATTCCGTGGAACTACCAAACAATTAAACAAGGTTGGAAGCCAGAAACACAGTATCATTTACATTAATACCAAATAAAACAGTGCTTAGGTATAAATAAGTCTAAAACATATGTATACAATCTGTGAGAGAAAAACTATGAAAGTGGTGAAAGAAATTCAAGAGCTAACAGAGAGCTACTCCACACACACAGACGTGAAGAGCTAACATTGTTAACATGTTTTTCCCAAGTTGATTTATAGATACAATGCAATACCAATAAAAAGTTCAGCAAAGTATTTTGTAACTATCAACAAACTGATTCTAAAGTATACATGGAAAGGCAAAAGGATAAAAAGGAGACAACACGAGGACAGAGTAAGTCAGAAGACTGATACTACCCTGCTTCAAGCCGTACTAGAAAACTAGGCTAATCAAGATAATCTGCTGCGAAAACAGAGAGCCTGGACATAGACCCAAACAAATAGGTCAAATAACTGTTTAAAAGGAAAACAAGCAACTAGACAAAAGACAGTCTTCTTAGCAAATGACAGACAACCCTGTGCAACAAAGTGACCTAGACACAGAACTGCTATCATTCAAAAAGCCATTAACTCAAACTGGCTTACAGCTCTAAACATACACAGAACAGACTGTAATTTCAAGAAGATAATAGGAGAAAATAGGGAACCTGGGCACTGAAGACTACTCAGCCACAATATCAAAAGCACAACCCACAAGAGAAAAACTGATGCTTCTCTTGGAAAGATACTGCGTAGACAATTTTCTAAGAAAGCCATAGACTAGAAGAAGCTTTTTGTAAAATATGTATCTGATAAAATACTAGAATCCAAAATGAACAACTCAAAAGAAATGAACAAACTCAAACGAATGAACAAACGAAAACAGCATATTTGAGTAGAGGAAAGACCCCAACAGCTAACAGAAGAAAGCACTCAAGACAAGTAAGCATATGAAAAGTACTGGGCATTAGATATCCTCAGGGAACTGCAGACTGAAGCAACAGGAGCCATTTACTAGGATGCCTAAGATCAGTCTTTCCCAGGAATTCAGGAAAAAGAGGAGAGGAGGGATTAACAGACGAAAGACAAGAAACTTTTAAGGCCTATGTTGTTCTATGTGATACTGTAATGCTGGGTTCAGGTTATATACTGTGACAGTCATAGACTAGTAAGAGTGAGTGAAGCCCAAAGTAAACGAAGTACTTATTTTACGACAGTAATGTTAGCAGCAGTCATTCATTAATAACAAATACATTAGTACAATTTTGCAGGCTGTTAGAGGAAACCAGGGCAGAGGTTTGTGAGAGTTCTAGATTTAAATTCCATCTTCTTCTAGACCTAAAACTCCAAACAAATAAAGGTCTATTTTTATATATAAATGACTTTTTCCTTTGGAGCCTAGATATTACTCAATGTGTATAAGGTGAAAAAAGTAATCAGGTTATTTCAATAAATTTTACCAATATTCTTACAAAGGACAAGTTGAAAAATACCACAGTACATATAACATCAATGTAAAAAGAATATATCAAAGAATGAAAGAGAGCAAATTTCATCTCTATGACTAAACAAGTGATTTTCAGTTTTTAAAAATTCCATGTAATACTGAAATACAAAGCCAAGTGTTTATTATTTAATGAAGTGCTAAGAATTATAAAGTTCTAAATAACTATTGACACTACATCCTATATGAGTGTGTTTCCTAATTTAGTTTTGGCAGCTTCCACTGACCCAAGCTAGTTTTTACAACCTTTCTATAAATAAAATTAGTTATTTCGATTTCAGTAACTCCAGTACATATGTACTTTTTTTTTTTTGTATCGGGGGATTGAACTCATGACCTTGCGCTTGCCAGGCAGGCACACTTACGCCGCTGAGGTAAATTCCCAGCCCTGTGTACACTTCTTCGTAAAATTTCTTGTTGTTTCTAGAGCATTAAAAAATCTACAAAGAGAAAAAGGAAACCAAGGCCACATCATCCGTGAAAAGCAGCACTTCCTTTCCTACCAAGACAACATGTACTGTGTAAGAAAGCAGAGACAAAATTTTAGTCATCTTCAGGCTCCAACCACTAGCAGTTCACACAGTTCCCCACGAAGTCTCACTGACTGATTATGGAGCCGTGAAGGCAAATCTTTTAGAAACCAAGTGCCCACACTGCAACTCAGAATGCACTTATCTCTAAGTGCCTATGGTACAACTGGAGCTGAATAATGAGTTTCAGTCTGGAAGAAACTACTCGCATCACTCACGCTGACGTCACTGCAGAGGGCTCTGCACACAGCTACAGCACGCAAGTTTGCTGCCACCACTGTCACAGAGCCTAATAAACTCAAAGGAGAACCTGCCTGCCCTCATCTTATGCAGCATTAATGAACAGAATGCTTTCTTGCAGATTCTTTATGCCTTACTTCCATCTGGAATACCTGGTTATTCCGATATATGAAACTTCCTGCTTGCTTTCATTGTTAACCAGTGAGAGCCCAAGGCTGTGGAGAGAGAAGGTTATTTCATGGTCAGCCTGCTCCATTTCCTCTGCCTGCAGCGCTTTGGAAACCAAGGCCACATCATCCGTGAAAAGCAGCACTCTCTGGCGGCCATCGAGGAATGACACCCAGTGTATCTGGATGTTTGCGTCATAGGGAAACTGGCCACATTCGTCCTGGGGAAACAAAGACACATAGTTTTAACTAAAATTGAACCACAGCAACTGAGAAAGCATAGGCAAGTTTAAAAGCATGACTGTAAAATGGAAAACTTTAAGCATCCACCTGACTTCACGAAAGTTATTATCTCTTTTAAAACAACACTCACCTTTCTTCAGTGACAAACATTAAAAGTGTGTTTTTCATTTTTCTACCTTAGTGTGTGTTACCTGGTTAATGCTCAAAGAGCACTGAGCTGGAACAAGAGTATGCTTGATAGTAACAATGCCAAAAGATGTTTGTCTCCACGCTGGAGAACAGAATGCTTCCAAAATAGGAAAAACATAACCTGGGCCCAAGAATATAGCTCAGTGGCAAGTACAAGGTCCTAAGTTCAATTACCAGCATCCCTGTTATAGATTGGAAACTGGTGGTAAACTTAACGCCAGCTGGATTACATCAGCATGCTCCTGAGCACAATGTTCCACCTGAGGAAGGTTGCCAGCATACAGAGATGTGGAGAAGATAAAGCATTGAGGCGTTGTGGGTTCTCCTAGTTGTTGCTGTTTGAGTTGCTAGTTCTCCTGGAGAAGCTCTGGTCCTCACATCGAGCACTGCTTCCTGGCTCCAGAGGGGAAGACGTGTGCTGCTTGGTCTCTAGGATGAACTCGTCACGCTGGCTTCCTGGCATGTACCAGACTATGCTTGTCGTTGGAGGAGCTGGCTCCTCCGTGTTGCTGAGGATGGCTGTGGTGCTTTTCAGGACAGCCCTGGTCTTTCTTTTGAACATGACTTCTCGGCTCCAGTATAGAACCCTCAACTTAGCAGCACAGCTCCTTCAACCCGCTGGCATACACTTTCTAGCTTCCACCACTAACCTCTGGACCTTCCCCGCATAGACTGGTAAAAAGAGACTGGCATGAGTCCCTCTCAAGGGCTCTAGACCTCCAGTTGGACTTGTGGGAGGCATTGTCATGAGCTCTGGGTCTTCATCTGGACTCATGCAAGACACTACTGTGGGATTCAGGCCCTTAGCTGATTAACTATTCTGTCTTTGGTGTTTCAGATAGATTTCCTGCAGTTTCTTGTGTAACTCGGAATGACCATCAGAAAATAAAATTATAAACTTCATGTCCTGATTGTAATTGTTTTTCTCACAACGCCTGACTACAACACCCGCAAAAGTAACATCAAGCTAAATTAGCCTACTAGTCTATTTTCATTTTAATAATTTGTAACACAGCAAATATTTATGCAAATCACTCTGCCAAAAATAGTCAAACTGCAGTAGTTGGTTTGTATTCAGCTGAGCAAAAATTAGACTTCTTTGCTGAATGTTTCATGTGGCACTTGAAAATATGAGCCTGACTTATCTGGTCAGTGTTTTCAGACACTGAATCTGGGCTTAATTTAACTGCAACAGTTTCTGCCATGTACCTTTTCATCTCCTGCTTTCTTGAGCAAAGAGAAAAAACAAAGGATTTCACCCAAAGCAGAGGACTAAGTTCTGTAGTTGTGGTTTCAAGTGTAAGTTTTGAACTGTGTTACATGGTTACAGTAGCCTTCCGACTGTTTTTTACTCTAATAAGTAGTTTAATTTTCAGAGATACCTGTTAAGAAGACAAATGCTCTGTATAAACTACAAAATATTATAGGTGTCTTTCATTTCATCATTTTTTACATTCTTGGACTTGTATTTGTTCTTTATCTATTTGATCAGTTAAAAGTTAAATGAGGTATGTTAACATACCCCAGCAATATGTTTACTCACATTGTAATACAATGTTATTCACTGCATGAAGGTTTATGGCTCACATCCCTTTGTGTCATATTATTGTAATGTACTAATAGTTGTGCCTTGAATTATACTTGAGCAGAGCTAAAATCAGCAGTTTTGATTTCATTCTGACTTTACTTACACACTGAAATTTTGTATCTTTATGCTTAAAATTTTAAGTTAAGACAGATCTCCTGTAAGTGTATCAGGTACTTTTCTTTCCTTTCTTTTTGGAGAGGAGGTCTGGCTCTGTGGCCCTGTGGCCCTGTGGCCGAGGCTGACACTGAACCCTGGGCTCCGCAGTCTCCCTTGCCTTCAGCAGGAGCTGCAAACATACACCCAGCTTTTGGGTTGCCGTATGCTTTTGTCTGTCAGCAGGAAAACTTAAACCACTTTTACCTACTGAGGAAAGAGCCGTTCAGAGCCACTGCCTGTCAGAGGCTCTTGGGACTGCCCTGTCACATCCACTCATGCCCGGGCAGAACTGCCTTCTCACACCATCTTTCCAGACAAGAAGCCAGCAAACCATGCTGAGGTACAACTATGTGCTCTTCGCTGGTCTGATTCTCTCATAGAAAACAGGGCAGAGACATTAAGAGTAGAAGCTCTGCATACACTGCTGCGAAGGCTCTTTCTGGGTCTGCCCCGTGCAGGACACAATACCCCTGCCTCCACAACACCTCCACTGCTCCCTCTCGGAGGTCCGGATCTACTGCCTGGCACTTGTGGCTGCTGGGAAGAATCAAATGTGAGGAAGAGGCACCACCTGCAGCCGGGCAAGGGCTCCAGGGAGAGCTCCAGTGACTGAGTCAGGGCGCAGACAAGGGCAGGCTTCTCTGTCCTTCCTCTACTGACAAACTGGATGCTTCTCTACTGGGAAAGTGAAGCACAAGCAGAGCAACAAAGCTGCACCAAATAGAGCCTCACCGCATAGGAACAATTACTCTCATTTCCTAAAGGTCAGCTCAGGCTTTCGTTTTTCAAGGTATCTCAGAGTGACAACAGGGGCAGATAACTGTTGGCCAATCACCATTTAAAGAAAAAGCCAAGACCGCCTTTTTAACACTGAGCACCCTAGGACAGCCTGTAACACTCTACAAAGGGAAGTGTATCTATGCAGAAACGGGATGATGTATCAGTAAAGCAAGAAGACCGTTTCTCTGTCAGGGAGGAGGCTGGCAGGTGAATTCTTAGGCCTCTTCTAGAGTTCTCAATCCAAGAAACAATTGATTAGTTTAGCTATCTATCATAGTTATTTCATCAAATCCTGTATATGGGAAAACTTACATACTATCAAACTCCTCTGAATAATAAAATACATGGCCATGATTAGAAAAACATGCCTGAAAACATTCAATGCCAATGGAGGTATAGGTGCTTTCAAAATAAAGTTCAATTTTATTTAACCTTAAAATCCTTTCCATTTAACAACAGTAAATAAAAAGGTATTTTACTAATCTTGTCTTGGACTAGATGGAGCAGGTGTATTTTTTAAATTGTAAATAAATTTTGATTAACCTATCAGTATGAACTATTTGCAATCTCAAGTTTGACTAACTTATTTCAAAACTCGTCCCCCCTTCACTTTCAGCTCAGGGAGGACCCAGATGACATGGGAAGGAAGCTAGCCTGTCCACTTCCCTCAGCACAATGCAACACACCCAGCAACTCCCCATCAAGAGGTACCTTCAACAGAGCATGCTCCCCACGACTGGCTGCATATGTCCACGTAAGTTTTCTGGGGCCAGTAGGATCAGCCCAGGCAAAAAGTCGAGCTTGTCTTGGCATTAAGACTACTTCCTCCTGTGATCCACTATAACACAAGTGACAGAGGAAAGATTAAAATGTCCTAGCCCTCATGTGTGAATAGGAAGAAAAATTCCTATCGTCTGAACTATAAATTTAGAATCATTCCCTACCCACACTCCTCTCCCTTGGTCTTGTATTATCTCTAACCAAAAATTTAGTTACACATTTACAAGGAGAAGTTCACTGAGCACTACCAGACTAGGAAAAAAAGACAATGCAACAGGTTCACTGTCCCTTACCTGCAATTCTAAAATTTAAAAAGCTCCAAAAACCTGAAGCTTTTTCTAGAAGTTTGTCAAGTATCACTTGGCAGTGAAACCTGATTTGAACTGCTGTGAGACTATTAATGGTTTCTATTTATCCTTCCTGCATGAATACACTTTTGTGTTGTTACAAAAACATTAACGTGTGACCACAGAGCACTGTCTCAAGACATAATGAGGCTGTTGTATAACAGACGCGAATGCTCCGCATACTGCCTTTCTAATCTCTGCAATGCTCAGATGTTATCAAGAGTTTCCCAGAAGGGACTGTAGACCAACAAAAGCTAAGAAGATTCACATTAGCCCCTGTCTCCTACCTCTGTTTGTACGTGAGGATGTCCCACGGTGTGTGGTTTATCAGGAGGGCAGGTGCAGACCCCTCATGGTAATCAGAAAAGGTTATGACAGTGGAGTGTTCTGCAGTATTTACATCCACCAAGATGGCTCCATTCTATTGTAGGAAAAAGATCCAATTGAGGTACTGGTTATCATTTACATGTGGGATGTCAACCAATTATGTAAACACAAAAGTTTTGTTTTCTAGGTTATCAATGAAAAGTAAATCAGTTCTGATTTCAGAACTGATTCAATTTTGTTATCAAGGCCTTAATACTGATACAGCAGTACTTCAAGCAAATTACCAGCAGGTTTTTATGTCATGATTTAAAGAAAAAATTTTAAAGCAAATTTTAAAAATCAAAGACATTTATTTTAAAATATAACAGCTTACCAGTTCTTCTAAGGTCAATAAAGTGCCATTATCTTGTCGGTTATAAAAGAATGGTTTGGAAGGTCTCTCACAGCCCACTACTCTCAGACAAAGTTTGCCTGACAGATTTTCAGGCCAAAATGGAAGGCACTGAAAACATAAAAGTTAGCATCAGTCTTTATACAGCACAGTGGCATAAATAAGAAATGACTAAGTCAGTTTTCAACTCCAAATCTGACACTGATTAAATTATTACTGAGTTTCTTTAAAAGACCCTTTACATCTAACACTAAAACTACTGAACTATACCTCTGTATGAAATCAGAGCAGCTTCACTAGAAGGGCACAGATACTAACCTGCACATACTTACGGGCAGCACTTTGCTAATCCACATGCACTTAGACACAGACGCAGTATGAGATACTGAAGAGCCTGTGTGCCCAGAAGGCCTCACATGTCTCAGACACAGCATTATAAACCAGAGCTTAGCAAAATGAGCTTCTGCGCATAGCTCCCTTTACTTCATCATTAAGTGAAGAAATCGTTTATAGGGCATTTTATCCTTGGTAAACCAGAACGACCAATGAAGGCAGAGAACAGACCAGTGTGGAGCTGGTCAGAAGTGTCCATGTTACCATCCGAGCTGCTCAATTTTAAACCCCATGCTTCAGAGCTTCTGTTCCCCTAACTGTAAAACTGGGATTTCAGTTTCTAATGCAATACAAATTGTCCTTCTGCTATAGAATACTGTATAAACTCTATAAATAAAAATACTGTTGATAAATCTACATCAATGATAAAAAGATACGCACTTTTTATTTGTAGGATACAGAACTCATTTCAAGTAGCTTTAAAATGCCATGCCTTCTTAGAGCTCTAAAGTGTGGTACTGCAAGGGGAATCCTTCTTTTTGCTATGTATCTTTTAAAATAATTTTAGAATCTGGGATTTTTGTTGTGATTTTGTTTGTTGTGAGTTGTACTGAAGACTGGAAGAATGACATCAGCTATCCTTAAGCTCAGCTGGTTTGGTTGACAAGTTGGGTCCAAGTCAAGGACCACTGCTGACCCTCAAACCTTTTTCCTCATTCTTTCCTTCGTTCTCTTCAGTTCCTCAAACACTCTGGAAACCATGAAGTTTAGTTTGAAGCCAGACTTTCTGATATAGACAACCAACATCCACCAAGTCAATCATCAGTGACTCTACTGGCCCTGGAAAGTCTGAACCTCAGTCTCCTTCTCTGTGAAGTGAAAGGGTTGAATTTTACTGTCAATTTTAGTTAAACAGACACAATTCTTAGTTTACCTATTCAGAAATTTTACAGCCTCCTATGATTTTGCCCATAATTTCTTACTCATGCAGCATAGGCACTGCCAACAAGCTTACAGTTCCTTCAGGACAGAAACATTTCACTGACAATCATGACAACACACAGTACCTCACCTCTGGATATTTCCCACAGCACACATGCGAGTTTTGCATGTATGTGAGAACTAGAGAACAACTGCTAGCCATCTAGACGGGGTGAGTGCTAGGTACCAATCAGCAACAATTTTCCTTTTTAAAAAGTACTTACAGTGTGAAAGAAACTCTTTGTTTTTTTTTTTTTTTGTTTGTTTGTTTTTTTGTCTTTTTCCTTTTTATCACTACCGGGGATCGAACTCACAACTGCCTGCTTGCAAGGCAGGCGCTTATGCCGCTGAGCTAAATCCCCAGCCCCTGAAAGAAACTCTTTCAAAACTGGCTACCCTATGTTAACACAAGCATGGCAGTGTAAGACACAGAAGTACATACAATGCTTACTTGTATGTCAAGGACTGAGGACAGAGAGGAGAAGGGGACAAAAAAGTTAAGATGTGTTAGGCACATGTGCAATTCCCATGTGAATGTGTACGTACTGCAAAAGTGTACTAGTAAGATTTTTAAGAATATATTCCTTTGGCATTTTTGGAATCATCCTAATTAAAAGAAAAAACTGACCTCTGAAGAAGCAATGTAGCTCCATTTATTAGTTGGCACAGAGCCATCGGATGCAATCTCGCTGACTTCCAGCTCTAGCGAGGACTTGTTTGCGACAGTGCAGAAGGGCGTCAGAGTGACGATGCGCGAGAGGTTGGAGCTGCTCATTTTGATGCTCACCCCAACCTGTAGACAGGGAGGAACGCCCTCAGCTCTCAGCCCTGGGTGCAGCCGCTGTGAAACACACACTCCCTTCATTCCATCACCCCTCAGCCCTGGGCTCAGCCGCTGTGAAATATACACACACCTTTGTGCGCACACAGACTTCTTAAGATACTTCAGAATGACAACCCTGAGGAAGCTAACAGGAACTACACTCCATGGTTACTTTCTAGTTCCTTCATCTGGCTCTGTTGGAAACGAGCTCAGAAATATCATTCGGTAGCCTGTGATAATCTGCAGGGAGTTTGATCTGTCTAGCATTCTTCATTTTTAATATTTCAATCACAAGCACTGTAATTAGTGGAGAGGCTCCAGTTTGGCTGATTTAGTATTTGTCATCAATAAAAGTTCGAAGTAATAAAACAGGTCAATTGGCACCAGATGATTTAAATTTTCAAAGTGGTAGAAGTAAAGATTTAAGAAATACATGGCAAGGTAGATATGGAACGAACACTAGTATAGTGTGAATTTTACCTAATTATTCACTTAGACATATTGGGAATATTTACCAAATTACTCACTTGAGCAAATTCAAGTACTACTGGTAAGAGTGGTCACAAAAATTTGCAGATAGGCCAACATACGATACTCTGAATTAAAATTTCTGTTAATTTTTTAAAAGCCAGATTCTTATTGAATTGCAGAAAAGGTGAATAGAGCTAAAGGGAAACATGCAGCAGATTCTTACCAGGTATTCCATATTGTTGGCAGGACATTTCACACACCCGTAACTTCCCACAGTATCCAATGAGAAACTGCTGGACCAGGCACTAGTTGAAATTTTTAATTGTACCTGTACCAGAGAACACATACCACAATATAAAAACCTAAAAGGTAACATTTACTTACTTTATCTGACGGGAAGATGGGCTAGACTGCCTGCTAGAAAGGTTAGTATTATGAAACACAGAAAAATATTATCATAGTCATATTTGCAAATACATAACAGAACCACAGAAGATGGTAGGGGACAAGAAAAGCACAGCTCTGACCTTCCCATTCTCCACTATTCAGCAAGTGTTAAAGAAAAGGTACTGGGAGAGGCAGAACAGAAAACAGCAAGAACAGTTCCTATTTTCAGAGAGTAGTGAACTAAACAGAGAGAACACAGAACACATACTAACAATTATGATGCAAGACTCAACGCAATTAGAGACACATGACATAAAACTGCTACTACAGTAAGAAAATGATGACTTTGCTTTTGGCTGTGGCATTCCAGAAAGGTCTTATAAAAGGGGCCCATCTGTGCCCCTGTATGACTCTGACTACTACCCACACAACAGATTATAAAACACACAAGGCTACGCAAACACGTAGATAGGCACCCACAATGTCACCTGTCAGTCAACACCCTCAGACAAAGGTTCTCGAACCATCTCCAGATCACTGGCTGACCCATTAGACACAGATTCCCAGGCTCCACCCAGCCCTACTGGGTCCAACTCAGGAGGCACAAGACAGCAACAGCTTTCAAGGCCTTCAAGAGATTCTAACATAAATAAAATCTGAGATCTGCTACTCTTAAGAGAATACTACAATGGAGTACTACTCAGCTATAAAGAATGATCACATTGAGATATTTATAAATAAATGGACGCAGCTTGAGACCATACTCATAAGTGAAATAAATCAAACTCACATGTATAAATACCGAATAGTTTCTCTAGTGTAAGAAATGATAAGAATACATAAAAGTATGTGGTAATTATGATTCCCAATCATATTGGTTTGAACCATATAATGTTATCACTCATTAACTGGAATGGTTTTAACCTGGGTTGTTCGATTTTAGTATTGGTAATGGTACGAATAGCTATTCTGAAGAAAACAACACATCATAAAAGCTAGTGCTGATTTAATATCATCTTGTTTTGAAGTCCTATCAAGCTATTATACACCTGTTTCCACTGGTTTCAACATGTGGTATTTTACTATATTTTACTATATGCGACAGTATAAACAAAATTTTTAATAGGCAAAGAGATAATATAGAAACCATTGTTCATTTTCTGTTAACTGGTTCTAAATACCCTGTAATTTCTTCATTCTTTTGAATAGCTTCAGACTGACTTGATATGCTTGATGCTATAGTATATGAAGTTATACTCAAATAATTCAAGGAAGGAGGCACTCTGGTGACTACTATTGTTAGATTATCTGGGGGTGAAACACAATGATGCTTAAATTGTTCGGTTCTGACCTGTGTTGTTCTAATACAATGTCCTCTTTTACCTCAATCCCACCCTATTTTAAAATTAATCTATTTTTTTCTTAATTTTTTTTCAATTAAGGGAAAACTAAATTAAAAAATAGCGGGATATATTATAGTAACTCTTTTGTTTTCCTATTAACCTGATATGATCCCCAGTATTGCTCTCCCCATCTTGTTCTGTCAGATTTTACTATATTCTATTTTGTTTGATAGTATCAAGTTTGAGGGTAGGCTACCACTTTGAAGGTAATTCACTAAGATGCCCATTATGGTTTGATTATTTTCTTTTGAAACTCTGTAAGGTCTCCAGTGTAGGTTTTATTGGTCTTGTTCTGTACTGTTTTGATCAATTCTATTATACCTGACGATATAGGCAACTTTTTAAAAAAATAGCAAGAGGCACAATCATGGTAACCATTTTAGATCACCTGATATTCTATTTTTACAACATGTACTATGCCCATCCTTTTGTTCTAACCGACTCTGTTTTGTTTAGCCACGTTAGGTTTTATTCTCTCCAAAAAAATAATAAGAATTGTGGGAGAAAAAAAAAACCCCAAAAAGTGTAATTGTTATTAAAAAGAGAGGACAAGAAGGTGGTCTAAGGGATATAACTGCATGTATGTTTGAGTGTGTAGAACGGAAATCCATATTAGTGAACTTTTGTTGGATGATTGAACGGCACTGTCTGCAATCTCATTGTATGAATGTTCACTTTACATGCTTTAATTTTATAATTTGGACAACTATTTCAAAGATGACAATATGTAACCTATTAACTAGTGATATCTTACTGTATTTTTTTCCTTGAAATTCTGTATTATTTGTACACTTTTCCTGCTGTTTTTTTAATTTTATTTCCTTTTTTGTTCTCTTTAAATAAAAAAAGAGAGAGAGAAAGAGAGTAATAATGGAGTATCTCTCATTTTAAAGGAACAGAAAATCTTCATCCATACCAGGCCTGAACAGAATGCTCAAGAATAAACAGTAGGGGAGAGGAAAGAGGAAGGAAACAAGGAAAGAGCAGAGTGGTCATCTGGGCAGAGGACAGCATATGCAGAAGTCTATGGGCAGCATGGAGTCGAGTGCACACAAGTGAGGAAAGCCAAGTGAGTCTGAAGAAGAAAGAAAGGACCAGGACACAAAAGACCAGGCTCGAGCGCCAGGCTTCTCAAAGGCCTGGCTCATGCTTCATGGGCAAAAGGGTCAGCTAATACCAGCCTCTTTAGAAATGCTGTATCAACACTGGCCAGTTATACAAAATAAAGCTTGTCTTATCTGACACGACTTTAAGAACAGAAGGAATCCTACAGGCGCTAGAGAAAGAATTATTCTGCCTGGAGATCCTGCTGTTGTTAGTTCCCAAGGGCCCCACTCGATTTTGCCTTCCTTAAAGTCTCCTTAGACTCAGTTCATATCAATTGCATTGGTTGAGTTTCAAATTTCCAAGTTTCCAGGTTAGAAAGCCATGTATTTTAACTCACTCTATCAACAAAAACACACCTTGTTTTTACTAAAAATGTTCTTCTTCTTGAAAGAGAATAAAATGATGTCCCTGAAGTCAGCTGGGTGCTTCACGTGAGTGTCTTCTGCGCGGTACTGGAGGACCCGGGAAGTCTTGTTGATTAACCAGTAGGGACTAAAGACAGAGAGCACCATGCGGTTGCCAACTCGCCTGACGTGCACCGACAGGTCAACTGTCACTGCTTCTTTGGAGTTAGATGTAAAACACACAAGAAAGAACTCGGGAAGCGTGTCACATATGCGGAAATGACCGGTCCAGTCTCTGCCCAGGTATCTGACCAGGACTAATTCCATGACTTCTCCACTGATTCGGGAATGCAGGACGTCTGCTGTACTGCCTTCTGCCAGCTCATGAGTATCTGCTGTTCCCTAAACACACGCACAAACCAAGTCTGTTTAGCAACATCTTTGAAATACAAAACCTGTATTCTACACAGCGGCTAGACTCTGCAAGAAGCAGGTTTCCTGCCAAGTCTTCCACAGAGTACCATGTTTATATACTGTGCATGCCACAATTACCAAGGACTAAAAAGAAAACACAGACCACATTTACAAAGGCAGGAACTGTCTTTGGCCATTAATAGGCCAGCAGCCAGGAGTTTTGAGAAGGAAAAAAAATGCATCCACAACAAGAATCCAAGGCTGGATTCCTTTACTCAGGGACCCTGGCGGCTGGCTAGCACGGCATTACTGAACACGCCACCTGAGCACCTGGTCTTCAGCTCCTCTGCTAGTCACACACCAGGCCTGACAGTCCCCTGCAGGGGGAATAAGGAAAGTGACAGCGGTCCGCTGCTCTAGCAAGCTATGTAAGCAAGGTGAATTATTTTTAAAACGCATACTAACAATACCTAAATCAGGCTCCCTTACTAACACCTTATTATTTTATACTTTTTATTTATAAACTATTCTTCTCTTTATCCACTATTCAGTTGATTTAATTAACTGCATAATTCAGAAATAGTTCATGACTAGGTAACAGAAAATAACAACATAGGTAACCAGTTTTTTTTGTTTTTTGCACCATGCTCGGGCTTGAACTCAAGGTCTCTCACATGCTAAAGCGAACTCTTTACTACAGACCTATACTCCAAGACCTGATACTCCAGGTTCTGCATCTTAATATAACATAGTATGTACAAACTTTAAAATATTTACCATATACCACTGCTACAAAATGCTGCTTATTATTTCCCAAGACAGTAAGTCTGTTATTTTTAGTAGAAACCTTGGACTAAATAATTGTAATATTAACTTTAGAATAAAAACTTTATGTAACCCAGTACTTCGGGAGGCTGAGGCAAGAAGATTACTGTGAGTCTCAGTCCACAGTGAATTCAAGGCCAGCCAGCACTACTAAGTGAGCTACTGACTCATAAATACATAAGTAAAACTTTAAGGTGAAATATTCTCATTAGATTTTCTCCTTTGCAAATAATGAAAATTTTACTTAAATTAATAAAGTAATAATAATGGCTCTTAAATTTATGGCAGATGCAACAGAGAAAGTGGTAAAGAACAAGGAGCCAAACCACACAGGCATAAATCCCAGCTCTTCCACTGACTAGCTGTGAGACTTGGCCGCCTATGTAACCCCTGCATGACTCAGTTTCCCCAGCAGTACAGAGGTTCATTAATATCCACCATAGAAGGATTAAACATGTGAAGTCACAGGACAGTGCCTAACACAAAGCAGATGCTAGTTCCAGTCTTGCTTTCATTAACACTTTTAAAACACTGTAAGTATGGTATATAAAACACTGACTTCAGCTAAAAATACCACGAAATAAACTAGAATTCACTTTGTGCAATGCTGGAATCCAAACCAAATACAAGAGACACACCTCCAGTAAGTATCTTAGGGAATAGGGGAGCAGATTCCGCAGTGTGAGAGAAGGGTAGAGGTGAATGATGTACGCCGGGTTCCAATCCTCCCCGTGTGCGCTGATGTGGCTCAACTCGTCAGGCTCGGCAACCGTGTTCACAACTAGGGGCAGGAAGCTGTGCTGCACCGCCGGACACTGCAGCCTGCCTGTTACGGAACTGCTCCTGTGCAGCTCCTCCTTCCAGGGGATGTAGGTGGTCGACTCCTTGTACTGATGCTCTAAGTCCCCAGCCGGCTGGATAAACAACTGAGATCTGCAGAAAAGCAAGCCCATGTGGAAAAAGAGGCTCCTGAGAACCCAGGAGCAACAGCCTCATTCAAACCGCAAGTCAACAATGGTCACTCTATTTTACAGGTAAGGAAACATGGTTCAGGCAGGGTGGAGAATATGCATAAAATCTCATGGCTAACTCACAGAGGAACGCTCTGCGGGAAAAAACAAAAACCTATGTGAACAAAGGTGACTGAAAAATATTTTCATTCCAAATATAAAGGCTATCCAGTAAATACAGATTTCAGAAAAGTCTAAACCATTTAAAAAGTTGCATCCATTTGATAAATTCAATATTTATTTTTCTACAGAATAAACTATGTCTTTAAAACGGGTTTTACATGTTTTTAGATAATAATTATATGAAGTTATATTCTTCACTATCTCCAATTCATAAAGGTAAAAACCCCATTCAGTGAATTTTCAAAAATTTAATGTTTTGAAAGAAGTACCCACCTATACGAATCTAAAGGGACATGGAACTCCTCTTCGGGGCTGACTGTTCCAATGCGCTCCAGAAGTTTAACATTCTTAACCAGTTTATAGATAATAAATGGAACAGAGAAGTGGTTTTTAATCTGTTGGACAAAAATACATATAATTAGCTTTAAAAACATAAGTTAAAAGGAAAATCATTAGCTGCATACACTATATAACTAATGTTTTAAACACAATTTTGGAAGATACTTCCCTTAACAATTGAAACTTTAGGATATTTAAAGGCTACATACGTATTAGGACTATTAACTATTAGCCTAAAATTCAGATATTCACATAATCTACATATTGTAAGCTGATGTTTACTGTTAATCTATATCACTGTCATCCAAATAGTATTGTTGTTTAAAGATTCTAATTACATTTTCTCCATTATAATTTTTGATCAATCAAATGATCAAATCACATGATTAAATAAAAAAGGACAGCAAAAGAATATAAGAAAACCAGTATTACTATCTTTTCTTGACCACAGTATGATATACATTGTATTGTTTCGTTTTTTATCTTACACTGTATTAGGGAGAAATATTCTGTTGCTGATCATATACTAAAACCTAAAATAATACACAGAAAAAGAAAAATGTTTGGTAAAGGCTTACCAGTAGAAAAGGAAAAAAAAATTTTTTTATTTTTTGGTACCAGGGATCAAACTCTTAACCTTGTGCTTACCAGGCAAGTGCTTGAGCTACTGAGCTAAATCTCTGGCCTGAAAAGGAAATATTTATACAGACTAAGACGCCAAAATCTTTTTTCAGGAGAATAGCTCATTTTAACAGTCCTTGTTACACGCTCAAAAAATATAACCCCAAGTGATATACAAAGAGAATGATGTTATCCTATGTGACAATCAACTGTAATTATAATTTTCATCAATTCTTAAAGAAATACGCAAAAATATTTCATTAATGGTAAACAGAGGAGATACAAAAATGGGCTTTAAATTTAAAAATTTTATTAACCATTTAAAATAAAGAACATTACAAAAGCAAATTAGGGAATAGAAATGACTGATGTAATGCTGTGTTGCGATATTCCAAAATGAGTTAAACTGAGAACTGAACAGTATACACTTCACTTTAAAGTCACCTGCAGCGCAGAGCGGAGGGTGATGACTTTATTCCCTTCGGTGGCATCAATCTGTACCAAGACAGAGTCCGAGTAATTGGCATGGGGATTCCACACATTGTACAACCGCCGTCCAGGTCGGGCAACAGGGACATTGGCAACCTCTGTGTATCCATGTGGTACTAAGGCAGAGGACAAGTGAAAAAAATTCTAAATATTTATTTACTAATATATTTCCATCAGAATAGTTACTCTGCCAAAACAAAGACAAGAGTATTCTTCTCGTGATTGGAAATAATCACCATGAAATACTTTTCTAAAATACAGGGTTTTAAAAAAGAGAAAAACTATTACTGATACAACATTTTTGACCCTAGATAATTTGAGCAAGTCAGTTTAAATATACGAAAACAAACAAAATGTGACAGATCTCTTATTCTCTCAACTATCCAGCAACAACTTTCTTGTAACAGTACTTAATTATTCTCACTATTTTGGGACTGCTATCATCCCAAAACAGGAAACAAGTATCAACTATTTAATCCAAGTTTTTACAAGTGTTTTTTCCCAAATAAGTATGCAGCAAAATATTTTTCTATATTTTATCAAAACTAAGCCCACAGTGATTCTTAAGGTGCTCCTGAAGTAAAATGCAGCATACCGAAAGTCAGCGTGAAGAAGGAACTCTCCTGACGGCTCAGCACAGACAGCTTCCCTTGAGAGGAAGGTTCCGTGCTGGCATACTCCAGTTCCAGATGCTGACCGGCATCCACACCATAGACATCGCTCTTCCCTGGGGAGCCCATCACTCTCAGGTTACGACTGAGCTGCACCTTCATGGGAACACCTACAGCATTTCTGACCGTAAACGGAGCTCTGTCTTTTAAAGAGTAATCAAAAGTAGAAGCAGTGCCCTCCGAAAAACCCTGAAAAGGAATGTAATGCCATCATGAGATAGTTACAAAATGTACATTTCTTTCAAACACTTTCCCATGCATACACATTTCTGAAACTAATTTTGATCACAGAAGAATGTATACAGTACATTTCACTCTTAAATTCTACTTGAAATATTCCAAATAAGAGCCACACATACTTTTGCTAAATTGCTGAAAACATTGAGACACGTTTTGGATATTGTTATATTCATTGTGTCTGCTGAAGAAATATAAATTGCCATTTTGGGCTCAGGAATAAAATCATCTCCTGGTATCAAACTTTTATCCTGGATCGGGTTCTTCTTTACCTACAAAGATAAATAACATAAAAATTTAAACAGCCAGTTACTAACAAATCTAAGATAGTCAACAGTGTTGAATTTTCCTAAGCTGGCACTTTATAGTAAGGCTCCTCCAAAGCATCATTTTCAAAGCTATTCAGAGGTTTCCTCTGCTCAGGTGAGGTGAGCGCAGCACAGAGTCTACTCTGGGGAAATGCTTTGAACTCTGTCAGCCACAGAACCTGTTCCATGCATACCTCCCACCTGAGATCCCATCTAATCATCCGGTACTGCCCAGCTAGTAACTATGAGTTGATCAGTAATAAAAGGTGATCCTGAAGTCTGAATCTGTCCTTATTAGAATATCATCTAGAAATAATACTTTCTTGTCTTCTGCTTTTTATTGGTAACATCTATAAATAAGTAATATCAAGCTTTCAACCAGCCCCCAGATTCCAGCTATTGCAATATTCATGGTTTTGTTCTAACAGAGTTGCAAAAGCCACGATTTCTGGTTACTGTCCTTATGCCAGAGAGAGGGAGGCCAGAAATACTAGTTCTACTTCATTTGGAGCACACAGGACACAAGTTAGAATCTTCTTTGTCAGCGTCCACGTGTAACAGCCCCGTGAGGCAGCTCTAGAGAAGTGCTCTGGGACAATCTGCTAATGCCAGCTCACACACTGGGTACTCGAGAAAACCAGGCTCTGCAACCCAGGATTCTGACACACTTGGAAAAATACCAGGAAGAGATAATAAGGAAAGTTCATAAATTAGTGGTGATTCATAAGATTTTTAGTTATACCCTTAAAAAAATCATTATCTCAAAGAGCTTCATTTATGAAAGCTTCGTTTATCTACCAATACATATTCTATTAGAAATGAAAACTGAGAAAAACTTTAATATTTATCCAAAACTAAGTTAATACAAGACAACATTTTAGTGAAAAGTATTTTTAAAATACAAATAGTGAGATAAAGGACATTAATAAACTTCTTCAGTGCCTGCTTAAAAGACAGGTGGTCTCATCTCTGCTTTGCAGTCTCCTACAGAATCACACTCACGTACTTTCCCGCAAACTCCATCACACATTCATGAGGATGAAAATTAAAATGATATATAATGTCTGAATATACACATAAAAACATTTTCTATCTTACGCATACAATAAAAGGGCTCCACAGGTTCTGGACTACATCTTGACAAGAACCAAATTAAAGAACATCAATGAACACGTGCAGTGCCACTCCATACAGAGATGCTTTACTGTGTCCTTACATCAAGCTTTAAGTTCCATTGTTTCTTCCCCTCTATTCGCTCGATCAATGGCTCCCACACAGCATGAATCTCATTGTAATAGTGAACCTGGCACAGAATTATAAAAGGTCAGTTTTCAACCTTAATTATGCAATTCTGGAACAAGCAGGAAAACAAGTAATACGATACAGTAATAGCCGTTCAAAACCACTTGCCTAAAGACACAAAAAAGTACCTAAAAAGAATGTATTTCCCTTTATCCCTTTATTTCTTGTCATAAATCATTTAGCACAAGACTTCTTGAAAACAGTTACCACATATACAGTTACACAGCCACAAACTGAATGTCAGCATATGTATCTATTCATATATATCATCTAATTCAATCATGCACAAACAAACTATAAGAGAACAAAACAAACAGGCAACAACAGAACCTGAGTCTTAACCCCACAGGGTTTTAGGCAGCTGCCCTTGGGGTACTCCACCATGTCTCCATACCTGCAGTGTCACATCAGCAGTAGCAGCCAACAGGGAAGTCCAATTCTTAATATTTCCTGAAAACTTGGACTCTGCCAATAGTAAAGGCACAGTTCGGTGCCCAAGGCCACATTCTAGAGTGACTTGGACCGATTCCACAGCAACAGCACAGTTTTCCTCTATCAGTGGATGATCCATCGCTCTGAAACTTTCTGTTGCTTCGGTTGCCATGTCAACACCAAGAAACCAAGAATTATAATCATCAATAGACTTGATATCCCAAAGACTTTCCATTTCCTTAGATGTGTCTCTCGATTCATCCTCTTTCGTCTTTGGAGACATGGCAGCCATTATTGTCATCACAGTATTCAGAATGATGGGTGAAATCTTTCAGAAGCAAAGCAGAGAAAAAATCTTGAAAAAATTCTTTCCCAGATGAGAATTGAAACACACATGTTAAAGCCTTTAAAAAGTAACAAGTTAAAATTTACCTGGTTATTCAGCTCCTAGCTAATGAAAATATGGATTAAGGCGTGTGTCTCTGTGTAACGCCACGTCCTGCTCACAGAACCTGAAGCAATTAATGCTGCGCAGCAAGAGTCAAAACTAACCACCAAGCTGAACTCACAGCATGGCATCAACCAAAAGCGCAGAACTCCAACCAGCTATGTTCACTACGTCAAGACACCTGAACTGAACAGAGAGGCATAGCAGTATCTCCCTCTGTCTTATAGAAAGGAGAAGGCTGAAATCACTCATGGATCCCACTTGGCTCAACCAAGATCCCTGAACTTTGCTTCTGATATCTCTGGGTAGAGCCTCTGCTCACTTTCTCATTCCTGCACTGCGCTTTAGTTCTGACACTGAGGACATCTTTGTCTTATTTGTTTTTCAATGTCTTAATTTAGTCTTGTGGTGCTGGGGACCAAGCTCCAGGTCAAGCCACGTGCAAGGCAAGCACTCTACCTGAGCTACCGCTAGTGGCCAAGTGCTGAAGGTATTTTTTGTATCCAGTCAGCACTCTGTCCTCCTATCCTTCAAACTGTCACCAGCAGAGTTTCTTTAACCCTGACTCCATGCATATCACTCCTATGCTTAAAATCTTCACTGAGCTCCGTAACTTTCAGAATGAAATTCAAACCCTCTTTGGCTTGGTGCACAGCACTCTTTGTGAGCTAGTTCCTAGCCTATCTGCTAGCAAGGGTTCTATAAAGTTTGAGAAATACTCAGTTAAATAATTTAAAAGGATTCCTTTACTGTTAACTTCTCACAACCCTTTCTTCACTAACACACTAAACACATACAACTGCTTCATCACAAAGAAGATCTGATGTACACCACATTCCTGACCTACTTGCCTGCCAACCGACTGCTTTCTTTCTCCTTGTCTTATTAATGTTATCTGTAACTAACATCCCAGTCCTATAACTCAAACACACCGCTGAATGCAGCCATGGGGACGATCCTTCTAAGTTCTTCAAAAACATTCTCCAACCTTTGCCTCTGTGCAGACAGCAAATTCAGTCTGGAAAACCTTCCCCTTCCTCTCCATCTATCTAACTTACACCAACTTGCAGTCCTTAGTCCAAGATGTGTCCCTTTCAGACAACTTTTCTTGATATCCTACTCTGAACCGCAGCCCCCTTGTTCATGCTGCCAGCAGCTTCTGTGCACGCCTCTAGCATTCGAAGTTACAATCACCGATCTACTGCTCTTCCCCTGGTCATTAAGTTTGTTGAAAGCAGAGACCATGTACTGCCAATGTCATACACAGGGTGTGTTTTTAAGTATAGAAGGAGATCAAAAAGGATTTATACAAAGAAAAGAAGTCTCCATAACACTTACCCTAATGTCTTAGAGCAAACACAAGCAAATGCATTTTTATTATGCTACATCTTAAAAAAAAAAAAAAGTAAATTCATGAGAAAAACACAATCTAAGCCTTTCTAGTGTTTTTGTTTGTTGCGTGCTTGCTTTTTTTTTTTTTTTTTTTTGTCTTTCTCATTTTTATCAGTACCAGGGATTGAACTCACGACTGCCTGCTTGCAAGGCAGGAGCTTATGCCACTGAGCTAAATCCCCAGCCCCACGTGCTTGCTTTTTTCAAAACAGGATCTTGCTTAGTTCAAGCTGCATTTGAATTCACTATGTACTCCAAGCTGGTCTCAAACTCATGGCACTTTTCTTGCTTCAGGCTCCTGAGTGCTGGGATTGCAGGCATGTGCCACCACATGCTTGCAAGGCAGGAGCTTATGCCACTGAGCTAAATTCCCAGCCCCACGTGCTTGCTTTTTTCAAAACAGGATCTTGCTTAGTTCAAGCTGCATTTGAATTCACTATGTACTCCAAGCTGGTCTCAAACTCATGGCACTTTTCTTGCTTCAGGCTCCTGAGTGCTGGGATTGCAGGCATGTGCCACCACACCTGGTTTTACCCAGTACTGTTTTAAACTGAAAAAAACCTGCGTTGTTATTTAAAATGGTTCAAATGATATTAGTTTAAGTATTAATCCAATCATACTGGTCTCTGACCTACAAAAGTAAAGCTAGTATCATTTATGCATCACTAGAATTAACTGTCTCATCTTTGCATCTTTCAAAAGAGAGCAAACTAGATTTGAGAAAGTATCATGTGCTCCCTATTTATAATGGGGAATGAAGTCCTACTGAAAGAATTTTGAATGACACTGGAAAATAGATTGTTCTTTAGTATTTTAAATGTAAAAGATCTTTTAAAAAGCAAACCCCAGTGATTTCCAGCATACATCTGTCACCACAAATATAAGCTAAGTATCTAATCACATACTTATCAGGCCAAATCAAACTATACATTAATAAAAGCCTAAAAATAATGTCTCCATCCTTTCTTCGTTTCTCTATCTCTTCTCTCCCCTCTGACACATACACCACACACAAATGCAAATAAAACAGAGAAAACTACTCCTGCCATGTATAGGTATTAAAAAAGTAGTCTCTTAAAGAAAACAGAATAAGCACTTAAAATGTATTTTAACCCAGAGGCAATCTGATTACCAAATATGTGACTTACAGCAATGCTGAGACCAAAGACACTATTTCAAGAATTTACACACAAAGAATCTGTCAGGCACCAACCTTAATTATAAATTCTTTAACCATAATATTGATATTCTGTTTTCCCGAGGCCCAGGTACATTTTTCCATAGATAAAGAGCATGGCTGCAAGACCTAGACAAGTAAATGAAAAGTCACATTTTCATTAATATTTACATAACATGCACTTACACAAACCATCTCTCACTCCACTGAGATTCTGAACTATAAACTACTATTAAAAATTACATTAGCTAAGACACTCTTGTGAAGGTTCTTCTGAATTACGACAAGTCTATGTATATTGTTAAAGGATTTCAATCAGTTCTGATGAAGTTCTTCATTCCAAATGCTGATGTAAAGACACACATTTACTATCAGAAGTTTAAAGTGTTTCTTTTTCCAAACATATTTTTTCAGTGACGCACTCTGTAAAATATAGTTATGAGGTATCTACAAAATGAGCTGATGACTAGAGCAGGGGTTAGGGTAAATGACCAGTTTCCAGATGATTATCCAGTTAGTCCCGAGGAACACAGAAGTCCTTTGTCATGTGACTCCACCTGAGTTTTTTTTAATCTGAGCTTAAATATTTATTTTTCTCTCATTCGATATACTTAGTGAACAAAAGAAATAGCTGAAAAACACTGATCTGAACTAAAATTCAACAGAAGATCATGAAAAGAGGACTAGTCTGGAGGCAGCCCCTAGTTATTTCCCTAGCAGCCACAACTGGCCAGGTAACATTGGCAGAACTTGACCTCTCTGCCTGCAAACCAGAGGTTGTACTAAATAATCACTTAAATCCTGGACAGCACTCAGGCTCTGAGATTCTCGGACTCAGCTATTTCTGTCATTCTTCAGTTGAGGGCCCAAGGCAGTGCTTACTGTGGTGATGGTTTGCCCCCTCTTCTCTCTGAGGAAAGGACAAGCGAGCACTCTCAGGTCTTTGATGGATGCCTCCGTCACCTGCTCCAGCCCAGATGCGGACACACAGAGCTTACACTGGAAGGAGGCCGACAGCGCAGGAGCGTCCGCCCTGCTCAGGCTGGCCACAAACACCACTTCCGGGTCTATGATCTTGGCCTTCAAGGTCATGTTTCGTCTTGCAGAATCATCTGGAGAAACAAAAACGGGGACCAGAAAATTTTTAAAGTAAATCTTCCTATGGCTACAATATTATCAACAGGCTGTTAAACTGTTCTCAGTATTTTTCCTATAATGGGTATAGTGAAAGCACTAATTTTGAGTTGGTTAATTAATACTAATAATGAAACGATTATTTAATAAGTGGTAATTATGCAAAAAGATGCAATCCAAAACCTGCCCAAAACAGATCATTCCCATTTTGATCTTTGATATTTTGGGGAACAAAGCTGTTTGGAAGTTCTTCTGGTCAGAGTCAAGGCAGGCACTTGTATACACACATGAGAATGTGTGATTCTATGACACAGGGGCCAAGAGGAGGAAAACAGAGAGAGAAATAACAGGAAGAAAAAGAGACATCCTGATAAAGATGTTAAACTATTCTTATTTTTTACTTTGGCTTTACCCCAAGGATCAGAGTCAAGAGTCATATTATCTATACTATAAATATGTTCAAAATATAAATGAATGCAGAGATATCAGTATGATTACTATTTAACAAACATTTAAAGTAAATGGAAAAATAACATTCTGATCTTGCCAGTGTTAGTTTCCAACTTACTGGCTTAGGCATTGCAGAGAAAACACCTGACCTTAAGTAATAATAATTTAACAAGAAAATCACCGATTGGTATAAAGGTGATGGGATATAAAATACAGGGCAGGGTTCAATGTGGATTCAGCATATTCCCAGGAAAGAGTTAAAGGTGACATCTAAGGGAACCCTGCTAGCTCCTGCAACAGCCTCACCTTCTTCTATCTTTTCAACTGTTCCTCAACATGATACAGTTCTTCAAAGTATTTTCCTGGACTAAATGACCCACCTATAAAATAGCCCTCCAACCACTTACCCCAATTAACTTCCTTTCCAGATGAGTAAAGAATGTGAGTGACATGACAAGTCCCAGAGCAGAGTCCCTGCCCCTAATATGCTTCTACTATATACTTCTCACTTAAAAACATTTACTAAGATATTTCTGTAAAGTATGTTTAAACCTAAAAGCCTAATTTTATTTTCTCAAACCCAATATGTCTCTTTCTTGCTTTTGTAATTTGTGTTAAAATATACAACAAGCTGTCATCTAAGACAGATACAGTCTGCTAACCTTTTTCTGTCTTGACTTTCCCCATGGTAATGTGTCTTGATGGCATTTGTATTTCCTTCGCCGTATTTTCTGGGCTCTGAGGCACAGCTTTGATGAAGAAATCTGCCACAGTCATCAAAAACTCCACGCTGGCACACACATACAGCTTGTCAAGAACAGCATCAATTAGACTTGTGTTTTTGTCTTGTTTGTAATGAATATCAATCATAGAACTGCTGCTATCTTGGTCATTCTTTCTGTCAATCATTCTGAAAAAAATACACACATATCACTCATTATTTTATCTCCCACTAAAAATAAAAATTATGAAAGTTTTCCTATGTATTTTAAGAATTCTTTCATCAATTAGTTTTTATCTGAACATAAAATAGGACAGTGTTAACTGGATATAATAAACCAACTAGTAACCAAAACATGTTTCCCCATTTCCCAAACAAGGTGCATGGGATTAAGCAATTATATTTTATAATCACAATTTAATACTAAAGAAATATGATTACTAGAAATGACTTGAGCAAATATCAAAATGTACAAACGCAGTCCCAATATTTCACTAAATAAAAGAATTCATCTTCCTAAAAGAATTTATCTGCAAAAATCATCCTCTACATTTGAATTCCAAAGGTATTTCATGCAACTCAAATCAGCACACGTTTATCAAGGGTCTGCAATGACAGTTCCTATGCAGCTCCACATGTATTGTAAAGACCAGGCTACCTAACAGGTTTCGACATTTATCACCCCATCTAGAGAGCTGCGGACAGTTCCCTCGACGTAAAATTCCCATAGGAGAAAAACTGCTGCATGGCCACGCTACTCATTTATTTCTCCAGGAAATACGGGGTTTAGCACTATCCAATACGTACTCAATAGAATACAAGAGTAAGTAGCAACACAGCTTTTCTCCAAAGAAAACCAGTAAGTAAAAAATAGTACATGTCTCATTATTTCAAAAAGGAATAAAAAATTATTAGGCTACTGAAGTTACACGTTTCTAACTTCACAGTAGGCTGATTCTGTCAAAAATGTGTTGATAATGTGATTATGCTTGGGATTCTACTTCTATTAAAAGTGACAGAAATTTTGTAGAAGTGTTTTAAAAGACAGACAAAATAAGACAAAGGAAAAAGTCATAACTTTAAGGATTTTTAAAACATGATTCTGGTGAATGGAGATAATTTGAAAAAAATATATCACCACATATTTAACTACTAAAACTCACACTGTGGTAGTTCCATTTTTAAGACAGTACTCCAATTTATTAATAAACTTTCATTTAATATAACCATCCCAGCAGCTGAATCCGATATTAGCATTACTTCTTGATGCAATTCAGATTAAAGGTCTGACCAAAAAGACACAAATATTTTTTGAAGAACCCAAGCACAGCAAAGCCTGCAGTGATGCCAGGTTCAGGGTTAGCCGTGAGCGGCATCCAGCACCCTGCGAACTGACAGACCTGGACGTGGCTCTCTCGATGCCTTCTCTGAGATCATCAAGGGTGCATGTCTTCAGCTTAAGGCTGACATTCACTGAGCCATCCTTGAACATCTTCCCTGCAGAGGCCATCAGGTACAGTCTGAGCTCACCAAGACGAAAACTATCATTATGAAATGCAAGTTTGGACTCCTGCGGTACATTTTTCAAACAAAAGAATCAATTAGCTTTAAAAATTATGTAATATTATTAAACATATTTAACCCAGAGCTAAAACACAAATCAATCTCATAAATTTTCAAAGCACAGGTGGGAAAACACATAAACGGAACAGTTAAGCATTGTCTATGAGTACATACGTACATACAAATAAATGCGTATGTGTCCTGATCCTCAACAATGGTTAATATATTAAAAGTAACCTGATATAGTTTGAAGCAAGTGTGACTAATTAGCAAATAGTTTTATCAGATAATATGCAATTCAGCTAATAAACATTAATGAGATCTTCTGTAAACAACGGTGATAAGAACTAGGGACTTTATAAGAAAAAATAAGCCTTACTGTTGATCTCAGTGATTTTACACCTTAGTTGAAAGAATAAACTAGAAGTACATTAAAAAGAACAGTCCAACGAGATGCTACAAGTTGTAAATAACTACATACCTTGCGATATATATTAATTTTTATTAATATTTATTAGCATCCGAACTTCCACAAAGCACATAAAGTAGTTAGATAAAAAGTACAAACAGTAAAAACTCGGAGAGGTAAAATTAATTGCTGTAGGCTGCAGGTTAAGAACATAACTGTGTGGTGGAGAATGAGGAAGACCAAATAAAGGGAAAGATGTCCACACGGGGAAAGCGTGAGCATGTGAGGTACTCTCAGGGCACAGGGCACCTGCCCTCCTTCCCTGGAAATGAGACCTAGCCAAAAAATAATCAGCCTTGGAAACCAGAGATGAAAAATGCCAGCCCCAACAGCCTATCTGTCCCTTACCTGCCATCACTACACTCTTGCTGCTCTTTAAGGGGGGTAAAGTGAGGATATGTGGATTAGGATGACAATTTTGGTCTCCAGTTTTCAAGGTGTATTATCTTCCAGTTGGGTCTTACATGGGGGGAAAACTATAAGCTTGAACATTCTAGTTAAACAACATAGGCAATGAGGATAGAAGGACACATGGATGCCTTAGGGCTCAAATGATGATCTGCACTTTCAGTTCTAGAAATGGGGGCCTCAGTCTTCATTCCACCATAACGTAAGTCCACATACTCCAGGTAAGCCCAGATTTTACAAAGAACAGACCTGACCCAACTGATCAACCAACAACCCTATCAGCCACAGTGGCTCACTAGACACCATGGCTTTGTGAATAGCACCAATGACCTGCAGTCAGACACAGTGGTTAGAAGGCCACAATTCCTTTCATTCCAGGTAGGAGACTGCATGTAAGTAGGTTAAAATGACATTACTGCCAGTAAGCTTTGAATGCCTTCACCTTATGAAGAGAGAACTATTTTGCAACTTTTGTTCTTTAACTATTGACAGAAATGACCCGAGTCACAACTAGTAATCACAAGACACTACCTTTCCTAATATGGCTCCTGATGTAGACAACTTGGAGACCTATTTTTTCCTAAGGGGACACTCACACACTGTAAGACAGAACCCCTGTAAGGAGAACAGGAAGTTATAAGTGGCCACTGGAGATATACTTATGACACTTGGACATTGCACCAATGTCTAAGACAAATCAAACAAAGCCACTGCAGTACAAGTGTGAGCTGAGGAAGAGTCTTGCACAACAAGCAGCAGTGAAAACAGACAGGAAAGGACAATGTACACTGACAAGAAAAGCTTGACGGTACTCAGTGTCTAAAAGAATACAAAAAGTAAACAAGGAAAGAAGTAAAAGAAGAGATGAAAATTTGAAGGCTGAGGAACCAACAGATAGTAGTCCTTAGATGAAATCAAGGTTCTTTTAACTGCTCCTTTCCTGTAAGGACATTCTCTGATGGTTTCACGCAGACTGGACAGCAGAAATTAAGACAGCTCACTGCATAAATCATGGACACTAAACCAAAGTTCAACAGTAACAACGTACAAATAGTACACTGCTTTAATCTTAGAAAACAGTATGAAATCAGTATATGAAAATGCACATTAACAGATGTAATACCTAAAAATTCATAGATTTATGTAAATTACATATGCACAATAGGTATTAACATATGGCATAATTGATAGAATAAAAATATTATAGGACAGAATATAATAAAAAACACAGCCTTCAAAAACACCACTGAAACATTAGCGTCCACCATTACAGAATTAGACTTTGGTTCTTAAACTTATTAATAGTATTATTAATACAAATTCACTATATATAACATTCATTTTATAGAAACACAATCACTGTTTACATTCATAGACAATCATGAATTTCAGAATAATCGTCCAAAGCTCTAAAGCCATTAAATTATTCTTAAATAGGTATCTACACATATGTATTTAGCTATGTCATAAAATGGAACATATAATTAATTGCACATATAAAAATCCTCTATTAGTGCAGATCAAAACACACTTTGGTGTCCATGTTAGCTAGAAAGAACTGGTATACCTCGACCTACTGAGATTAAAAATAGAAATCCAGAGAAGACTGGCAGCAGAATCAGCACATGCACATGTGGCATAGGACAACCAACACTGGCAGATACCTTAACACTTCCTAATGAATACTTAAGTGACAAAACGCTAGTGTTTTCTTTTAATTTTAAAGAGAGTAAAACAGAACAGTAAAATGAAACAAAACAAAACAAAACAGTGATAGGACAGTAGGAAATCCAGTATTGTTACTATACTGCACATTGTTATCCCCTAATAGCTGTTCAGACTACCAGCCTGGGGCCGCTTCCCTACTTTAGCTATTGTTCTCTGAGCCCGAGTGGCATCCAGTTGCTTAAGGGGTTGGCAGAGAGGCGTGGGGATGGCTTCCTTGTCGGCAGGCAACTATTCTTAAAACAAATACCAAGAGCAACAATGCATCCCCACCAGACACTTTACTACATACCTGACTGATGTCACTGTTATAAAGGATAATGGACAGAGATTCAAAATGAAAGTCAAATTGGAGTGTGATGGTCTGGTCCACAGAAGGCTTTAAGTCTGTCAAATCTTCTTGTTCTGATGGTTTAAACATGAAAATTAAAATTATAAAGATTTTAAGTAAGCACATTATTTCATACATATTTTAAAAGCTGAGATAATAATTGGCTATACTAAATTTATGTTATTCCTTCCAGTACTCTTTAAATCATATTATGTGACAGTATATAAAAGCAGCAATGATTACCTTATATTTAGTACAGGGCAAAGTGGCAAAGGGGAGACTAAACAGTATTTCAAGGCAGTTTTAACAGTTCTTCAGTGTAAGATCACTTGTTATCATTTTTCATATCAAGGCATTTTCACCTGCCTGTTTCCAACCATCCTCAAGAGGTTACGAGACAGAAGGCACAGAAAGCCGGAACATGTGGGCCCAGGTTAGGCAGTAAAAGCTTTGCTGCAGAGCACAAGTCTTACTACCTTTAAATACCCACACTGCTCACCTCTGCCTTCAGAAAGTATAGGATATAACTCAGCGGTAGCATCAGAGCTCAAATATGATGGAAGCTGGGGGGAAACTTAGGAATTTTGAGATGAGAGAGACTTCAAAAAAAATTTAGTCTTTTTTCTCATCTTTAGACAGGACAGACAAAGCCTGCCTTCAGTTGCAAAGAGACTCAATGATTCTCTCAGAGACTGTTTCTCTCTATTGGTTACAGTATAGGAGCTTCTTATCTTACAAATTCTACAAAAGGAAGCGCTCCATAATTTTAACCAGGTAGGTTTCTCCAAACTGGAAAGTCTTTTTTTCTCCACTTTTCCTAAAAATAATTTACATTCCAATCTTCACCACCTTTGCAATCTTCACCTCTGTGGCTCGCATCTGAACTCAAATTTTCCCAAGTTCCACATGAACATCAGTGAGAATGGAAAACAAATCTGATCACAGGCGGATCTAACGAGATCATTAACCAAAAAGCATGCTTGTCATGTATGCTCTGTTCCTGTCTACACAGCTCCTGTCTGAGACACTCTGCTCCCCCAGCACTTTAGAAGGCAGTATAAAGCCAAATGAAGGAGAACGTGTTGGCCTCACTAAGCTATGCAACACAAATAACTAACTACTTAAACCAGAAACCTGTTCTGCAAAATGTTCCCATCATCTGTGGTATCCCTAATTCCAAAACATGTCAGTCCACCTATACAAGCAGTGTTAGTATGGTATTATTTCTTGGCAGTTTTACCAATTAAACTGATGATCTGAGAGCATTTGCAAGCACATACATAACCGCCCAGCACCATTTATTACAAAAGCAAAGGGTACTTCCTCTTTTCAGCATGGAAATAGTAACCTATTTGCATTCTAATAAAACATCTGGTGTTCATTCTAATGACTTCAAAAAACTGTATTTGATAGAATCTGTTTAAGAAAGTAAAAGAAACTTTTATTCTACAACAACTATCATTTTAAAATGGCTGAATTTAAAAGGTTTAGTGCTTTTTTTTTTTTTGTCTTTTTCCTTTTTATTGGGGATCGAACTCACGACTGCCTGCTTTCAAGGCAGGCGCTTATGCCGCTGAGCTAAACCCCCAGCCCGGTTCAGTGCTTTCTGAAAGTTCAGTTTAATAATATGAAACAGAGCTGAAGTTCATATGACTGTATCCTTCTCCACATCAGGTAAGTAAAGCTTCTTTCTCAGGGTTCAGTCACCCACGGGTGGTGACACCACACCAAGTCCCTTTTCTCTCCCAAGGACTTTGGGACCAGGCCACACTGCTTGCCTACTGACTTCCTCTCAGTGTGCACTGCCTGCAAATGATCCCAAGTTCAGTGCCTGGGGAATTCTGCAAATGCAGCTTTCACAAGTCAGGGCAAACACGGATCATGTGGCAAGAATGAGGCTCATCCTCTCGTCACAGATGATGGGCAGATCCCCTCCCCCTGAGAGTTTCCAGAGGCAGCTGCCACAGGCCCTCCCCAGTACACTGCCCAACAAGGAATGCAAAATTAAAGGGCACTCAGTATAAAGAGGGTACCGACAACAATGTTTCAGTCATCAAGCAAGCATCTTCATCTATTTCTACCTCTCAGGTAGTCTGGTCCACTTGGAATATCTTTCCTCACTCTCACAGCCTCCTGAGCAGACAGTGCAGGGCTTGGCTGTGGAGAAGCTTCCCCAAGATTTTCCAGCAAAATTTTCATTAGAACTGTTAGGTCATCTTCACTGAGAGCAACCTGGAAACAGGCAATAACTGTCAATATAAAGTAATAAAAAATCCAGAATATCATACATACATACATACATACATACATACATAATTAAATTTAACCAACTGTTTGCATTTTTTTAAAAATAAAGATGGGGTAAGATTGTAGCTCACTGACAGAGTGTTTAACCAGCACGTGCAACCCGTGTTCAATCCCCAGCACTGCAAAAATAAAAAGAGAGAGAAACAGAGATGGTGATGGACAGACTGGGAGTTGGGAGGAGGAGTGGAGAGAAGATTGCCACCTGTCCAGTGTGAGACACCTCTCCTGGGAGGCACCCTCTGCTCTGCCCATAGCCAGGCCCTGCCTCACCACCATGCTGCCTGGCCTCCGCCTAGCTGTCCCTTTCACAGGCCTGAACTCACTTCCAAGATCCCACCTTCTCATGCCCACTCCATCTCTCTTCCAGGCCCCATCTGCTCCTCCTCCTACGGTATTCACTCTGCTCCAACAAGTTCAACACCAGATGGTACAGTTTGATTTCTAGTCTCCAACAGAAAATAAGATTTTCTCCTGTTCTGTAGCTCTGTTCACACAGTACATATGCACCTGGACATACATAGACTATCTTAACATATCAAAAATAATACCTCTTACAATAACAACGAACATAACTACAAAATATTTTCTAAAACCAAAACACACACTAGGAAGGTAGCATCTTTTCATCTTTTAACTTTACAAAAGAGTATTTTATATTTATAAAAATACAAAACAGCAAGGCTTCGGACTTAAGTAGATCAGATTGCAGCACCCTAACACTTTCAAGCTGTGATGCTGGCAGGGTTTTCTTAGCTTTCTTATATCAAGTCTGTTAGTCTTAAAACAAGAATAGTAGTATCTTCCTTACACAGTGTTGCAGAACAACACACTTGCTACTGGCTATTAAAGTCTATTAAATCAGTACTTTCTTATTCTATCTTTTGTAAATTTCACTTCCAGACACCAGAATCGTAAAACTTTGTTTTCAGAACTTACACATGGTCTCACACCAACACGTACACATGCACAGTCAACTTCCGGATGCGACGGTAACCTGTGTCCCCTAAATTAGATCCCTTCAGCCTGCAACACTGCCTAGTACCCCTCCTCAATGAAAATAAGGAGATACTTTTGCACAAGGCAATGATCAGGGACTTCTTGTTTGTTTCAGCCCCAGTCCTTGGATAACAGGAATAACACCAATTCCTTAGAACTTCCTCAGTGTCCATTCCTATCTGGATACCAACCAAGTTATCACAGTAGCCCAAAGGGCAGCTGACCTCACCACCCTGTGTGCTTTGAACAAAAGAGCTATAGATCGCCTACTACACCGACCTTCAGGAAGGCTACACGATAATTCTGAAAGGTGGCCCAAAGTTCTTCAAGAACTGTCAAACAATATACTGAAAAGAATTTATTGGTGTCACTTGCCTGATATCTTTCTCAGCAGCACCCTTGACCCAGGAAATTACACGAACCGTGCCCAAAGCCTAAGTGATTCAACAGGCCTGACTCACTGACAGATCGGGTTGTGGAAATGTTTTCCAGTGTGGCTGCACTACTGAATTAACAAGAGCCCTTTGGGTAAAATAATGATCATACTTTGATGCTAACCTGCTGGATTTACTGCTTTTTTCCTTTTTCCTTTTGATATATTTCAAGCATAAAAGAAAAAGAAAATACTATAATCCTCCCATGTGCCTACCACCTGGCTTCATCAAATCTTAACAGTTACCACATTTCCTTCAGATCTTTTTCCCTTTACAGACATAGCTGAATCCTCCATGCAACTCTGTGAGAGCCCGTTCCCACATCCATGGAAAGACTCCATCCCGAGTACGACAATTATTTTCATGAATGCTTTCTAACATTTACCATTACTACATATCCTATAACTTATGCAACCCTTGCTTGTTAAAATATTTTCAAGTAACATAAAACTGTACTATCATTTTGCAATTAATTTTTTTCATTTTTATCTTTAAGATATGCTATAATTCTGGTTCATTTATTTTAGATGCTTTATAATTCCCAAATGTGACTAATTATAATTTTATCCACATTCTCCCATTGAAAGACATTTACATTTTACTTTTGCTTTCAGGAAATCTGTAACTCTACAATCTTTGAAAGGAAGAATCAAATATTGTCCTGGAATCTAATATCTTAGCAATAAGGAGAAATTGAGGCACAGAAGATATAGTCTGGAATACAGACTACCCTACAACTTCAGAGAAAAAACTCTGCAATATATAGTGCTCTGTGAACTGAAAGAAAGAACCCATGCTCTGGAGTATCAATCATTCAGCCACTCTTTCTCATTTAATACATCTACTTGTACTCACTGGGACATCTACTTAAAAACCTTCCATTTGCACAACAAGCTTCTACTTTAAATGCCTTCCTAAATGCTCCTCCAACCCCTTCTTATCACAGAACCAACCCTAGAATAACCACGGATACCAAAGCTACTGACATTATAGTTTGGTTGGCTTTTTACTCGTTCAATTTGCTTACTCTCTCCCCACTATCTTGACACGTGCTGTAGAGCTTCCCACTTCACACACGGGTACTTGAGAACCACAGGGCTAGTACACTCCCATAGCTCCTGTCCCCGGTCTCTCCTGCTCCCGGGAGCTGGCACAACACCTGCAAAGACTGCCTCTGAGACACTGCTTCACTGCTCTGCTACCAACACAAACCTCTGCCTACTCAAAGTGATACTCCAGGAGGCTTCCTACACCTGAAAATACTACTCCGTCACTGTACAAATATTGTGTCAATCGAAAAACTTTAATTTAAAAAGAAAATCACAACTAAAAAATCTCTGTGGTACGTGAACATCACTTTTCATTCTCTTACAATTTAAACGCACTAAAATTTTAATAGAATTTTCCAAAATTAAGAACAGTAGTTTCAGCAGACTCAACAGGTTTATCTTAGACCCCATCCCCTCTCCTGTGTGTGCATGTGTGCACACACACACGCATGTTGCTAGGTCAAGTGCTCCCCCACAGGGCTACATCTGCAGGCCCTCAACTGCACCAACTGGCCTGAAACCTGAGCCACTGTACCAGCTCTTTCAACGTTCTTGCTAGTTTTACCACACAGCTAATTAAAATGTAATAAAAGAGCAAGCGACAAGGGTGCTCTCACTTGATACAAAGCATCTCTTTTAATACACTAGAACTGCACTGTGATCCACCATGAAGGTCCACCTACAACGGCCATCTATCTCATGTGATCCGCATACCTGCATAGGTTTTAACTTTCCTTTTATCTCGATCCCGGGAATTTCCATGTACCAGGTTGCTGATAAGTTTCGTTGTATAGACAAAAGCATGTTTACTGGTTTTAAGATTTCAATGTCATCCTGTGGCAAGTCAGCTTGCAAGATAGTTCTGAGAGGAGAAACAAGATCATGCTTCCATATACGCTTTAAATTGACATTTAAAATGACAATATCCCACACTGTTTAAGAGTTTCCACAAGGCACCTTCCTAAATACATAAAAGCTACTATCAGAACTCTTTTAGAACATATTTCTTTCCATAAATCAGAGCAAATCAGAATAAAGCTTATATATAGTTATCAAAAACAAAGACATAACTTCCAAAAATTATCACTGTATCATTTGCTATCTTTCACAAAAACTATATGATACAGCAGCTAGTATCTCATATTTGTACTCTGTGAAAACAAAATAAATGAAGCAATCATATACTCAGTCCTCAATATGTTACTTCTCCAAATCCAAAGAGAAAAACACGTCAAATCTAAAGTGACTCACATGGCAATAAACATTTCTAACTTGCCTACAAACAGCCATTTGCACGAGGAAATAAGAACTCTGGCCACTAAACAGAGTCAACACCTTCCCATCTGGATTCAAAAATCCTTTAAGCACCACACTACAAATACTAAATCTTACTACAAATTTAGGAAGAACTAGCTATGAGCAAATGAAATGAAGATGTATTTCTGAGCAAGTACATACATTCTGTAGCATTCTCCATAAATTTTTTTTCTTTGTTCCTTGAGATAGGCTCTTGCTATAATACACAGCATAGTTTGGAACTTGTGAGCTCAAGTGATCCTCCTGCTTCAAGTACTACAGGCATGAACCACTAATCCCAGCTAGTAAGCTGATATCTTTTAACATGTAAGTTTTCACAGAATGGAAAACAACATTCTAAACTTGGTACTACAAAATACCACCATTATAAAGCACACCATTATACTGACAATTAGTCAAAAAATGATTATGGTTTCATAATTAAACAATGAGAGTAAAATATCACTATTTTAATTCTAGGAAAACTATGTAAAAATCTTCTTTCTAGCAAATTATGACAGTTACACACATAATTTTACCTGGACAGCTTCAATTGAGTGAGTTGGACCTTCATTTTATCAATGACTGGAGGGAGAGGGTAACGTTCTGCAGGAAGCAAGCTAAAGCTGTTTTCCACGCTGATTAAGCCGAGATCTGCCACCACAGCGTTAGACGACACTGAAGACTGAGGGATAATAATAACCGGTGCTTTCAGGTCCACATCCATCGCAAGGCGGAAGCTCTTCTGGGCCAAGTCCCTCACACTAGAAGCAGCTCTCTCTGCAGCCTGCATGGTAGCCGTGCTCAAAGCTTCCTTGGCAGCTTGGAAGTTGTTGAGGAAATTCTGTTGGAAGAGAATGATAGTTAAAAGACTTCCCCCCAAAAGATGTTTGTTCTCCAAAGGAAAACACTTTCAAAAGTACGTGCTGCAAAATGAACAACTAAATAAGCATAATAAAAGAGATTATTTATGATTGTGTACGTGGAGAAGAGTAAAGTCTAGGAAGATATACCCTGCGCTATTAACAACAGCTACCTCCAGGGAGTAAAGATTCTTAACTTTCATTTATATTTTTTATTCTTTTTTTATTTCTATTTTTAACCATTAATTTTATGATGAAGTTCTGATATGATTCTTTTTAAAATGTTTCTTAGTAACTATGCCACATGCAAGGAAAGGAATGGAGGACAGCACTTTATCTCCCCAACAGTAAGTTCTATTCTGTACCTCTAGGTCGCAGTAAATACAGTCTACTTTTAAAAATGAGGGTTCAGGAAGCTTATTACTGAGTTTGTTTCTAATGTACTGCATATGGATGGACACAAATGGTTAACTACCTACAATTCTGCAATCATGACTAAGAATCAAAACTTCTTTATTTAGGTAGGATGCATTTTCATCTCCACGCAACCAGAAAGATTCTTCCCAGCAAAGAAACAGTTGCTCTTACAACTCATGTTCTTAATATCCACCATTTGTCATAAACTTAATCTCTTCCTCTTCTCCCGAAATAACTCACTTTCTACACAAGTGAACATGACAGTTCAGAGAGAAATTCATGAAAGATAAGCTCTGGTTAGCAACCCTGCTAAAAGCAGTAAGCAGACTTAAAACTTTTCAGCATAGGCTACTTCCATGACCGATAAAAACAAAAGAATTCTATGGTCTTAGTGATCACAAATATAAGCAAAAGCTGTAAATTCTAATATTAGTTCTTCAGATACTTGCCAAACTTCCTTTAAAAGTTTTTTTAGCTAAACATCTCTACAAGCATTCCCATAAACAAGTATTACTAAAAAGTCCTAAATTAAAAAGTACCTGTAAAATACACACCTAAAAAAATGCTGGAGAAACATAGCTTGTACACTTACCAATGAGTTTTAAAATTCACTTAGTTAACCATCATCTAAAGATCTTTGACTGCAGTAATCTGGCTGGTGTTTGGGTGTTTAACACAGCCCACTGTGAAGACCTGGACTCCCTGGGTTCAGGAGTACAGGCAATTATTTAGGCCCCAATGAGAAATAAACACATACTGAAACATACACTTACCAACAGAGACATGAAGAATTTATGAACGTAAACGATCTGAATACAACCCACTTTGAGACTAAGTCTGCCATCTACTTTAGACACGTCGGCATAGGCTTCTCCTTCTGTGGCGTCTGGATACAGAGTCATCTGGAACCGGAAGACTTCCTCTCCCAAGATGGAGACAGCCTGAAAGGGTGAGATCATTGGCTTAGCACCGGAGAGTTGCAGGCCCTTCTCTGTATCACAAAGTTCCTCATTAGAGAAAGTGACCCCCGATTCAGCCTTAAACATTATTAGTTAACCCAACTTATTTGACAATAACTTTTTTCGTATCGTTATAAAAAACCCTTTACTACAGGCAGTATCAGTCCATCATTGCACTTTCAGAAGTAATCAGAAGGCCTAGTGTGCACATGACAGGAAAGCAGGTGGTCACCATCTATATCCCCACCCTTAGAGAAGGCCTCATGTGACAGACTAGTAAATGCATTGGACAACAACAAAAAAGCATCTCAAATACAAAACACAGAAGACATTTCAGTTGAGAAATCAATTTTTACCTTTTTGTGAATGGACTTCAAATCAACATTTGTTACTATGATATTCTGAAGTCTGGCAAACATATCAGTCTGTTTTGGCTTCACAGAAACAGAGGCGTCCATTCCTAGGGAAGACAAGACTTTCACAAAGGATTCATTCAATCCAGATGAGTCAAGTGAGCAGTGCTGTGTTCAGTAACATACTACTAACATACAGAGTCAACACAAGCTATTATTAGACATACTGGTATTGTTATACCAGTATTCACGTATGAGGTATGTAAGACAGGTTACACCTTTAAGTACTTCATGCATCTTACATAAAAGTTGTGAGTTTAAAACCAAATAAACAAAACACCTAGCCAGACCTGGAGGTGGACGCCTATAATCCCAGTACTCCAGAAAGCTGAGTCAGGAGGATCCCAAATTCAAGCCCAGCCAGGGCAACTGAGCAACTTCAGAAGAAATTAAGTTCTCCTGGCTCAAAATTACAAAACGTTTAAAAACTAGAGTGAGAGTATATAGCTCAGTGGAAAGCCTCTGGATTCAATCCCACAAAGGAAAGACAGGAAAGAAGGAAAAGAAGAGGAGAGGAGGAAGGGTAATGTGTTGCTTCATTCTTCTTTCAAACCGACAACATCAAAAGGTCACAAAGTGTCTTTCAGAAACTCCTTTGCCTATGCTACATACGGGGAAAAGGCAAAATAAATAAACTATTTTTTAAAAATTCTGTGATGTCTCAATTATCAGATTATTCTAAAAATACAAGTACAGAAACAAATTAAGGCCTCAGATATAATCTGAAATTTTTAAAATACACATGGAATGTCTCAAGTCAGAAAAGAATTATAACAAATTTACTACAAACATCTCCAAATATACCTTTAACCTTCAGTGTAAGAAAACAATGTTTGAACTCATAAGAAATTCACCCCTACAAGCTCACTTTTGCTGGATGTTTATATAACAAAATAGAATTACTCACCATGTATTTTAACATCAGCTATAGAACACTTCTGATCACAGACAACAACATTAATAGCATCTAATTCAGCTGTAACCTTTAAATCGAACATATCCTCTTTAGAAATGGTGCCAGATACTAAAAAGTAATAGAAAATTTGTGATTGGCAAAGTGTAAAGATGATAGAACACACAAAATAATCTCAAATTCAATAAAATAAAATTGTACTAGGAGGAGCCAAAAAGCTCTCCATTAAGATAAAATGTGACTTTGAGTCAATTTTCAAAAACCAACCCAAAATAGCAGTTTCCCTTCAAATTAAGAGTAAACACAACTACTGTTAACATCCTGATTGTGTTATTCATGACACGAAAATTTCACTGATTTTCCTTCCAGAATAAAATAAAACACTTTAAATTAGAATTCTATTCTATTCGTCTAAAAGTTTGATTTTAAAACCTGTCATATATTAAAACAGTAACTAATACAGAACTAAAATATGTTGACTAGTTAACACAGTTCATTTTATTTACTATGGCACTTATTATACATGTTATTTAACTATGGAAGCAATCCAATTTTACTACAGTATATGCAATGGCTCTATAAAGAATTGTAAAATAAATTCAGAATGGATAAGATATAAATATAAAGGACTACAGTTCTTTTAAAGTTCTTTCCTATTAAACTGCAAAACCATCAGGATATGTATTAGTAATTAATCCCCATTACATGATGATAAGCTGGTTTTTTCCCTAATACCAAATGTGGCAACATCAAACCATGAAGACCAATCATACAGCAAAACCACAAGACTGTTTCTATGAATTAAAATTGCTTGTAGGTTATTGTAATTTTAAATGTTTATTTTTCATGTATTCAACTATTTTTCTATGTATTCTATTTATATGTTATAACAGAAGAATCCAAGGCTATTACCTCTAGATACTGTACTGCTGTTGCAAGCAAATTAACAATAAAATGGGCAAAACGCTTTTACTCTAGTTTAGAACAATTCGCTATCTTCCAAGGTTAAAAAAAAATCAGATCCTTGTATCAGATGTAATGGTAATAACAGTCTTATTCTAAAGATCCCAGTAATACCAATCTATTCTAATTGAATTACTGTATGTTACAAGTTCATATCATACAATGTGAAAAACCAAAATGATGCTTGCTCTACAAACCAATACACATTCTCTATTGACTGTAGATACTTCAGAGCTAACATTTCACAGCTCAAGGTATCTGCCTAGCAAACATGTCCCCAGATCTATTTAGAAACAGAATGAGTCCATCTTCTCTGTGAGATTCCTTCAGTGCGCACAAGGCTTGAAGCCTGCTCAGCACTAGACAGGACTGGACGCAATACAATTTTGTAACTATGCGTGACTGCATTCGAACTTTAACTTCTTCCTTTCTCATTTCTATTGCACTGAAGAATGCAAAGAGATGTCAATGCAAAAAAGATGCTATCTAGCCAGTAAAATAAAAAAAAAAAAAAAAACACCATCAAACAACATTTATTTAAAACATTTCAATAAACTGATGTACAATCCTATAAGGAAAAATTTTGAGTTCTTTCAAAACTAACTTAAACTGTCAAATCAGGTATAGTAACATCAAGATAGTAAGTATCTTCTTAGCTTAAAATACATTACAGTATTATATGAGAGAAAGCATTTGACCATTACTCAAAAATTAATACCAGCTTTGATGGCAATACTTCTGGACTCCCCTACAAGTGGTTTTAGCTCAGATTCCTTCCTAGAAGACGACTCAGAGGATGGAACGGCCGATGACAAAAAATCCATAAGGGAAAGTAAAGCTTCTAAATGAAGTAATATGTCTAAGGATGAAAATGAAACCTAAGAAAACAGAGAGGCAGAGTAAGACATAGTAACATTTGTGTTAAGTTTCAACACACACAACTAGCACAAGAGCAGTTCAATTAAAGAAAGGCCCTTAAAAAAATGAATTACTACCAGCATCAATTCTTAGAAACACTATTATGTTAATTGTAATCAGTCAGTAAACCAATACTCTTCCCACTTCTGTGTGCAAACATAATTCTATTGTCCACAGGGTTTGAGTTTTAAGAAAATGTATAGGAAGCATCCCAACACTGACCCATCTGCACAAAGGGAATGTGAACAACGTCCTTAATCCTAACGCCAACACACAATGCTAACATTTAATGCTGAATCAGTATCAGGCCAAATAACTATGGACAGCATTTCCTTGAGAATACATTATTTGTTGTATAAGTAAAGAGCAATTTACATCTGAGAAACAAGCAATCTCTTTATAAATCAAATTAACTTTATAAAAAGTGTATTTTAATTCTATATGCACTGGCTTTATCGACAAAATTAATCTATTTTTATTTTCACAATATTCTAATGTTAGCACAACCTTACAACTCAAAATGGCTATGAAGCTACATTTAATCATTATCAGCTTACCTTTAGTCTCTGTTTGGTATTGTCATGAACAGTTTTAAATTCCGGTCCATCACTGTCTGCCTACAAACAGTGGGTAATTAAACCAATGGATTACAAACACTAAAATTCCATGTACTGAATAAACATCCATTTTTTACTTATTAAAGTATGCTATTAAAACACTATAAAACACATTTCTTATAGGTAAAGAACATGATTTAAACCACATCTCCCATCCTACAGATGAAAAGAACTACTCTGGAGGAAATACTAATGGACAAATCTGAACTGCAGGGGAAATGCTTGTGTACTGGATGATAATACACTCTGCTTCAGAACACAGCATAGCTTTTCTGTTCCACTTGTCCAAACCACTTGTCTGGTTTCCCTAGGGAAACCAGAAAGTTAACGGGTGTGTGCAGATGCTTTCAAATTCATCGCAGTCAACCCAAGGATAAAGCACACTTTCAAAGGAGAAAAACTGGAGCACTAAACATGAAGGGAACAGACATAACTTAGCATATTCAGGAGTTAGACAGAAAGCTGGTACCTTGGTCAAGGCCAACTTCAGGAGCGGCTCCTTAGTCACACAAGAGGAGCGCACGATGTGCAGAGGGCCTCCTTCTGCATCTGGGGGCAAGAGACAGGCTGGTCAGCACTGCAAATGCCTCACACTTCTTACACAGCATGAACAGCCAGTTACATTAAGGTATGTTCATCAACACTAAGAATTTTACACTAAATATGAATTACACTGCTAAATTTTAGTGTAAATTTTACACTAAATATGAAATCATGCTTCAAGAAGCCTGGCTTTGAAAAGAGAGAGAAAAATCCCTAAAAACAACAAACCCAGTACCAGTCAATTATATAACCTGTGAGATGTGAAAAAATGTTCAGCATCACTGATCATTCAGAGATGCAAATGAAAACATCACTGAGATTTCACCACACCCCGGAAAGAATGGCCAGGATCAAGAAATCAACCAATAACAAATGCTGGAGGGGCTGTGGGAAAAAAGGAACCCTTCTTCACATTGGTGGGAATGTAAACTGGTGCAACCACTGGGAAATCAGTGTAGATTCCTCAAAAATCTAGGATTGGAGGGCTCACAGTCTAGCTATTCCCAACTGGGTGTCTTCCCAAAAAAATTAAGAACATCATACCACAGTGATACATGTGCACTCATGTTTATAGCAGCACAGTTTATAATAGCCAGATCTTGGAAAAAACCTAAATACCCAGTGATTGAGGAATGGATAAAAACAAATGTAGTGTTTTTATGCAATGGAGCACTACTGAATCATAAAGGACAAACTGGAGACTTTTATAGGTAAAAGGATACAACTTGAGACCATACTCATTAGTAAAATAAATAAGACACACATGTGTAAACATCATATTGTCTCATTAGCATTAAAAGCTGAAAGAAACAACATATATATGTGTATATATATTTATATATAAAAACAGTCAAGATAATTTAAAAATTATGTAACATTTGATACTACTAATATTACTGATTTGAGCAAATCACATATTATATGCTATAATTATAAAACTATAAAATACATAAAAGCATGGATTATTCTCAATATGAGCTTGTTTTGTTTTGAGACAGGGCCTGGCTATGTAGTGCAGGCTGGCCTTGAACTCCCAGAGCTTCTCCTGCCTTGGCCGCTTAAGTGCTGGGGTCACAGGCATGCACTACCACGCACGGCACAAGCTTGTTTTCCTAAAGCTCTTCCACAGAGTTCTTATAAACCTTAAATGTCACCAGAAACTTTTAAAAGTTGTCTCATATCACATTGTTCCTTTTCTATGAGAAATCCAGCATAAAGATGAAGACAGCTTAGGAAGAGGAAAGGGACAAGTGTGGGGGACAGGTGAGGGAGGGAAGGGAAAGGGGAGGAAGATGTGTGGTGTAAGGTGTCAACTCCACACAAGGGAAGGGAACTTTACACACTACGCACATGTACTAGCACACTAAAACTAAGAAAGAGAAAATGAATTTAGGAGATCCAAGAAACTCACAAAACAACAATTTAGTTTTTACTTGAGGGGAAAAGAGACTTCTGGATTATGTTAAATTTTTCCTTCCATAAACTTCTGTATTGCTGAAATTTCCTTTTTCATAAGCATATAGTGATATACATGAGAAGAAATTTTAAAATACATGTAATTTTGAAATGAATAGCAACAAATAAACTAACTCAACTTTCCCAAGTAAGTCCCTGTATGTACCCAGGTCCTCGTCTCCTGATGGATCAGCTCTCGTGGCACAGTTACAACGAAACAGTGCCTTTCCTAAGTACTGAAGTATCACACACAGTGACAAGTGGCTCCTTCTCCAGAAATACTCTACTCTACACTACCTGAGTATGTATGTGTAACTAGGTAAGATGGTAGGTTTTAAACCGTCACATGCCTTCGCATCAATACATTTAACCTGAATGATTATGGTGACACATGCGGGGTGGCGATCCAGAAGACCACCTGCCTACTGCATAACTCACTGACCAGTGAAATCCAGGCACCGCATGCTGACTTGCTGGAGATAAGCTTCAGCAGTCACGGCATAAGCTTGAACTCTAGCTTCCACTCCAAGCTGCAGGACACTGAGCTCGTGCACTGGCCTCCCACTCTTTTCCGCCTTTTTCATCAGCATCACCATAACCTGTAGGAATGCACCAGTATTACCACCCACGATTTCACTGCTGCACAAGAATTTAATAAGGACACTGATACAACACTGAGAGTCACACAATGTAAAAACGTCCACCTTCTTTGGTGACTGGAGGCGGCATCATTTACCCGAGGCGACACCTATGCTTGTTCAGACTGAAGCACTGCCACTCTTTTCTAGTGGTTTTCTCCACCCTGACCACTGTCCTCAGGGAAGGGAACTACCATAGTATCTACAGCAAATCATATTACAAAGGACTGACAGGTTTTCCATCTACTTATGTAAATTACACACTTGTCAAAAAATTGACTCCAATCAGTCTTTTAATTATCAAGCTTAAAAATCTTCAGTAACTAAGCTAAGCATGGTGGCACACACTTGTAATCCCAGCACTCGGGAGGCTGAGACAGGAGAATCATATAGCAACTTTGAGACCAGCCTGGGCTACAAAGTAAGCTCAAGGCCAGACTGAACTGCAGAGGGAGACACTTTCTCAAAAACACAAACAAATAAAAATAAAAATAAAGCTTATGTAACTGATATTACACAGAAAACATACTGGAGGTTTAACAATCCAGAATCTAGTTGCGAAGTGAACACAGAACCCATTCATTCATCTTTAGCTCAGAGGAAGAGCATGACATTTAGAGAACTACGCAACAACCAGGTATTTTGGGAAAGGTCCGTGGTTCCCTGTACGCTCTATGCTTTCTCACAACTTCATGCCCACTCCAGTCCATCCTGCCCCCCCCCTTTCTTAATCTCCTTTTCTCAGGTTATTTACTGCTGCTCTTTTAAAAGCTCAACTCAAAGTTACACTTCCTGCAGGAAAACTCAGTTTAATACACTTGCGGACCCTCTCGGTTTGCTCAGATGCACCTTCCCTACCACCAGTGCCACAAGCTTAACAGAACCCTAACTGAGCACATCTTTAAGGGGGAACAAACACTTCCGAGCTCAAGGTCTAGGCATCTAAATACCTAGCACATGCAATGAATACGTGCTGAGTGTGTGCGTGAGGGAGAGGAAAAGCTACCTGACCTTTCCTCAACAATCTGTAAATGGAAGTACACTGACCGAGTACCATTCTGCATGAGTACCATAACGCTTAGTGTACACTTACTGGTTTTATTCTCTTTAGAATTTCTAACATTTGTAAAGGATTTTGCATCACTAGTTCCCTGTCTTGTTATGCTTAGATAATAAAAAACGCAAAGCAAGGCACATTCTGGCTGTCTCATAATCATTAAAAGGAAGTTATAGAAAATCCTACAGCTTTCTCTATGTAATCTTATATCCCCCAAACATAACTCATCCTTAAACTCTCAAATTTTAAACATCATTACATGTAAATAGCCTACCTAAGATTTTTTCACCCATATTAATTACCAGAAGCTTATTTTAATACAGGTAATTCTACAAATCCATTAACTTACCTCTCTACAAAAACATGAAAATCACCTACCTCTTTAATTTCAAAATTCAGCAGTACATTAACAATGTTTACAGATCTAATTTCTTCTCTTTCAGCTCTTGAAGCATCTTTCGAAGTTTGTAATCTCTGTGATGTAGAAATTTCAGGGGCATCTTTGATTTCACCTACAGATGTTTAAAAGAAATTCATTCACTTCTATGCACACATTTCTTACACACTCAGGAGGACATGGAGAAGTGCTCTGGACCTAATAATCCATAAATCAATAACCCTTCTGGCCCTCAGAAAACCCACAGTTTAGTACAAGAGACATATACATTTAAACTAAAAACAAAAGACTAGGCATGGTGGCACATACCTATAAAAAACAAAAGACTGGCACTCTGGGAGGCTGAGGCAGAAGAAAGGCAAGTTCAAGCCCAGCATGGGACTATTAACAACTCAGCAAAACTATGTCTCAAACAAATAAATAAAATGCTAAAAAGGCTGGGGATGCATCGCTTTGAGTTCAATCCTCAGGAAGGGTGGATAGACAAGACACACAGACAGGTATGCACACTCACACACCTACACCCACACACCCACACACACACACAGTCTGCCCACTAGCCAGCCAGGCAGCCATACCTACTCACATGGAGTGGACAAAGGTTAACAGACTCTAAGGTGCACAGATGACACCAAACAAGGCACAGCCTGGTTCCAGCGTGGGGAAGAAAGGCCTGAGGGCGGAGGCATCCTCCAAGCAGAGCTGAAGACATGCTCCCGAAGAGTGGCTCCCTACAGCTTCACATAAAACTCGGGGAGATACGAGACCCTCCACGGTGGGACCGGTCGGAGCACAGTGACCTCTGGGCAGATGGGGGCACTATCTAGGCCTCGCGAGCCATGCTGCACCTCACTCACAGGGATGACACAGGAGCACACACTATAAAAACTCTGCCTCGCACACAAGATGTGTTCATGGATGTTACAGTACAGTGAGAAAAACCCTGAAATCCTATGTTTCACTTTAAAAAGGGGCAAAACGTTTTAAATCTGGTACTATCTGGTGTTATAAAGGCACGCAAAAGCTACCCAGTAGGAGTACAAACCTAACACAAGTTCTTTAGTGAGCAATCAGCAAGATCTGCCAAATGATTACATCAATTTGTTAGATTTTTATGTAACTACTAATAAATTTAAATTAATAAAGATTGCACAGGCCTTAACTGATATTTTCTTATGACACACAAGTGCAAATTCAGTGCAACGTGATACAAATGAAACTTTGGAAGCGTGAAATTTCTGTCAGGAGAGACTTGCTAAATAAATTACGGCACGTACTTCCACAGGCTCTAATACCAGGCCGCCATTAAACAGAATGAAAGCAGCAGGCATGCTGGCAAAGGCCTGTAATCTCAGCACTCTGGGAGGCGCTGTAAATCAAACTCAGCCTGGGCAGCTCAGCAACACAACAAGACCCTACCTCGAAATCTAGGAAAGGGCTGGGAATGTAGCGCTGTGTACAGCCCTAGTACTTGTGCCGTTCGGTGCCATGAAAAAAAGACAAAAATGAAGACAGCCTATAGGGAGCACATAAACAGATATAAAAAGCACACACAAAAGATACTGATAATTTAGGAAAAACATAGCAAGGTTCACAAACACAGGTGCTAATTTGAAAAACACTGAAGATTATATCAATATGTGTGTGTGCATAACACATTATTTATATACATAAGTGTGCGTGTGCGCGTGTATATACAGCAGCATGGAAAGTATGTAGTGGTTAAGCGAAAAGGCCGTATCTGATCATTTAAATTTGCTTACATATTTATTGCAGCATGTTCTGGGATCTTCGGAAGGAGTGATAATTTATCAACTATTTTAATTCTTACAGACATCTGATTACTAAGCCTAATTTAAAAATCATATGGAATGTGCTACCACAGCTTAGTGGCAACTTAATTGCAAATTTAATAATTATTCCAGGACTTCATAATACCTGCTTGCTTAACTAATAAGAGTCAAGCATCTTTAACCACAATGTGTTATTTTCTGTTTTTGCTTTTATTTTTAAGACAGGATCTGTGTAGTTCACACTAGCCTTGAACTCGCCACGTAGCACAGGCTGGAACTCAGGACAACTCTCCTGCCTCAGGCTCCTAAATGCTGGGCCATCAGCAGGCAGCAGCGTGTCCAGTTAACACATTTCCACTGGGTGGCACTTTGTTTATTTGCTGGTAATACAAATCCAAATCATGAATGTGTACCTGCTTACCTCACGTGCCCTGTCTGTGCTGGGCTGCAGGTGCAGCACAGGGGTAGTATGTGCACCTTAACTCCTAGACTCTGGATTCAAATCCCAACCCACCATACAGAGAAGAGAACGATGTCTTCTCATTGTCTATCAAACTGCAAAATAACTGTGAAATGTTAGCCACCTACTGTGCATCTCTTACCTGTCTCTGGTACTCTTGGTTTCACGTTATCTAACTCTTCAGGAGTTTCACCAAGATTTTCCGACAGTATTCTAAACAAAACATTAAGATCTTCTTGATTTAGACAAACCTGTGAAATATTAGGTTCAAAAGGTAGATATATTTCATTTAAAATGCAGCAGTTTATTACAGAACATTCTCAGAAACAAAGCATGAAGCACAGAATAACCCTACCTTACCAAAAATATATACAATTACTACACACGTGTTTCACTATTTCATGTTAACATTTTATTTTCAAAGATAGTAACATAGGTCAACATTCACTCCACTGACTTAATTTATATTATTTTTTACTGAAAGGTATAATTAGAGAGTTGATTTTTTTAAAAGACATTCTGCAAATACATCCAATTTTGTTTGTCTGTTTGTTTAAACTGAGTGAAACAAAATGGCTGTTTTCAGTTACCAGGCACTTCTCCCAATGCTATAATTATCTTAGAGGTACTACTTAGATGACCTTAAAAATTAAGTGATATATGATATACAGCAGACATGAAACCAGGAAAATTTGTGCACAGATTTCCTTCCATATGTACAGAAAATGTAAAAGTTAAATATTACTTATTTAGAGATTTTTACTGAAAGGGGTAATACCTTTTTGAACTATATCTTACTGAAATTCTTACATCATTCAGTAAAATACTCTACTTTTCAGGGAGTTCTATATTAAGAAAGTCTTCAGAATGTAAGACTTCAATGACCAAGGTGTTTTTTTTTTTTTTTGCACTTGTGCACTTACATTCATTGTATCAAGATGTCCTTTAATTTCCACAACAGGTACCTTATGATACCAATTTGCAGCGAGATTTCGATTTACAAAAAACTCAAAGTTAATTGGGTGCAACAGCTGAATATCAGGCTGGGAGGTGCCTGGTTGGATTACTGTCCTAAAGAAAAACAGAAACATCAGATGTGGACATGTATGAGGGAAACACAACAAGAGCCTTTGCTCTTAAAACAGCAAAGACAAGCGGTCATTTGCCTTTTTAAAATACTGATTTGAAGCAGCGTTACTTGAATTTTTCACTTCAAAACCGAGTTATAATTAATTGATAATCCACTATCAGGGACAAATTACACTGTACACTGTACACTATTAAGAAAACATTTTTCTTTTAAAAAGAAATTTACACCGTTGAAGATGTGCAAGAAATTATCAAACTGTTTCTTGAGGACTAGCAGAGTTAAAATCACCAAACAGAGGTATTCAAACACACTGCTACAGTGGACCAGGAATGTTTCCACAAGATCAGAATGGAGAGGACAAATGACTGCTGCCTAGAGATGTCACGACTGTCCTTGGTGGTAGTGCAAGGCACGATGTGTGGGTGTGGAGATGCTGCTGTGAGCAAGCCTACCATACAGCCAATCACACAGAATCACAGCACATAAGACCACCATAGAGTACAAAGTCTTGATCATAAACTACTGTCACTGGCTTATGGATTTATTATACTTTTATTACGTTAGACTATATTTTATTTACCAAACAAATGTAACTACAACAGCTTGCCCCGTCACACTGACAACAGCCTCATCATCTCTTGCTGACTGTGGATCCGGATTACAAAAGACCACATCAAAATAACTGACCTACACCAGCAAGGCTCATCCAAGGAGCACTGTGACGTTCACACAATGATGAAATCGCCCACAACTCGTTTCTCAGAAGGCAGCCTCACTGCTAAGTGATGTGTGACTGTGCGTTTGTTGGTATGGAGACCAAAAAAGACAACAGTAACAGAAACATTCTCAAATCACATGTCTCACAAATTTACTCTCCAACAGTATTTTCTGCAACTGTCTTATGAGTATTACTTTTTAAAATATGGATAGTTAAATCACCTTGGATGGAATAGGTCCTGAGTTTTAATTTTTTGTGTGTCTTCATGTCTCACACAGTGTGAGCACTGAGGGTATTACTTAGAGAGCATTCAGGCCAAAAATGCTTCGGCTTAATCAAAACCCATGAGGAATCACTCAAAAAAAAAGTTGTTTCATGGAACAGCCAGATTATACCTCTCAAAACCAGCATCATTGTAAGAGACAGAAAAAGGTGCAAGAACCATTCTAGAGAAAGCATTTATCAGGACAGAAGTTCTTCTCAGTAAGAATGGAAACAATTATGTGTGATTCTGGAAGGGGAAGGGAAATTACTACAAACAACATCACTGCAACAACTGATATGACCTTAATGCAGACTGCACGTTAGGTAATATTACGGTGATACTATATTTTCAGAATCTCACAAATACATTGTAGTTAACGTCAAGAGAATGAATTTTCTTGTTTATAGGACACACATGGTGAAATATTTAGGGGCAAAAGGTCAAGATGTCTATTATTAAATGATTCAGCAAAAATGTTTTACATTGTAAAGATGCTATAAGTAAATGACAGCAAATGTATAACAGACTGGTGAATGTAGATGAAACATTTATGTGTACAGTCTTTATTTTTCCAGTTTTAAAAAGGAAAAAACCACTGATTCTGTGAAACAGCAACCTGTTGAGTATGAACTTGAATGATCATGAAATATCATAGAAAAAGTGAACCTAATACTTAAGCCCGGAAACACTGGAGAACACACCTGGACAGCTTCAGGTCCGTGAGCTGCACATCCATTCTATCAATCACAGGAGGATTTACAGACCCTTCCCCAGACACAAGACTGAACTGGTTCTGAACTCTGATCAAACCAAGGTCCACCACAACAGCGTTGCTGGAAACAGAAGACTGTGGGATGACAATAACGGGTGCTTTCAAATTAATGCTGACAGAGAAGCGCAAACTCCGCTGGGCAAGGTCTTTCACACTGGTGGCGGCCTTTTCTGCAGCCTGCGCGGTGGCTGCGCTCAGGGCCTCTTTGGCTGTCTGGAAATTGTTCAGGAAGTTCTGTAGACACAAAGGAAGTACAGAGAAACTGAAACGGAAAGCAGGCTCTCAAGAGGGACACCACCTTTTGTCTCCATGATGCTGACATCTTTTAGGACAGGTAACTTTCTGTTAAGCCTGCTCTGACCATGTTAGATGGGAGCAACTACTAACTCATCCAAGGTCACGAGCTGCCTGGCTTACACAGGGGTTACACAGGGTTACACAGCTAAGGAAAAGGAAGGACGGAAATCCATTCTCATGATTTCTGCATGGAAGAATGCGGCTTCAATACTTACTCTAACAAAAGTAACTTCAATTCAACACAAAAATCATTAAATCACTCAGATTTTAACTGTTAAGACAATTTACTTGAACCTTCATACATAACTACCACATCTAATCAAACAATATCACCTACAATGCAAGATTTGGAACACTTGCAATCATAACTATCAGCATTGTTTCCTCAGCTGAAAAACTCATATGAAAATAGCGATTTTACCAAAAGGGACACAAGGAACTTATGAAGATAGACAATCTGAATGCAGCCAACATTCAGCGACACCACGCCATCCACTTTGGACATGTCAGTGTATGAATCCCCTTCAGTCGCATCTGGGTACAAATCCAAGTTAAAACGAAAAACTTCATTTCCCATTATTGACACAGCCTGGAAAAACAGAAATGTGAACATATTCTTTCTACCAAAGTAATGACAAAGTAAATTACCACTTAGAATATGGTTTATATTTATAATCTTTATAAAAAAACAAACATTTTCATGAAGTATACTTAATTTCAAATACATTACTTTAAAATTGGATTTTATATGCAATCACCAAAAAAATAGTAATCATTTATTTAGTCCAACTTACTTTTTTATGAACTGTCTTAGGATCAACGTCTGTAACAATAATATTTTCCAGTCTGGCAAAAAGTGACTGCTTCCTTGACTGAAGAGAAAGAGAAGAGTCGAGGCCTGAAAAAAAAAATTAATATAACTTCTATAGATCTAGAACGAATAAGATATTTATTTCTATTGTATGGTGCAATTTTTAAAAATTTAGCAACATCTCAATTCCCAACTGATCAACAAGCTATAATATTAGATATTTTATACTTTTATAAACACTCAACTTCTAAGTTAATAAACATTAATTACCAGAATTTTCAATCCTCTGACAAAAGTACGTGAGAGATGATCTCGGGATTTAGTATATCCCTTATATCTTAAACCCAGGTATCTACATGGAGACTATGGAAGTGTCACAAATCCAGTTCATTCTAGTTGATGTACTACCAGATTAGAAAGGACAAAAAGAAATCCCTACCTTTCAGGTTCTTAAATTCTTAAAGGATTTCATGAAACAGACTGAGCATATCTTCACCTTCAGCAAATGACAATACATTCTTATAACTATTAAGACCAGAGACAGAGCGAGATGCATTTCAGCAGCTTTCTCTATAGATACTGATGGCTCACAGGCTTTCTCTCATTGAAGGGCTGCTGTGCAGAAAGCACAAATGCACAGAGCAGTACTAACCTCCATTCCATCACTACATACAGACAGATAACTACACCCATGATGAATAAGGCTGGTGAAGAGCAGGATGTTCGCAGACTGCGTGTGCAAGCCGGACTGCCACTCCTGCCACCCGTCAGCATTTCTGCGCAGACATGCACTCTTCCACCCTACACAAGCCTGGGCCAGGCCCACAGCACCAGCGCACGCCATGAAGGAGCGGCGACGGCCTTGAACAACTGTTCCCCAAGAAAAAAGCACCCGATTCAACAGTATGCTGCTGGCTCTACCCCTGCCGAAGGCCTCGTTCGTGTATTCTTTAACATTGAAAGGGAATAAATGAAAGAAGAAAAAAAAGCTCATCTTTTAATGAATTTTAACGCTGTATTTTTTACCTTGTTTTTTGTTCTGTTTTGTTTGGTGATGCATGGAATTGAACCCAGTGCCACCAACAGGCTACATTCGCAGCCTTTTTCATTTCGTATTTTTTTTGAGATGAGGTCTTGGCTAAGTCACTAAGTTACCTAGGCTGGGCTTGAACTCTAGCTCCTCCTGCCTCAGTTTTCTCAAGTATGTTACCTTCTATCTTTTTGGGGTTTTTTGGATCCATGACCCAAACTCAGGACCTCATGCTTGCCAGGCAGGCATTAGGCCACTGGGCTATATCCCCAGAACCTGTTACCTTGTATCCTGATTTCAGCAATACTGCTCTTCTCATTGCAAATGGTGACACAGAAAGCATTTAACTTGGCAAACAGTCTGAAGCCAGTAACATCACTGTCTTTAGAGGATACAATCACTAAAAAGAAAATAAGAGTTATTTCACAATACAATTCAGATAATATAAATTCTATTCAAGACTTTTCTATATTAACTGAACCACAATTCTGTTAAACAGAAATATACACATACACAAGTTAAATTACAAACTTAATTTCAAATACTTCTTTTGCCTTACAAAACTAGGCTTTTTAGTAGATGTTCCTTTTGCAATTTAAAAAGAGTCAGTCCCCGACTTATGAACAAATTCTATTCCAGATTTGTTCGTAAGCGAACAAAATGCATCTTATAGTTCAGTCTGAATGTCAGTAAGTTGGTGACGTTCTGTAAAACAAAGTAAATAAGCACAATAAAATTCTGAATAGCTAAACAATACACCTACAGCCACATAGTTTAAGTAGGAAGGTCAGACTCTGAACTGAGCACTTTCCTTTCTGAAATCTGGGCTCTTGGCTTGTAACACCTATCTAGAAGCTGGCCTGTCCCTGGGTCAGGATGGCCTCCAAGGCCTCGAGGAGAGTTCTGCTCTCAAGAGCCACTGAAGGGAGGAGAGCACACTACAAATAGAGGTAGCCTCACATGCTGCCCCAAGACAACCCCACACTACAGAAATGAGAACAACAACTTTTTTTAAACAATAGTGTTATCTATATTTGCCTCGTGTATCAGATGCTGGTATCTGATTTAGTGCAATAAAAGGGAAAGCAGGAAACAGCATTTGAATTATTGAATTAGCTGACACCTTAGATTGCTCACTGAGCTCTGATAAGAAACACACAAGTCTTTCCCACCTTTCTGCAGAGAGGAATTTGTTTGCTTCTCAGTGGAGATCTGCACCCCTGGTGGGCCGCCCATGCTCTGCCCATCAGAGGGAAGGATGGTTGTCAGGTAGTTAATAGAAGAGAGAAGAGCTTGGGTTTGCAGCAACAAGTTCAAAGAGGAAAAGGCCACCTAAAAAATTTTAAAACAAAGTTACTTTTCACTGGCAAATGCCAAGCTGCTGTATGCACAAGGGGCCTGACAGGCAGCCAGGCTTGCATCACGGCTTCGCAGCTTCCATCACTGGGAAGACAGCAGCGAGGGAAGTCATGACCCTCAAGGCAGGGGTGCAGAGAGAGCAAATTAGATGTTCTCGCTCAGTGCTCAGCGCAGATTAGGGCACAGGTCCCTAATCACTCCATTTCCCAAGCAGCTGCCCAGGGAGCATATATTCTGCTGCACGTGGCCACCTGTATTCCCAACATGCATCTTTGTACATTTCCCATTCACTACTCATCATGATCATATAACAAGTTTAAGTCAGAACCTGAAACTCCACAAGCACTACATACTACTAAATCCACAGAGGATTCCAAATGTGGCATCTGTGAGATAAACAATTGGGAGAGTTCTGTTACTAAATCATTAAAACTACAAAAATGGTCCTCTCATAAACACAGAGGAAAGTAAATGTCATAAAAGTACTACACTTTTAGAAAAATGACTCCAGAAAGCTAAGACAATAACACAAATTGCCTCAAAGAAAGTGGTTTTCTAACAGCAAGTTAAAACAAAAGCTCCTTATGGAAAAGAATCTTTCGTTTTCTCATTTCTGCATGGAAAGAAATGTACACAAACAGTATGCTTATAATTCCAGCACTCAGAGAGACTGAGGAAGAAGGAATACAAGGCCAGACACTGTCTCAAAATAAAAAATGTAACAACAGAAAAACACATGCACACATCAAAGAGGAATGTTCACCTATTAAACCAGACCCTCTCAACCCTCTTTTTTGGTGCAACCCACAAGCACCAGCTGCCACTTCTTTAGGAGCACTTACCTCCCTCCCTGTGTCCTACACACTTTCTCAGTCCTGTATTACTTGAAGCTTACAATCCTCTCAGCTGTTTATAGATTACTGTTCCCTTATCTAAAGCATTCCCTTCTTTAGAAACAACACTGCAAGGGCTGGGGATTTAGCTCAGCGGCATAAATGTCTGCCTTGCAAGTGTACAGTCGGGATCCCAGCAGTTGGGTGGCTGAGGCAGGAGGATCGTTGCAAGTCCGAGACCAGCCTAGGCTACAAAGTAAGCTCAAGGGCCAGCCTGAACTGCAGAGAGAGACCCTGCCTCAAAAAAAAAAAAAAAAAAAATTATAATATGACACAGCCAGCCAAAGTAACAGGGTTAATTTTTCTCCACTTAGTATGATATTGGCTGTTGGTTTGTCACAGATGCTTCAAGAATAAGACAAGGATGTCCACTATCACCACTCCTACTCAATATAGCTCTGGAGACATTATACAGAGTAATTAGACAAGCGAGAGAAATAAAAGAAATAAGGATAGGAAAAGAAGTTGTTAAACTATCATTATTTTCAGATGACATGGCATTCTACATAGAAGACCCCAAAAACTACATCAAAAGACTACTACACTTCATCAGATTCGGCAGTGTGCCTGGATACAAAGTCAGCACTCAAAAATCAATAGCATTCCTGTACACAAACAACAAACTCACTGACAGAGAAATTATGGAAATAATACCCTTCACCCAAAATATGAAATATTTAGGAATTAAGCTAACAAAGGATATGAAGGATCTACTGAAAAAGGAGACCTAACATGGTATCAGAAAATAGGAAGCCATCCCTTCTTCTTGGATAGAAGGAATCAACACTGTGAAAATGGCCATACTCCCAAAACTATTATACGGATTTAATGCAATTCCTATCAAAATACCATTAGCATACTTCACAGATCTAGAGAAAACATCCATAAAATTCATTTGGAAACAGAAGAGACCTAGAATAGCAAAGGCAATCCTGGGCAACAAAGGCAAGACAGAGTGCATCACAATTCCTGACTTAAATTATACTATAAAGCTACTGTGATAAAATCAGCATAGTAGTGGCAAAAAAACAGACCTTAAGATAAATGGAATGGATCAGAAGATGCAGACAGAAATACAATGACACTCAGCTACCTTATTTTTGACAAAGGGGGCAAACGTTCACTGGAACATGTTCACTGCCTCTTTACTAAGCAGTGCTAGAAAAACTGGCTTTCCACATGCCAGAGACTAAAATTAGATCCGTGTCTATTACTGTGCACTAAAGTAAAGTCAAAATGGATTAAAGATCCAAATACTAAAACAGAAACACTAAATCTACTGGAAGATAAGGTAAATAGAAATCTTGAAGACACAAGGTAGGCAAAGAATTCATGAACAAAAATGCAAACTGCATAGAAGTACTTCAAAGAATCAGCAACTGGGATTCTTATCTTATTAAAAAGTTTTTACACTTCAAAAGAAATCACAGAGTGAAAAGAAAACCCATAGAGAAAAAATTTTAGCCTCCTGTCCCTCAGACAAAGGACTTACTAGAACATATAAAGAGCTGAAAATATCAGGCCCCTCAAATTCAAAGACTTAATTCAAAAATAGGCATCTGTGATGAGCATGCCCTTCTCAGATGTTGAAATACAAATGGCAAATAAATTTACAAAGAAATCTTCAACATCACTGGTCATTCGAGAGATGCAAATTAAAGCAACACTGAGATTACACTTCACTCCACAAAGAATGGCTGTTACCAAGAAATCAACCAATAACAAATGTCGGTAGGGAAAAAGGAACCCTTCTCCATTGTTGGTGGGAGTATAGACCGATGCAGCCACAGTGAAGATCAGTGTAAAGATTACTCAAAAAACTAGGACTGGAGGGTTCATTCAATTTAGCTATTCCTCGACTGGGTAATTTTGCAGTTTCCAGAAGAACTGAAAACATCATGTCAAAGTGGTAAATGTGCACCAATGTTTACAGCAGCACAATTTATAATTGGATTGATCTGGGAAACAACCTAAGTGTCCATTAACTGAGGAATGGATAAAAAAGATGTGGTATTTTTTTTTTTTAATTTTATTTAAGGAGAAAAGAAAAAAAAAAAGCAGGGAAAGGGTACAAGTTATACAGATTTACAGAAAAAAATGAACAGTAGGAAATCACTAGTTAATGGATTACATATTGTCATCTTAGAAATAATTGTTCAAGTCACAAAATTAAAGCTTGTAAAGTGGACATTCCATCAATGATACTGCAAACAGTTCTGTTCATTGATCCAATAAAACTCTGTGATATCATTTTCTGTCTTATACACTTAAATATACATGCAGTTACATAGTTTAGAGTACTTTCTTTTCCTCTCTTTTGTACCATGACTATTACACATTTTGGGTTTCATTGCTCCCACGGTTCTTATTACTTTTTTGGAAGAGAGTAAAACCAAATGTGACATAACAGAACAGAATCGGTCAAGTCAAAAGGGTGGACATAATAGATAATGTAAAAACATAATACAGGTGATCAACAATGGTTACCATAATGTCTCCCGCTATCTCTAATAGAATTGCCTATATCATTAGTTATAATACAATTGAACAAAACAGTAAAGAATAAAACCGACAAAACCAAAACATTGGAGACATTGTAGGTCTTCAAAAGTAGCTAAAAGTCAACAAGAATGGGCGTCATAATGAATCTCATTATCTTCACAGCTGATGCCTAAACTTTCGAACCTGATACTATCCAGCAAAACAGAATAGGGGAACATCAGTTAAAAACCAGATGGTGAGAGTAATACAGGGCTTTAAATCAAGGTAATGAAAAGTCAAAATGGGTTACTATAATATATCCTGCTATTTTTTTCCTTTAATTAAAAGGATAAAGATAAAAAAGTAAATAATGGAGTGGAGATTGAGATAAAAGAGGGCATAACAACGAAACAGCGCAGATCAAAACATAACCATTTAAGCAGAATAGTGTTTCACCACCAGATAATCCTAACCTAAAAGTAGTTACCATATTGTTTCTTTCTTTGAAATCCTTGACTACAACTTCGTATACTGTAGCATTAAGTATATCAAAACAATGTAAAACCATTCAAGAGAATGACAGCATTACAGAGTATTTAGAATCGACTAACAGAAAATGAACAATGGTTTCTGTATAATCTCCTTGTCTTTAAAAGGTTTTTGCTTATACTATCGTACATAATAAAATCCAATAAGATACAGCCTATTTAGACCATTGGAGACAGAAGGACAAAAGCTAGATGAGACTTCAAAACAAGATGATACTAAATCAGTATTACCTATTAAGATGTCATTTTCTCCAAAATAGCTGTTCCTATCATCCAATCTTCTCTGCCTCATTTCTGTTAAGCTCTTTTTCTGTCAGTAGCTGTCAGTTTGTCTTCTTCATTTTGTTCTCTGCTCCATTTGTTGTGGCCTCCCCGCCACTATTTCTGGGTTCTTTGTATTTTTCTTTTTTTAGAATATCCTGCAATACTTTCTGTAGAGTTGAATTGGTGGTTGCAAATTCCCCCAGTTCCTCTTTATCCTGGAAGCACCTTGTTTTTCCATCAATTTCCAGGGACAGTTGTGCAGGATATCTCAATCTTGGCTGGAGATTATTATCTTTCAATGCTTGAATTATTTCCCCCCACGCTCTTCGTGATTTGATGGTTTGTGCAGAGAAATCTGCTGTAATTCTGATGGGTGTTCCCTTGTAAGTGGTCTGTTTCTTGTCTCTTACAGCTTTTAATATTCTGTTCTTGTATTGAATTTCTGGAATTTTTATTATTATATGCCTGGGTGTTGCTCTGTTTGGGTTGTAGGTAGCTGGGGTCCTGTATGCCTCATACATCTGAGTATCTTTACCTTTTGCTAAATTAGGAAAATTCTCCTGGATTATTTCTGTGAGTAGCTTTTGTAGTTCACTTGTTTGCATCCCTACTTCTTCTTTTATGTTCTTAATCCTTAAGTTATGGATCCTCTTATCATCTTCTTGTCTTTGTATTATTGCTGTTTGTTTCTTTGTTATTTTTAAGAAGTTTTTCATTTCATTCTCCCATATTACAAGTCTGCCCTCCAGTTCAGATAGTCTGTCCTTAGTTTCTTTCAAGCTGTTATGCCAGTCTTCGATAGACTTCTTAGTATCTTGGTAGTCCCTTTGAACCTGCTTCACGTATTCTATGCTTTCTCTGTTTTCTCCATCAAACAATTCTCCCCTTTTTTTCTGTTCTTCCATTCCATCACCTGTTTTTTCTTGGGTGGTGCTTAGCATTTCTCTAACTATTCTGCATACTTCTAGCTTCAGGTCGTTGATAACTTCATTCCTGAATTGGTCTATGAGGCTCTCTATATGGTGCCTTATGTGTATTGGTGCGGTGTCTGCTATTGCCTGTTTCTCAGAATTGGGGGCCGAGGAGACTTTCTTGTTGCTGCCTCTTCCCATGCTGCCTCTTCTTCTCTGTTCCTTATATATGCAAGCTTATATAAGAGGCCCAGCTTCTCTCCCAGTCAGCCACAGCCTGATCGAATTGCGCCAGTTAGGTGTTCCCGCTCACCGCTGCGCACCAGGGAGTTACGGACCAGGCAGCCTATGCGTCTCCCCTCCCGGCCACTGTCAGGCTCTGGGATCTGGGTTGGGACAGTCTACCAGGTCCGCCGGCAGCGTCACGCAGGCCAGGCACTTTTCACCAATCCCGCCCGAGAGGGGGATGTGTGGCTGGAGTCGCCACCGCGCCCTGCTCCCGCAGGACTGCTCGGGCCCAGAAAGTCCTCTGCTGGAGTCAAACTGTGGTAGAGTGTCAGTTTCTCTCACTCACCTCACCATAAGTCAGTGCACGCCTCCCTGCCGTTCGCAGATTGCCGTTCTCAGAGCTTCTGCACGTCTCTCCCCTTGCCGAGCCGCTGTAGAGGCAGCCAGCCGCTGCGCGGCGGAAAACCCAAATCGCGGCTTACAATGGCGCGGTTCCAGCCTCCACACCGAGTCTTTTCTGTTCCTGTTTTAGCACCAGGACTGCATTCCAAGTTGGCTTCTCTCAGCCCAGTTCGTTCCTGAGTCAGCAGAGCATATCTCCACCTGCTTATGTCTCCTTAGTCCGCACCATTCCTGGCTTCTGAGCCGAGTCTTTCAGAGAGCCGCCGGTAGTTGCTGTTATCTGTCCGCCATGTTCTCCCGGAAGAGTCAAATGGCAACTTAATTGTGTGTACTGAGCAATTGGCTAGATCTTACATCTTTGACATCCTCCATAATATATTAAAAGATCACTGTGTGTCTTTCCGGTCTGTAAGAGTCCTTCCATGAAGCCTGTAGGCCGTAGAAGTCTCAGTAAGCAGTCTAGCCGGGACAGAAATTCTCAGCACTACGTTGTGGTCAGGGCAGCCATGACACCGGAAGTAAGATGTGGTATTTTTATAAAATGGTGTACCACTCAGCTATAAAGAAGGACAAACTTGAGGTTTTTGTAAGTAAATGGATGCAACTTGAGACCAAACTCATAAGTGAAATAAATCAGACTTACATGTGTTAAGTATTGTACTGTCTCTCTTATGTAAAACATTGAAAGGGGGTCAGGGATTTAGCTCAGTGGTGTAAGTGCCTGCTTGGCAAGTGCAAGTTCATGAGTTCGATCCCTGATACCAAAAAACAAAAACAACAAAACCACTGAAAGAGTAAGAAAGATCCAAAATATACAATAGATACTGAGGAAAGTGATAGGAAAAGAATCTGCTCAAAAGGAAAGAACAACTGGAATAGGTGAAAGGAGAAAACAAAGAGGGGAAAGACTATATGTACATAGACTCTTTTTTTTTTTTTGTCTTTTTTGAAGCAGGATCTCACTATGCAGTTTAGGCTGGCATTGAGCTCACTTTGTAGCCCAGGCTGGTCTCGAACTCACAGCGATCCTCCTGCCTCAGCCTCCCAAGTGCTGGGATTACAGGCATGAGCCACCACGCCCAGCTATGTACATATACTGTTTATATACACTCAATAGATAACTATACTACTAAACTATTAGTTTGTCCAAAAAAAGTTTGCTCTTTCATTTTTATGCCTATATCTTGTAACATGAATGTCACTTTGAAGGGAACAATACACAATACATAACCACTGTTAACCTATTACTTTGTTTTGAAATTTTATATCATCATTATTCTTTGGCTTTTAAAATTTAAAAAAAGTAACAGCTTTACTAAAAATCCGAGTATTTACAAGGTTAATTTATAACTTTTATTGGTTCTTGATTATATCATCAAGTTACACAGATCCTATCCCCCCCAAAATACTAAAGATTTCCATTAATAATTATTTTCAATAGGATATATGCTTTAATAGAATTTCTTACCTTAAATGTCTGTTCAGTTTTTTCAAAAGTGGTTTGAAAACTAGGTCCACTCTTATCAGCCTAAATAAAAAATGAACAAAGGAATTAAGACCAAAGTAATTAATCCACTGTAAAGTCATGCATTTTACTGACTGTAATATGCTGTGTGTTCTCCTCTGGGAGCCCGGGAGAACAATTACTCACTTCAGGGAACCTACAGCAGGGTGTGAGAATGATACACCTTGGGAGGTAGAAGGTGCAAAGGTCATCTAGGTCATCTAGTACATTGGACACCTAATGCTGAAATCCCTTGTCCACTTCTCTGGTAAGTCTGTTTACATCTCCAGTAAAAGAAACCTCATCTTCTTAGAAATCCAATCATCAGGGTGCTCTGATTTAATGAAGTCTTTGTACTGCTTCAAGCAATCTCCCAGCCTTATTATTCACTGTATTTCTGATCCCTGAAACAAACAGTGTAACTCTAAACACAAAAGATGACCTCCCGGGGGGCGGGGATTTAGCTCAGTGGCTTAAGCAACTGCCTTGCAAAAAAGCAATCGTGAGTTCGATCCCTGGTACCGATAAAAAAAAAAACGAAAAAACCAAAACAAACAAACAAAAAAAATGACCTCCTGTGAGTTTTCTTCCATCGCTTGTCTGCTTGCCTCTCTGCTCCCACAATGCTTTTATTTTGCTTTATTATATTCATATTACACTGCTGTATAATAATCATATTGTCAACCAATCAACACATTTTAATTATTTATTTTTGTAGCTCTCCCTTCTAGTTTATAATTTGCCTGCAAAACATAATGTTTGTCATCTGTGTCTCTAAGCACCTGGTAGTGTAATCCATTTAGAAACACATATAGACATTCAATAAATAATAAGTGATTAAAACAAACCTATTAAATCTTAAATGAACCTAATTTTATCAATTACTTCAGCACTTTCCTGGTGCATTTCTTGGTCTCTTTCCAGGCCTGGGAGTTCTCTGCAGCACCTGATCCAATGTGTTTTTTTCTTTGAATGTGGCTTAGCCAAACTGTCACCTACTATACAGACAAGTGTGGACATATAATTATGCCCCTAAAGATAGAAACAGTACCTCCTTCCACCCAGGCTTCTGCACTTGAGAATAAGAGGTCAGCAGCCTTCTAATAGCTCTTCACTTAGTGAAAGAGAAACAAAGTGTTTACGTGCAAAAAGAAACAGTTAAAAACTAACCTACCACCCAGAATGATTAGTAACACACTGTCCTGTCCACTTCCCAGGGGCACAGTCCAGACTAGTGCTGGCAAATCAAAGACAAAAGATGCTAATGTACAAGTTGTTCTTTCCTAAACAAAAATCTCAGTATTCAGGTTTAATTGCACTTAATTGGCATTCTGCCATAAAGAAGTGGGTTTTGGGGTGCAGTCTGAGCTCTCATCTCTCCACAGGTTCTCCAGCACTGCCATGGTCCTTACCTTAATATACTCTACTTTTAAAAGATCTGACCCAGGTTTGTCAGAAGAGCTAATCAAGTGAAGGGGCTTTTTTCTTGATCCTACAGAAAAAAAAAAAACATTTTCAAACAAGTTGCTTCTAGAACTTGCTAGACACTTCTTTATAAAAGCTGCTAATTAAGCTTCAAAAGAATACCTGTGAATATTTTCATGGTTATTAAATACTAAAACCATCACTCATGGAGAAATAAGCCACTCCAAGTTCTTGCCTTAGGCATCTAATTTACTTTAAAACATGTATTTATTTTCAGTTGAATTCACATCTGTTCAAAACTAATCAAAGCTTCTTTAGATATTTTTAAGGCCACATGTTCATTAGTAAGGCAGCAGAACAGACTACAGGTGCCAGCATCAAGAAATATCAATTCCAGCTCACCTCTATCCTTCTGACTTAAACTACCAGACATATTTTTCAACAATGTAATGAACAAGTTGGATGGGATTCTGTTGTGTCTAAAATTCTATGAAAGAACTTTATATAGAGAGAACTTTGTGTAGACTGGGAGAAGAGAATTTCAAGAGAAGCAAACTGCAATGCTTCCTGTAAAGTTTAAACACAAGCAGCCTCCACCCCTGCACCTGGGCCAGGGAGCAGCTCCCACGCAGGCCCTGGGAAGGGAGCAGCCGCCCACCGCCCACCTGACCACTGGACTTCTACTCCTGCTTCCCCACCGCACAGGGCATCTTTCTCCCGAGTCCTAATCCTCCATGACAACAAAACAGCCTAGAAAATTTATCATCTACATTTCCCTCTTTCTTTCTGTAAATTCTTTCTTTCTGTACAAAAAAATAGTAACGTAAAATATTTCTTTTCTAAATTGAGGCTGATTTCAGTTACAAATACTCTCAAATTATAAAACCCAGGCCTCTATATTTGACTGAAGCACTAAAGAATTTTAATTATCATACATTTTATTCCTTCATGCCTCAAATATCTGAGGTCACAAGATAAATACTGAGATGAATAAAGTTGTCGAGCTTCTAAGAGAGTGAACTTCGTATTCTCCCATTTTTATTTTTAACTGGAGCTTATGACATGTGACCACTACTGCACAGAAAGCCTGGGACCTGCCAGGCACAGCTGTTGTAATCCCAGCCCTCAGGAAGCAGTGTTGGAGGATCACCATGAGTTTGAGGTCAGCTGGGGCTAAATTAGCAAAATTCAAGACCAGTTGCCTTACATAGTAAGACCCTGTCTCAGAAAGAAAAAACAAAGGGGACCCTCAACATGGTAGGATCAGAGACAAACTCTCCAGTCTTCTAGCCATAAATACATGACATGAAGGAAGCTACTGAATTCTTCTCTGACCCTTTTTGTCTGTCCCTGTGTTTGCTAAGGAGAGTTACACAAAGGCAGAGGTAACAAATCAGAGTAGCTGAGAACAGCAACCCCAGACTGCTAGCCTGCCGGACTGCCAAGATTTCATTCATGGCTCTGCTACTCCTTGTTAGACCAAGGGTAAATTTTATAAGAAATCTATACCTTAGTTACATAAAACTACCAACAGTAACACTATGTTATTATAAGATTTAAATGAATTGTTATTTGTAAAGTGTTTTGAACAATGTTTACTCTTGTTTATAATAGATACTATCATAGAAATAAAAGTGTTTTAGATGCTTAAAAGTGCTACTTTTATCACTTCCATTTTTAGGAATATTACCTTGAATTTCATGGTAATCCAAGCTGATCTTCTTTAAATAAGACACCACAGTTAGGTCGAAAGTTCTCACTGTGGCCTCTGTTCCTAACTGAGTAACATTAAATACTAGAATTGTATCTTCTTCTTTCTGTTGTTTAGTAAATTCCAAAATTACCTAAAAGAATTAGCATAGCCAAGTGAAAAGCTGACAAAAGTTTAAGTCATACTTCAAATAAAAAACAAAGTCTTTCTGCATACACATCACCATGAATACAGTTAAAACTTTGCTCAGACCCCTTTCCCACCATAAAATTATTTAATGTTATAAATTATCATTATCAAGACTATAAATTCCTGTATAAAAGATTATGGTGAAATTTAACATCTTCTGTTGGCTTTATTAAGTTTAGAAAAATTTAGAATTTATAAAGTCTTCCTTAGTATTTTCTCAAACTAAAATCACATTTGGTGATAACAGAAGCTATTCAAGTAAAAATTTATGACAAGAAAGTCAGGCAGCGGGCATATGCCTGTAATCCCAGCACTCAGGAGGCTGAGGCAAGAGGATTGCCAATAGTTCAAGGCCAGCCTGCACTACAGAGCAAGACCATGTCTACAAAACAAAAACAAGAGAAAAAGTTATGACGAGAGTGCTTGTTATCATATTACTTAAGTTAATTGTGGAATGGCAGCTGATACATTTAGATAATAAAAAGCAAAGCATGGTATCTTTTAAAAGATATAAACTCCCTCTTTTTATTTATTTATTTATTTATTTATTTATTTTCCCCCAAAATTCTTTAATACACTCTCCAAAAGACAGAGGTCTGTGCTGCTTCCTCCTGAACCTGGACAGCCTGTGAATGCCTCAACCAATAGAGCGCAGAGGACTCTGGTAACACAAAGGGCCTGGGAAAGCTGACAATCACCATGGGAACCTGGAGAGTCAAGCCCAGATAGCAGCCAGCCCTCAGCCTCCGCCAGCCTCCGCCAGCCTCCAAGGGAACCAAAGGACCTGCACCCCAAGGCTTCCAGTGACTGAAGCCCCAGGTAACACCTGATCAAAGACAACAGGCAAACCCAGAGTAGTCCAGCTGGGCTTTTTGGTACTCCTAACCCACAATGCATGAGCAAACAAAAATAGCTGTCTTAAGCAGCTAAGTGTGAGGGTAACTTGATAAACAGCAATGGTAGCCAGTAAAATAGAAAAACTATGGAAAAGGCACACTAATATTAGCAGGTGGTATGATTATGTACTTAAGAAAAATCAAGCCAAAAGCAACCAAAAACAGAAAGTAACAACAAGATAATACAGTAAGTAAAGTTCAGCACAAACTTCATATACAAAATAAGCTTCCTACGCATTATTTAAACAAAAGCAATGAAATCGTAAATACATAAAACATGGGGCCAGGGATATAGCTCAGTGGCACAGGGCCTGCCTTGACAAGCATAAGGTCCTGCGTTTGATTCCTGGGACCCACAAAAGTAAAAGGGGGAAAATATGTACATTTAATATATATATATATATATATATATATATATATACATATACATACATAGATTTTATATAAACATGGGTAAGTATTTTGTGAGAATTTTCTAGGTATACACTAAAACTGGGTCATAAAGAAAAAAACTGATAGATTTCACTATAGAAACCTTTTTAAAAAGTTCTACTGGGAAAAGTATTCCAAACAGCATTTTTCTTTTTCCTTCAAAAGTTCTGTTTTCACCTCAGTTCATTCAATAGTCAATGAAGTATTTATTGCATATCATGTACCATGCATGTATCAAGCTGTCCCAGGAGCTAAAAAGACCAAGGTTAAGCAGGCAGACATAGTTCTTGCCCTCATGTGCCCCACATGCCAGAGAGAGAAGGAAAAGGAACACTGCTCTCTTGAAGTAGTCAGGTCTTCCCAGTAAGGAGACACATACAAGCGCTTGAAGCACACAAGAACCAAGCCATGCTAGGAAAGTGTCCCCAACCAAAAAATGGCAAGCAGAGAAAGTTCTGGTGCACATATGTGAGAAAAAACACATTTAGTGGACTTGGCGGTGCAAGGACTTCGCTCCCCACCCATTTCCAACATCAACACCGATGTCTGGTGGAGGACGGCACCGCACTCACTGGAGGAATGCAAGAAACGCAACTGCAACAGAGGAAGCAAGCAGAAAACAGTGGCCCAAACAGGCAGGCGGGTGATCCCTGCAAGGCCTTGCAGGCCACAGGAAAGCACAAGTCATCACTGAGCCAGGGGAGGGCACGAACAGAGCAGCGCCAGGACGCGGCCTCCGTGTTAAAAGGGTCGCTTTGGCTGCCGTATGGATAACAGAGCAGCGGTCAGGAAGCTGCTGCAAAGATACAGCCCGGAGATGAAGAGGACAGGACATAGAGCAGCAGTGGGGGAGAGCAAGTATGTGAGTGCAATAGAAAACAAAGCTGAGAGGTCTGCTGCTACTGGGGGCCAAAGAGGAAGAGGAAACAGCAGGCTAAAAAGGCTAACGCATCTCACTTCAAACAAATACCAGCAATGCTTGGTCCGCATGCACAAGTCAAATCAGTGACATTTCTCAGATCTGTAGCTGTAAACACCGCACCCCGAGATGAACAATCTGTACTTATCAAAGAAAACATGTATATGAAATTTTAAACAGATTATGTCCTTGCTAGTGTACATTCCATTTTCATCAAGAAACTATATACCATGACCATATTTCCAGGTTTCCTTTTACTACATGACTTATTTTTTGGACCATTTTGAGACAGGGTCTCGCTAAGCAGTACAGTCTGGCCTTGAGCTCACTTTGTAGCCCAGGCTGCCCTTGGACTTGCGGGATTCTCTTGCCTCAGGCTCCTGCGTGCTGGGATTACATTTCTGTGCCACCACACTCAGCTTACTATATGACTTTTAAAGGGCAGAAAAAGCATGCTGGAAATTTAGGATGTTTACATTTTTCCAAACTATAAATATGACAATGAGCAACTATTATTTAACTCACAAATGAAAGTTAAAAAAATAAGCTGAACTTTGTGACACATGCTGGTAATCCCAGCTACAAAGGGGAATCCAAGGTCAGAAACAGCCTGGGCAACTTATCAAGACCTTGTCTCAAAATACAAACAAAAAAGAGCCAGGGAAGTAGCTCTATGATTCCTGGATTAAATCTCCAGTACCACAAAAAAAAAGTCACAAATTGTCTGAAAAAACACAAATCCTAATTAAAAGCTCTGAGCTCTTCCAAAACAGATCAGACCACAAGTCATCCCTATTTAAAAAAAAAGAAAAAAAAGACTTCCATTGTTTTGACATGGTGTGTGGGGATACATTTTCCTAACCTGATGTGTGGTCTACCATGAAACAGTTTAATGATGACAAGAATACATTCATAGACAAAAAGTACACATACTTCTTTAACTTCAAACTTGAGCAGAAGATTAACGAGGGCCTCGTTCGGAACCTCCGCAGCCTTTCGGGGTTCGGAGCCTGGCGCACCTCTAGGCACCTGGGAGGCACCGTCTTCAGCGTCGAAATACTCATCGTCAGACTCTAGAGTAGAAAGACATCCACTAAACACTGCACAAAGCACTCAAGCCCAAGTCCTCTCAGGCAAAGTTTATGCATTAGATGTAACTCTACATTCACACTCAAAACTGCCCCAGAGCTTTTATCAAGTCCCACGAGGTGACTCAGTTAGGCACGTGATAATCAAATTTGAAATCAAACAGCACTACAATCTTTCCTTCAGTGACTTCATTTTTGGCTTAGTTCACTCACTGAGTACTCCATGAAATAGTTACTGACCCATCTACCATGTTCCAAGCTGTGTCAGCCCCCAAGAACTTAAGAGTGACCAGAACAGACATACTTATTATCTCTGCCAAGCTTATGCTCTAGCTTGAAATCTCAAAAGATCAACTAAGCATGGCTACGGAAAAGGATCACACAGAGATCAGATCATCAAGTAGCTTATTTAGAACCTGAAGTAAAAATTGTTGACCACCAAAAGGGCTTTAGTAAAGAAACCTGACCTTCCAAACGTAAATAACTGAAGGCACACTGTTAGGTAACAGCACGAGAACCAGAACCAGCAGACTGCTGTAATGCACTCCTAACACCTCTGCTTTTCTGAAAATGTTATTGTGATAAAGATAATTTAGAAACACACTTTTACACTCCTTACCTGAATCCATTTCACTCAGCAATAATGAAGTACCAAGGAGAACTTTTGTCCCACTTGAAGCAACAGGAACTGACGATACCTAGCAAAGTACACAGAAACAAAAACAAAATATGAATTTCACAGGATTAAATACACACGAGACTGAAAACTAACAAAGTTCAGAGATGGAAAAACTCATACACGCCATATATAAATCTTCCAACAGAATACATGACATCCAGACACGGGGACACGTGCCTATAATCCTAGCACTCAGGAGGCTGAGGCAAGGAGATTGTTGTGAGTTCGAGGCCAGCCTGAACTATACAGCAGGATACTGTTTTTTAAAAAAATTTTAAATAAAAAAGGAAGGATAAATTCTGTAACTGAATAATAGTTGAAATTTACAAATTAAGATTGTCATCATGTTTAAAAGATAAAATTATGTATAACTCTAGCAGATAAGGTGATTCATTAATGTTTATCATTTAGCTGCTGTGAACATCAGAGGTCCCTAGAAAATGAGTTCAGCATCAGATGATTCTCTCAAAATGTGTTTCTAAGTAAGCAAAAATCCAACATTTCTTCTGTGTGTTTGGGGTGGAGAGGAGGGTTTTCACTAGTAGTTCACGCTGGCCTTGATCTCATTATGTAGTCCAAGCTGGCTGTGAACTCAGTGATCCTCCTGCCTCTGCCTCACAAGTGCTGAAATTACAGGTATGTGCCACCATGCCTGGCCCAACATTTCTTTTATGCTATGAAAATTATTTCAATTAAAGTGACTCAGAACTTTAAAGTCCAACACAAAAGGAAATTTTATCCCCATTATTTTATTTGCAACATTTCTAAGATGATTTATATTTCTAATTTTATTTAAAGTATGTTTTCTATTTTATTTTCCTTTCCTGTATTTTTGGTTCTTTCAAGCATAAAGTTTGCCCTAAAACTGCCTTCCGACTGCTACTCTATTACAGCAGTTGTCTGAAAACAGAAGATTGAATATTTGTGTCATACCCATTACCTGTCTCTCTGGAGATTGAGTTGATGATTTCTGTGGCAAAGGTATACTGTTAATCAAACACAGCACATCTTTCATCTTCTGGTCTGAAATCCTCACATGCATCAAAGGAAGTCCTCCTGATGCTTTAAATCTAAAAACACAATTCAGCCGTAAGATTTCAGGATCAGCCAGCCTCTCCATCAGTACTGCAGAGGGGGAAGGAGCTGCAGAGTCGGGTTACTGTAGACAAGTTCTAATCCAATCCCCGGCTTGTGCTGACAATACTGTCAGCCAACTGGGATTCTAAGTCAGGTTTCCAGGTAATTTAATTAATTTAAGGATACCTGGTAATTTAATTTCCAGGTATCCTTTTTTAAGTAGCCAAACTTTTAAGGTTTTTACAAAGCCTAAACATACTAAACATAATTCTCTTTTTAAAACCAAAACTGCCATGTATACTTTATTTCCAAATATCCAAGATTTCTCATCATTAGTGGAAAAGAGTATCTATCCTGTCACTATCTCCTTGTCTCTTATTTATTTTAACAGAGCACTTGGGAGCACTTCACAAGTCATGTACGGATATACTAGCTCATCTCACATCCCTGGCTGCAGTGTAAGTTCCCTGAGGCCATCTGTCCATCTGTCCACGCTGTGTCACAGGCCTGCTGTCCTCAGCAACTGGCCCCACAGCTGTTCCCTGCACCCACCCCAGTCTGCCTGTCTCCATCACACTGTGCAGCCACTGCCGCCATAAAACTCTTTTTAAGTTATCCCTGGCTTCCTGGCTGGGCTGTGAATAGCCGGGCTTACAGATGCCTACCTGCAGGTGGGCTTTTAGGGTCAGGATAAGGGCAGCAGTGGTTAGAGGGAAACTCACAGCGCTACATGCCTACATGAGCAACAAGGCTCAAACAAATGACCTCAACTACTACCTCAAGAAACTGCGAATGAAAGGGCAACAAAACTCAAAATACGCAGGAAAAAAGAACAGCAGTAAACATCAGGGTAGAAATGAGGACCAAAAAAAGGCAAAAACAGAAATCAACTTGAGAAAATATTTGAAATTAAAAAGAAGGTTAAGAAAACTCATAAATCTCTAGCAAGACTTGTAGGAAAAAAAAAAAAAGAGGGAGAGAAAACTCAAATCACTAATACCAGAATTGAGAGAGATGACATGACTACAGATTATTAATGTATTAAACAAATAAGAAAATACTATAATTTTATGCTAATAAACCAAACAACAAAGATAAATTTCTTAAAATCATGTAAAATATTTGCAACACTCAAAGGATGATTCAAAACAATCTGAATACATGTGAATCTCTATAATAAACTAAATTTATAGTTTAAAACCTAGAAAAAAAAGAAAAACTCCAAGTGCTGACGGCCATTCTAACGTCTTTTTCTAACGTCCCCTTGGCCAACTCCTCATGAATACCCATGGGCTGCAAGAAACACGCAGCCGATGGGTGGGAAAATAGACACTTCTTCCTCTTTACAAAAAGATTTTAAAATTCTTCCAAACATAGAAAGAAAGAAAGAAAGAAAGAGAGAGAGACAGAGAGAGAGAGAGAGAGAGAGAGAGAGAGAGAGAGAGAAAGAAAGAAAGAAAACTGATTTCTATGTAACATTTCCCACATAGCCAATATTACCCTAATATCAAAACAAAAAAGAAAAGCATGGATCAATATCCCTCATGAACACAGATACAACACTTGTTAACAAAATTTTTGCAAATTATGCCCCATGATATTTTGAAAGATTATTACCAAGTAAGGTTTCTCTAGTAAGACAGTTGGTTTAACATCTATCTGGTAAAGAGTATGAAGGAATTGCTGATACATACACCAACGTGAATGAATCACTAATTATGTTCAAAGAGATCAAACAAAAAATTAAAAATCTATGTTTTCATTCATATAAAATTCTAGAAAGTTCTAACAAATCCCCAGTGTCAGAAAACAGACCAATGTTGTCCAAGGATTGGTTGAGGGGGAGAGGAATTAGACAGGGAAAGGAAGGGAAGGAGGAAATACCAGAGTTCAAGGAAACTTTTGGAGGTGATGGATGTGTTCATTACTTGCCTGTGAAATTTTCACGGAGATACACACATGTCAAAACTTACCAAATCATACACTTTCAACGACTCAGCCTACTGAATGCCAACCATATGTCAACAAAAATGTTTTTCTAAAGGGCAGTTTAACTGACCAAAATTCAGTTTTAATTTTTATCCTCTTAGATTTTTTAAAGATTTCAGGTAGTTTCATGGTGAAACATGTTTCTGGAGGCTTTACCTCATTAATAATGCACCTTGAAAGAGCTATAATGCACCTGAAAGCCATTTAAAGACACAGATCACCTAATTTTACACTGTCTAAAAGTCTAGATAAAACTTCTCAAAAGGTTACATATAATTCAAATTATCATTTCTTTAAAATGTATTTTAATTTTCTGTCTCCCACAGAAATCTATCCAGTAGCTGATATGGACAGCATTCACTTTGTTGGTTTCTGAAACAAAAGAAACCCACGCATTACCTGGCCATTCTCGTGTCCTTCTCTACCATCGCCTTGGCTAGCTCCACATGAATATCCATGGGCTGCAGTATATGCATAGTGGACGGGTGCTGAAAACGGCACTTCTTCCAGTTTTCCCCTTCAAAAAAGGAGTTTAAATTAATTTTAATGCATTATCGACTATTCCGCAGAAAACTTTTAGTAGAAAATAGTGAAGGGACAGAGTCAATGCTCACTTAATTCTTTCAATATACAAGATATTTTTGCTGTACTGGGGATCAAACTGAGGGCTTCACACATGCTAGGCAAGCACTGTACCACAGAACTAGGGTAACCTGTATTTTAAACATAGGCTCACAGAGACTGTGATATAAAGATAATTCTATATACTTTTTGAAAATGTTTATATGACAATGCTTGCATTTCAAAGCAAGCATAGGGGGCTCAGTGGCCTAAGTACCTGCTTGGCAAACACAAGGTTGTGAGTTCTACTTCCGTTACACACACACACACACACACAAAAAAAAAAAAACCAAGAAGGGGGGAAAAAAAACAGGAATTACCTCAATTCCAGAGTTAGCAATCAAGATAGGTAGTTATGGTAAAAAGTAGGGGAAAAAAGCACAAAAGGGTGGGGGTAAGGTTGATGGAATTCCTAAGAGCAATAATTACATTTGCTTCACATATGATGGCAGAGAAAAAGTTTTGTAATGCAAGATTTTATGATAAAAACATCGGATAATGGACTGGGGATTTAGTTCAGTGGCATAAGCGCCTTCCTGACATGCACCAAGTTGTGTGTTTGATCCCTAGTAGCAACAAAAAGTGTGATAATCACTTTTTCAAGAAAAGAAAATCTTAAAGATAGATTTCCCAATGGCTGTCTTGTACATGTCTTCCTGATGGCAATGTGGAGCATGTTTTGTCACTTGTACTTCAACTGTTTGTAAATACATACTCAAAAAGGGAAGTTTAATGGTTTGTGTATTTGCCTTAAAGGAACTAACAGGCCCTTAGTGTACAAAAAACTCACTCTTATAGATTGTACACTGTACTCCGTAATTTTGCCTGTACTTTTCTCCGATGATCTATCACAAAGTGATATACAAAGACATTTAATAAATACTTAATGCCTGTAAAACTAGAGAAAGTATAAATACCCGAAGCCTTTACTCATGGGATAGAGAATACACCACATCTGTTTTGTTCAATTTTATTGTAACTGATGATATAGGCAATTCTTTTTAAGATAGCAAGAGGCATTAAGGGTAACCACTGTTGATCACCTTGTATTTTGTTTTTACATTATGTATTATGTCCATCCTTTTGATTTGACTGACTCTGTCCTATTATGTCACATTTGGTTTTACTTTTTTCAAAAAAAAGTAATAAGAACAGTGGGAGTAATAAAACCCAAAATGTGTAATTGTCATTGTACAAAAGAGAGGAAAAGAAAGTGCTCTACAGGACATAACTGCATGTATATTTAAGTGTATAAGATAGGTAACCATATTACTGAGTTTTGTTGGATCATTGAACAGAACTGTTTGCAGTCTCACTGTTTGAATGTCCACTTTATATGCTTTAATTTTGTAACTTGAACAATTATTTCTAAGATGACAATATGTAATCTATTAACTAGTGATTTCCTACTGTTTTTTTCTGAAATTCTGTATAACTTGTACCCTTTTTCTGTTTTTTTTTCTTCCTTAAATAAAATTTAAAAAAAAAAAAAAAGATTAAGTAACATATGTAATAATAAAGGCAACATGGGAAAATGACATCAAAACATTCCAAAAAGCATCAGGACAGAGGAACCTGAACCAATCACAGCTTCCATTTTGGATTCTGAACTGTTTTACATCATATTGCAAAAATACGATTTGTGAATGGACTGGGTTCAAACACCACCCTAAGATGAATTGGCAAATACTGTTTCAGTTTATAACTGACAGTGGTTTGCATAATATGCTTCTATATGGTTTTCTTAAGCACCAATAGTTATTTGTGCAAAATCGTTATAAAGGTTTATATATGCACATGAACACATACATGTATCTGACTTAAGCCATTCACACTAATTTCAGTATTCTGAAAGTTGATCAGTGCTATACCTGCTCTTGCAAAGAGTAGTTGCACACTCTTTATTTCAACATCAAACTTGTCATATGCTTTATCCATTATTTCTTCCAAAGATGAACTGGTAGTCTTCTGTAGACCTTGACTTTTACTGTTGAGCTAAAATGAAGAAAAAATTTTTGATTTTTTTTTTACACAACAGAATGTACACAAATCAACATATTTTAGTTGTGTGTTTTCCCAAAACTTAAATAAATGAGACTGTCCTTAAGGCTCTGCACCTCCCACCACCCTACACCAGGAACAGCAGGGCTTTACTCCTTCTCTCCACTGTTCGGTGACAGCAACTAGCCCATGAGAAATTAGTGTCCAGTTCTACTTCCTTTTCCCCCTTCCTAGCCGAAGCAAAGATCAAGGCAGGACTTATTTGTGAAAGTTTATCTTTCTTCCAGACGTTGGGATTCCATGAGAGTCAAACACCAAAATCTATGGGTTCTTTTGTTCTACTTAGTTACTGGCAGTGATTAAACAAATATATACATACAGTCTCCTGTAAGCAAAATACATAAGCAACATGCAACACTGCATAATTAATCTCGAGAAACCATGAAAACTAACACTGTTCCTCCCCAATTAGGAAAACACAAAAGCAATCCCATCATCAATGTGAAATCACCTACTACTGATTAATAGTGCTATTTAACTGTTATATAATGCATATACTGTAATGTAGGCAAGCACCAGGGAACTACACTCACACTCATACTGAGTAATCTAGACTAACCTTGACAAATGCTAAGAAAGTCTTAGTTTAGTTTAAGTGAACTCTGAGAAGTTTCACTTTTTATGGTAGAAACCTAACTGTGGCATTATCAGAAAAGACTTTAGATTTGTCCTTAAGTCAAGCACTTTTCAAGTCTCAATAATATGTTTATTTAAGTCCTGAAGAAAAAAAATGGAAGATGGAATGGTTAGGCTGAAATATGTAATAAAGAAAATATGGAAAGAAGAGCAGGCTATCAGTTAGTGAGCTACCAAGCCTGTCAAAGCAGACAGAAGTGTGCATACACCTACCTGAAATGTACCAAAATCTAAAATGAGAAGATTTGACTTTTCATGGTGGAAGCCTGTCTGTGGAACTATTAGATAAGAAGGCTTCAGATTTATCCTTAAATCAAGAACTTTTCGAGTCTCAATTATATGTGTAAGTCCTGAAGGAAAAGAAAAGGAGACGGTGAAATGTATAATCACACTACTAACCAGACTAACAGATTCACTTGAAAGGCACTGAGGAGGACGGCAGGCTCTCATAAGTCAGATTCTCAGCTGAGGTGCAACCTGCACACAGTCACTGAAAGTAACTGTCTCACAGCGGAGCATAGTCAGCTCAGTACGAGTCCAGTGCTAGAGTTCTCTATGGAGAGAGAATGAGCAGGTAACACACTTGGCATGAGTAGAGGCCCCGTCACACAGAAACGCCCATCCTGAAAACCAGCATCCTGCGCTGCGTGGACTGAAGCTTCCCAGAGCGGATGGAGGGTGCCTCCAGCTCAAGCTCCTTCCGGGCAGGGTCCTGGACATAGAGCAGGTGGAGTCATCTGCACTCCCTACCATTCTCCTTGTCCAGCCTAGAACGGATGTTTCAGCTTGAATTGCCTTGGTACTTTTTTGCTTTTTAGGTTTTTAAAAAAAAATTTTTTTGGTATTGAGGACTGAACTCAAACCTTCCCACTTGCTACACAAGCATTGTACCATTTAGCTAAATTACCCCAGTCCCTGTATTTCCACTTGAGTAAGCCGTGTCTGTTGTACAATCCGCACAACTGAAGGAACCTACACTAGTTTAAATACATGGACAGAAGAACACACATTTTTCAAGTGTATGGAGACATGAATTCTTTACCAGTAGCTGTTCTCTCTTTAATTTCTTCCAGCTTCATCAAAGTAGCTGATGTTATTTGCTCAAGATCCAATCCCCTATTTGACTGAAAGAAATCAACCACTGCATTGATGGTTTTCTGTAAAGGAATTTAAAAATACGACCAAGTTATACATATATACCTCTTTCAATATTGTAACTTTTTAAGACTTTGCCTCATTCTAAAATAGTAATGGCTTTGAAAGGAGAAATCGAAAGATATTCTGGACTACTTCGCCTCCCACTAGAGAAAGAGCAGCCGAGTAAGCTTATAGGGAGGTTGCCAACATCTGCATGTCACCTCAGTGTCAGCTGCATTCCACAGGGGTACAGCGACACAGGCAAGGGACTACAGACATCACTGCTAGCTTTAGCCTCTCGTCGGTCAGTAAAATAGTACTTTTGAAAACTGTGATTGGATTGCATTGTACTCTGAAATATAGAGAGGAAGTAAGAAGAAAACTATTCAGGCCTTATTTATATACAAAAGTTGATGTTAATTTTAAAAAGAGATTTTTGTAAAATGAAAAAGGTTCTGGAGATTGGCCATAGAACACTATGCCACTTAACACTACTTTAAAACACTTAACATGGTAAATTTTGTTACGTGTGTTTTAACAAATAACATAAAATTTTTAGACGTTCAGAAGCACAGTGCATTCTGGAGTGTCTGCCTCCATCCTCCGTGTATACTGGGAACCCATCTCTAACCTCCACAGTGAAGTACAGGAGGGTGGCGGTGGGTGAGGCAGTATGTGGAGTGAGAGGGAGCTTGGGCTAGCGGAGGGCGAGGCACAGACACAGAGCTGGAGGCAGCGCTGTCCGGAACACCTCAGCGTCAGTGCTTGCTCCCATATAGACAGCACTGGGAATTCTCCTACCACTCCTCGAGCTTAGGTTCCAAACACGGAGAGCAAAAAAGAGCAGGCAAACAGTGTGCACCTAATCGGCAGTAGCTGGCACATGCACAGGCTGCTCTGTAGGTATATTAGGGTTTTTACATCCAACATAAGGAGACATAAATAAATCTTAAGTACTTAAGTAAAAAAATGGCAATAGCATATGAGAAATTAAAATCGACTACTATAACACGCACTGCTTTGAAACAAGAAAAAGCTTATGAAACTGAAGTTTGCTAATTAAACAGGACAGAAGAGAAATAAGCAAACACTAAATGCAAGGCAGCCGCAGCAAGGAGCCCAGCCTCCCTGCACCTACAGCATCGTAGATGACCTCCACGGGCTGGGACTGGACGGTCAGCGTCTGGTCAGCAAGGTTGTTCTCTGGATTGGTTTCAAACTCAATTTTAAGCAAGGATGATGCAGTGTCACCAATGGAAGCCACAAGGGATGGCACAGTATCCTGCTGTCTCAGACCTGTGATATACCAGTGTTCTAACTTTGCTTCTACCCTGCAGTCCAAGGAGAATGAGAAAGTCATAAGAGCCTTTGTAATTTAATAGGCTGAAATACAACTTTTTCTTAAAACAGTCTTCCAAGAATCAGGCCCAGTCTATTACCCAGAAGTGAAATTTAGCTTCCTTAGCCTGCCGTCCATTCACTTTCGTCATCTGTTTGCAATGCTGCTATCACTTTGTGACTGTTTTTATTACCTCATTGTCTGCTGGAAAAGCTCACTTTCACCAACCCCAGGGGACTGCAGCGGTTCTGACCACTTTTTGGTGAATAAAAATTCATGCAAAATGGGAGAAGTTATCTGCCTGCTCCTATGCCAGCCTCACCAGCCTTCATCTCTCCCCTGCTTCTTCTCGTGCTCTTTCCCATCAGCCAGACTAAGCCTTCATGGGTTCAGTTAGGCTCTTGCCCAGATGAGCTTGTGCAGCAGTAACAGAAGGTACTAATGTACACCATCACCTCACTCTGACCACCTAACATGTTACACAGCTCCTGAATTACTAGCTTTATGTATGTCGTACCAGCTACAGCTTACACTTCCTGAAAACGAAGGCTCACGGTGCCTACGCACAGCTTTCGGAGCCTGAAGCACATGGCATCAAATGTTTGTGAAGAAAAGGAAGGAGTACAATAATGAAGAACTCTATGTAGTTATTATGGAACTACAAAGTTATGGAAACACAAGATGACTATCTTGGCACACACAAAAAAATTTTAAAAAGAGGTGTTACTGGCCAGGGATTTAGCTCAGTGGCATAAGTGCCTGCCTGGCAAGCACGAGGTCATGAGTTTGATCCCTGGTACCACAAAAAATTTAAAAAACTTTAAAAAAAAGAGTGTTACTGATCTTTTCCATGCTGCATAGCATTTCATATATTCTGGTCTACAATCATTATTAGAGTTAAAAACTGAAATAAGTTTTTAAAAACTTACTTAAGGGCTTGCGCTCCTGGTCGCTGGCATACTTGGGTGCCCAGGCCAATGATCTGGATTTTTAGGATTTCAGGAATATTTTTGTTTTCTCTGATTACAATAGAAGTGCTTACCAACTTCAAGGTCATTATATAGGCAACATACTGAAGAAAAAAATTGAGTGAAAATTGTTACAGTTTACATAACCTTTAGCAGTTTCTTTTTAAATAAATATGATGAATTATAACGTAACCTAGCAACATGGAGGTTTTGGCAATCACATAATTACCACAAATGAAGAACAGCAGAATATTTGATAAAATTTTCTCTCTAATACACATTTATAAAGATCCAAAGTTCATTTCTCTTAAGTTTTAAAGTAGTATAACAATGATGTACAATAAGACTTCTTGTAGATGAGCAAAAAAAAAAAAAAAAAACAAACAAACAAATGATAATAAGAAACACCCACCTGATGGCTGCAGGAAGTTAGCAACACACTAAAAGGAGACTCCTGACCCGATGCTTGTCAAGTCATGACTAGACCTAGACACAGGACAGCCAGCCAACCGGAAGATAACTCTGGAATCTGAGACCATAACTCAGCCAGAGTGCTTGAAAACTGAATGAGGGAGCCAAGGGGCTGTGAAGCTGGCCAGCAAGATCCAAACTGGAAACGAGGTCCCCACAAAGGGCAATGGCACCGATGAGACTCCCCAACTTTGGCTAGGACCCTGATGGGCCACGGTGCAGGGCGAAAGGCAAGCATCTAAGTAGGCAGACTCCCAGGATCCACAGCACAGCATCAAATCACATCAAGCCCCCCAAAAGACCGAGGTGATCCCACGTAATGGTGCTACAGACACCAGGAAGAAACACAACGTCTCCCTGAAACAAGAATCTACCTTACTGGATACTATTTCCCTATGTCTCTAAAACATAAAAGTATATATCATTTGCAAAATCAATATCTAATATATTAGGCACATGTACAGATATGCTCATCGAATCCAGAATATGTCCAAACAAACCCAACAAAAACCACAAAGAATAGATACTCACAGGGACTCTAGACATCACATTTTACACTCACAGGAAGTGTAAGCTTAGAGGTACACTGTGGTGCTCACTATACTCAAGGAGCTAAAAGACAAAACTGAGCATGTTAGTAAAGAATTTCAAAGCTATTCTTTAAAAAAAAAAAAAAAAAGTGTACAGAACCAAACAGAAACTCAAGAACTAAACGATACAAAAAATAAGGAATTTAATGAATAAACAATCAGCTCAAGGGAGAATAAGAGGAAACAATTCAAATTAAGAATAAATTAAGAACCTGGAAATACAGAATAAAGAAGAGACAGACACATGAGATATAAAATCTAAAGATATTAGAAATTTTAAAAAGAGAAAGGAAAGAGAATGAAGAAAGAAAAATAAAAGCTTTAGTGATTTCCCATAAGACCTCAAGATAGCTTAATAAATTCAAACAATCTATAATTCTATATGCAGAAAAAAGAATCTTTCAAGAAAAAAGGGAAAATAGATACATTTTTAGAAAACTAATTACCAACAGACCAGTATTAAAAGAAATAATGTATAGGACTAGAGATATAGCTCAGCTGCACAGCACCTGTCTGTTAAGTGCAAGGTCCTGAGTTTGATTCCCAGTACAAAAAAAAAAAAAAAAAAAAAAGAATGTACAGAAATGGGCACTCTTTGGGCAGAAAGTAATAGTACATGCATGGCCAAACAGAAAGGAACTAAATAACTGAAACATCCAGTTTGGTGACATTACCACTCTCCCTAAAGTAACCCATCATTCAGTTCAATCTCTAACAAATCGTCAGCATGTACTTCTGGAAACACTGATGATTCTGAATAGCATGTGGAAGCGTGAATGATCTAGAGCAGCCAAGATTCCCTTATCCAAAGATCAAGCCAGTCATGGTGGCACAAGCTTGCAATCCCAACACTCAGGAGGCTAGGAGAGGAAGATAACAAGCTCAAGGCCAATGTGGTCTACACAAGGAGCTCTTGTTTTAAAATAATCAGAGCTTAACACCATTGCATACCTAGCTTAGGATTACTAAAATTTAAAAGATTGATGCCAAGTGTTGGTGAAGATGCAGATAATACACAGGAAATCTTAAGATATACACACTACAAAGATATCTTCAAGAAATCCATGGCAGCATTACTCATAATAACCGAACAAACAGAACAACCCAAAAGTTCATCAACAGAAGCACAAATGAATAAGTTTTGGTATTTTTTGTAAGTGTTGGAATCCTATGGAGCAGCAAAAATGAGCAAAATATATGCAGTACAACAACAGAATGGGCCTCACAGCAAACACAAACATGTACTTTATAATTCCATTTAGAGAAAGACAAAAATGTACAAAATAAAATCAGTGCTTATAGTAAAACAAAAATCAAACGAATTGTTAACACAAAAAGCTGGTTATTAACTGCCTTTGAAAAGCAAGAACAGGAATATACACAGGGGTTCTATATCAGTGGCAAGACTAATCTGGACCCTTACAGTAATTATACACTTGTGTCCTTTCTGATCAACCAAGTGAGCAGGACATTTCAGTTTCTTTCACTCTTACATGAGTTATGTTTCACAGCAAAAAAAGTTTTAAAGATTCAATTTAAACTATAAGAAGCACTTTTTAATCAGATTATCTTTACATTCACTAATAAAGGGAAAATTTTAATTGGTAAGGTCTGACTGGAAGCATTTAACAACTGAAGAGTAAAGTAGAAATAACAATAACATATTTCCAGCAGTTAAAAGTTGGAACTTATGTAATCCAATTACAGACCACGTGGCAGGAAGGATGGAAACACCTCTCCAGTGCAGTGTAATTACCTTCTTGGGCAAAGTCAAGTTATGCATGCTCCCGCTGTAACCAATAGCAGTGAAGAGTTTGTCCTTCTCCTCAGGGGTCATAAGATCATCAATAGCTACAAGGAAAACAGTAATTCAAGAAATTAATTTCTTCAGCTTTACAAATAAAACCAAGAAGTCAAAACAAATGTCCCAAAATCAACAGAGGCAAACGATAAATCAGCCAAGTAATTTCCTCTAATACTCCACTATGACGAAAATAAGCATCTGTCTGTGTTCACCATTTCAGTAAAGACAAAGAGATGGTACAAAAGAAATTCTGTTTGCAAACGGTTTTAAAAGAGGGTCTTAGAAAATTTTAAAACTGAAGTAAAACTTATTAAATATTCATGGAAAAGATAAGTGCTAAGTGCTGAAACCCCTAAATCTGAACATTTTAAATTTCATGTAATTCTTCTCAAAAGTTTTACTTGAGATAAATTTACTAGGATACTGAGCTGATTTTTTTTCAAAATAAAAGTTTTTTGAAATGAAGTTCAACTGGAAGACTAAGGTATAATTTACCTAATTTTTTTCTCATGAATATACAATTAACTGGCAGACTCGGAACTTACTTTCAGGAATCAATGATTCTTCATCTTTTTTCTTAGACTCCTTCTTACCCCAAAACCCACTAAACCAGCCTCCCCGTTTCTCCCCTGTGTCAGTGGATTTCTTCCTTAGTTTCTGCCCAGATCGAATCACCTAAAAAATTAAAATTAAAAAATTAACTGAAAAATAAATGCTTTCTTCATTTTCATGTTCAACACAATGTCAGACTAAAACAGGCACAAAAGCCAGGTCCTTCTTAAATGATTCTCACAATACCATTTGGTAAACAGCACCCTTGTATCTATGGAAAGCATCTTGATGAGACTAAATCGGACCAGCAATACAGCTGGTTTCAGGTAAGACTGGTCTGAGGGTTATAATCCAGAAATCTTTCAGTTCAGGGCACTAGAATTGCAGGTTAGTAAAGCGAAGGCTTCCACTACAGAAAGATGTTCTCAATACCCAAAACGTATCAGTTCAAAGCAATTGTATTTCAGAATTCACATCCACTGCTGCTTTGCTAACTATGGTATGGCAGGAGAGGAGGGCTACAGATGGCACCCGAATCACACATCAGACTCTCTCCGCAACAAATTTCTCATCTGTCTCTATTACTCCCTCTCTTTGCCCACTTACCAGATAAACCAAACAACAGAACACAGAGGCAAAGAAAATTTTCAGTTAGAACATAAAATATTCTAAGCTGATAGTGAACAATTCTATAGTAGAGAGAACAAGCTTGGTTAGTAAATTATAAAGATTAAAAGCATGAGAAAATGTTAGATGTTTATCATATGCCAAGGAGGAGTGAAACACTAAAATCTTGTTTGAATTTGCAAGTCACAAGTGAATGACAGACAGTTACTGCAGATATCACAGCTCACTGGTACTCAATCCTTTCTGTGCATGTGCATCATCAAGAAGTTTAAGAAAAACATCAGGGCCCAAGCCCACCCCAATTAAATCCATCTTAAGGGTGTGGGGCTCCAGGCATCCATATGTTACAAAAATTCCCCAGATGACTCTAATGTACACCAGGTTCAAAACTACAACAATGGAGTTTCCTTCAACAACAGCAGAGATCAAAACACAGAACATTCAGAAGCTGGGCATGGTGGTACACGCCTGTAATCCCAGCACTTGGGAGGCTGAGGCAGGTGGATCATTGCAAGTTGGAGACCAGCCTGGGCTACAAAGTGAGCCAAGGCCAGCCTGAACTGCGTAGAGAGACTCTGCCTCAAAAAGACCAAAAAAAAAAAAAAAAAAAAAAACCAGCCCACAGGGAGTTCAGCTGCTTCAACTCTTTCACAGCAGATGAAACTAAGCTACTCTGCAAAGGATACCCAATCACATGCCTACCATCTGGAGTTTGAAAGGTCTGAATTATAGTACTGCCAACCCTCCCAGGAAAATGCAGCCTGAGATGGCACCCTGGAACCCCTCCTGGATACCTGCACTTCACAAAGGGGAGGATTTATGAAGCATCCTTCATAAACCTAAATGCCAGAAAAACTGCAAGGCATCTGAGTATTAAAATTTTTTAAGTAAACTGATCACTTTAAAAGAGTAGACACAAATTATAACCATCATTTTAGTCTCCATAAAAAAATCTAATTTATGATAATAAAAACATGTATTTTAACGAGATACATTTTTATTTTGAAAAAACATGAATTCATTGAAAAAAATCATTAAAACATTAAAATAAATACTCTGTTAAGAGACATCAAGTAATGGGATAACACATGGCAACATTCAATTTTCTCGTTTCCAAATCTCTACTTAAGGATCTTTAAAAAATTCTTTTAGGGCCAGGGATGCAGCTCAGCAGCACAGCACCTGCCTGACAAGCACAAAGTCCTGAGTTTGATTCCTGCTACAAAAAAAAAATTATTTTAAAGGAAGATAAAGTCACTATCAAAGTTGAAATCTCAGTTAGAGATGTGATCAACATGCTAAAATTTTCAAAGCATTTCAAAATAAATTCAAAACTAGAAAAACAATTAGGCAATGTGGTGCATACCATAATTCCAGCCAGCACTTGGGAGGTTGAGGCAGATGTTCAAGTTTACTGACACACACACCCAAAAAGTTAGCAATACTTTTTCTCAAAAGAAAAAAATTATAAACATGGCTGGGGATGGAGCTGAGTGTGAAAGTCCAGGGGAAAAAAAATGTAGAAAGACTTAATAAAGAGAAAAGATATAAATTAATACAAAAACATCTAATGAAAACACTAACCTCAATAACAAAGACTATGAAGAAAATAAAGAGTTCACTAAAAACACTTTGATTTGTTTTGATGATTACCATTTTAAAACGATTACCATTTTAAAAATCTAAGAATCACCACTTAAAAACGTGACAGCTATCAGAAACTCTACTCAAACAGTACCAATTTCAAATCCTGGTTCTGATACTGTGTTTTAACTTACATAAGATGTAACCCCTGGGGGAAACTGAGTCAAAGATACACAGGGACTCTGAAAAATATCTTTGCTGCTTATTTTCTGTAATGGCTCTATAATTATTTCAGAGTTTAAAATTTTTACACACACACACAGAGAGACCTCTTTTACATGTGTCTGTTAAAAATCAAAGTGCTCATACAAGTGACCAACAGAAACACAGATCCAGCACAGCCCTCTCACCTGTTCCACATATCCGTGACCCACATCCTTCCCTGACTCACAAAGGGATTACAGTAAGCAAAACTTCAGCCCTGATTTAAAACTCTCTGGCTCCACAATGAGAACTGCCAATCTTAAATAAACTGCACTGCCTCTGTTTGCCCTATACCCGCCCTTCCTTGTCCAGTAATCCATCCTCAAGTTCTGAGCAGCTGCAAGTGGCCCTAACAGCACACAATGGAACCCAAGTGACTTAAGGAGGCCTGAAAGTATCTGTTTCCTCCAGTGATTCATTTCTGTTTCATTAGAACAATTCACAAATGGCAAACAACTCTTTAAAATATTTGTACTCCCTGACCCAACAACTATCCACTAAGGAATCTGACCTTATAAATGCAAACTATTCCCAAGATAGATAAGACTACCCACTAGTGTCACAATGGAATACAGCTAATGCAAACAGCGACACATATTCTGATACCTGCACAGACTGGAAAGCTACCCAGTTGTTTAAATGATGCGGAACAAGTAACAGTAGCAGCACTAAACCCTAGTAACTTAAAAAATAAAATAAAAACCAAGAAAACAACAAGAAGCAAGATATAAAGCCTCTTGATTCCACATCTCCCACGCTGCCACTCATTTCCGTTCCCCTTGCACACACTGTCTGTACTTACTCAGAGTCTCCAGTTCCTAGTCTTCCATTCTCTCTCGTTCCTTTCAAGTTTCTGCCTGTACCTTCTATTAAAAATGCTCTTTATTACAAAAATTTATTACCGAATTGGTAATTTATTACCAAATCTGTTTTGACTCCATGGTGATATTAGCCCTTCCTTTCTACTGATTAAAACTAAGAATTCCAAACATATTTTAAAAAACATTCATCAGAGCCTGAAAGTAGGCAAAGCAGACAGATGGTAGAAAGGGACCCAAACATGGAGAACCAACACACAAGAGTTTTGAGTTTCCGTGTCTTCTGTTTTTCTCAGTGATGTGCCCCAGCATCTCCCGCTCTTGGGTGAACTCTTGCCTGTGAATGCGGGTGTGCCTTCTGACTTGTTTCTAACCAACGGTGGTACAACGCATTCACTCTGTGCAGTGTGGGAGTTGCTGTTATAAGCCTAGTACCACAGCAGCCCTCCTGGGGGAGTCTCCCTCTCCCTTTGAAGAAGTAAGCTGCCAAGTTACGAGAAGCACATGACTCAGAAGGCAAGAAACAGAAAGTGACACTTAAGAGGTAGGAGAAGCCTGGAGTCAGCAGGCAACAGACAAACAGTAATCCACCCCAAAGCCGAAAGACGGTAAATCCAAAGTACATTCAACTAGTGAGAATGGAGTATGTCAGCCATGCTTCAGCTGATACTACATCCCAGGTAACACCTTGAGGTATTCTGATCTCTTCCCAAGCAGAAGGCTCAGCCAAGCCATGCCGAGACTTCCTGCCCACAGAAACTGAAGTAGTCTAAGTGTGTTATTCTATCCTAAGCTCCTACAGACCCACAGAAAAGTACCACACCTGGCTCCAACCAAGGAAGGGAGCTGCAAGAAATACGTGCAGCACAGCTGTGCAGGCAGCTACAACCCTGAGAAATCCTTATTTCTGACCAAACAACCAGAAAGTAAGTCCATGCTGGCCAGAGTATACAATGAGAAATCCTATGGGGGACAGAGCAGAGACTAGCCCTTACTTCTGCACGTGAATCTGCCTACAATCCAATTCAATCCAAGATTCATTATGTATGAAACTGATTCAACCAAAGAGACAAAGGCTTAGAGACCTGAACTGAGACATAAACCATCCCTCTAGCAGAGCTCAAATTAACCCCCATACAATTCATGCGTGTAACAGATTCATATCTACATGCTGAAGGGTTAGGAACTCAATTCAGACTTGAGCCACCATCCACAGAAGGCAATGCACACCTTAGGACCAGAACCTAACCAGGTTTTGTGATAATCACATTTTCCAGACAAGTATAACGGGATCCAAAGACTACATGCTACAGTAGCCCCAACATCAAAAATACAATCTGTAATCACTTGACATTAAAAAAAAGAGAGAAAACAGGGAAAAGTGGCCAGTTCTCAACCTTAATGGTAACAGGTACCAACAGTCAAATAACTTAAGTTTCTGAAATTAAAGAGCTCACAGGATAAGCTCAATAGCAAAATGGAGATGATAGAAGAGTGACTTTCAAAAGAGAACAATTGAAACTATTCAATTTTTAAAATACAGAGAAAAATAGATCGGGGAAGAAATATAATCAGTGCTCACAGAGCTACAGTACAACATCAAAAGGGCAAAATATATATACAGATAACAATGTAAGTATACAGCAGTATCATGTTCACCTAACAGGACATATAAAACAAAAATATGCTAATATAAGAACAAAAACAAGGAAGAAAAATAGAAATATGTGACCAATTCTCAACAGAAAAGATAACAGATGCGAACAGTCAAGTAACCACAATACATTTAGGTGTGCATGAGAGTATGGTTTTGAGATATGTGTGTATATATGTATGATATCGCACCTTTATCTATAAATATATTTGTGTAACTTTAAAGGTTTTTAATGTAATACTTAACTCTCAGTGCCACCTCAAATGATGAGGCAGGTGACCCTGTCTTCCCTGAAATTCTCCTCTACTCCAGTATGAACACACTGCATTCAGACAGCTTCTCGACTACACCTCCAGCAGCCCCTTCATGGGCATCTTTGCTGGGCTTTGCCCATCTCACTGACCATAACAACAGGGTGCTTCAGATCTTCAGTACTGTCCGCTTCTCCTGCTACTCCAAGAAGTTCAATGATCTCATCCAATCGCATGACTGTCAATGCAACCTACAGGCTGACCCTTTCCAGATTCACACACCAGCGCGGATTTCTCTGCTAACTCCACAATTATGCACCCAGCTGCCTGCTGAACCCCTGAACTTCTCGCACCTCGCTCACACTTGCTAAATCCAGCCTTCCTCATCTCACAGAATAGGGACTATGTCCTTCCAACCATGCTCAGGAAAAATCCTTAAAGTCATCTCTTCGCTCTCGTACACACACATCTAATCGGGCAGGAAACACTGGCCCTGTACTCCATCGACCCTTTTTCTCCACTTCACTGCAAACTTCCCCAGGAAGTCACTACCACTGACCTCAATTATCTCAGCCACATCCAAAGAGTCTCCCTGCCCTCCTCCTGCCACTCTCTTACAGCCTGCTTTCAAGGCAGCCAGAGTTCTAAAACCACCACATTATACCGTCCTGTTCTCAAAAACCATACACAGCTTCCGAACTCAGAACACAAGCAAAAATCTACACTTCAGTTTGCAAGATTCTGCAGAATCTGACATCCTCCTCCTTCCCACAGCACCCCTTTCACGCCTTCCTCCTCTGACTCACTGGTCACCCCCCCCCCCCCCCGCAGCAGATATGTTCCCACCACCCCAAGACCGTTGAGCTGGCTATGCTTCACTCTTTCTGCAGGAATAATCCTTCTCCTTAGAAACCTTTCTGAATGACTCCCTCAGCTTCCTCTGTCTTTGCTCAAACATCTTCCCAGGGAGATTTTCTCTAACCCTCCAGTCTACAACAGCAATGTCTATCAATACTGCCCAGCCTCAACCCTCTCTCCATCCATTCCTACTGACTTCATGTAAGTATATGCTTATTATCCTCTCCTAATGGAATGTAAAAAAGTTATGTCTGTTATGTGGATTTCTGTGTAATACGCAAACAGTGATGAAGGAAAAAACCACTTACTAATTACTACGTGCCATGCCCCCAGGAATCTAACTGCCTCACAGGGACTAGCCATACTCCTTACAATAACCCTATGACGCAGGTACTAATAATTAATGCCATTTTTCAAAAATAAGGCAAGAAGAAATTAAACATCCCAAAATCACACAATTAGAAGATAGCAAAGCTGGAACTATTATTATTCAGATGCTCTGATTCTCAACTCCATACTCTTAATCGTAAGGCTAGAAAAACCAAAACTCAATGAGCACTTGCTAAATAAATGGAAAATTGTGTATGCTTTAATCTCATTTTAAAAATGAGTATGGGTAGAGAGAATTTACAGCTACAAAAAGGACTAACAGAATACACAGAAAAGTGTTAACATTAGTGACTACGACTGAGAAGAGCCTGTGAGATGGTTCTCTCTCCATTTCTAACTTTTCTACAGTGAGTTGTACTGCTTGGAGCTTATCACTGAAACATCCGACACAATTATACAAACTACACAGAACAAGGCGCAATACATAAGCAATTATGAACAATTACAAACATAATTCAGTCCAACTTTGTAAAGAAGAAAGTGAAAGAAGACAAGAGGAAAGAGATATGAGATAAGAAAGAGGAAACAGGAAAAAAGAAACAAACAAAAGCAGTTTTTTTAAATGAAAGATAAAAAACAAGTAGGTACATAAGTATGAAAGAGAAACTGGAGTCCTGCACATAGAAAGGTTAACAAAAGCATTCTAAGTTGCTAAGATGATAACTGATCTCGATTTGCTTTCTTTTCCATGTATTTCAAATTGGAATTATAAATGTTCAAAGCTCTTCACCTTAGTGTTCGTAGCTTTTTTCTAGAACTCCAATTTATTTTCTTCTGATACTAAATTAATCAATGGAAACTTAAATCTCTTCTCTACTTTAGGTAAATCTGAATAACTTCCCATAAAACTTAGATGTCCTGATCCTAGGTTTAAAAGAGCTGTATTAACATGTTGAAAACATCAAATGAACTAATAAAAATGATTACCTCGACTTGTGCTTGTTGCCTTGCTAAAATTATGTTAAAAACATCTAAAGTCTTCTCCAGGTCCTACGAAACAGAGACACTTGTAAATAAGGGAAATAATCATTAGATTAAAGTTTTCTTACAAGATTTCTAGGCTTATCTAGTTCATTACCAAAACTTGTGATATAATCAAACTGGAGCATATGCTAATCTTTGAAACCATTTAATTTTTACAGCAAGAAATTAAGTTTTCTAAGGAAGTATATCCCATTTAAACACCTTAAGAAAATAAGAACTTTTCTGTGAAACTTTAAAAATCACAGACAGCTTTACATGTACATGGCAACAAACATATTGAGAAAAAGGATTTCTTTTAGGTAGTAGCCTTACTTCTTACACTTCCTACTTTCCATATTATTTCACAATTATCATACTAAAGGCATCATTGCAAAACACACAAAATATTAAGAATATAAAATTCTGCAAGTCAGTAAGTAAGCTAAAGTAGAAACTGAATTTCAGAATTTACAATGAAGTATGTAGGAAGTATTTAACATTTCCCAGATGACTTGTATTTTAGGTCCTTTATGTATTATCTTATGCAATTCTCACAACTTGTAAGACAGGCTCTGTTTCTACTTCCTACCTCAGAATAACAGACTTAAGAAACTCGTGTCCAAGATCAGAACACTTCGTAAGCCCTGAGCCCAAATTCAGCTGACTCTGATACCTATGCCAATTCTAATATATTATGCTAGTGATTGTTACGTATTTTACAATACCACAAATTCAACTTGTACTTCGCATTATCAATCAGTGGCAGAAAGAGTTCTATAATCCAGATCATATGACAAATTATGTATTCAGTATATTTTCTATCTGTTATAAGAACAAATAAACCTCTGTCCTACCCCAGACTAAAAGCTGTTTTAAAAAATAATACCTTAAACTCTTTTTTAAAAAAGCCATGGTCACATAAATACGGAACTTTTAAGAGAAAAACATGTAAACAGAGCTAACTAGTAAATATATAAAAATGCTATTACAAAACCCTAAACATCTACCAAAAGGGTTTACAGTAACATTATTTCACCTGTTCTCAGGACTGGGAAAAGATTTTATTAAAGAAAAAAAAATTGGGAAAAACATATTCTTAAATTTCCCATAAAATCCTCTCACAAGCTGTTCTAAAATTATATTTTAATTCAAATAAGTGAAGAATCAACATTAAAAGGTGATCAGACAATTAAGGGCTCTCACCACTGTGCACAAAGTATACCTGAATTTGTTTCTGGATTTCTTCCGAGAGTTTAGTCTGAGTTAGCTTATTCTTGTAAGCGATTTTATAACTCTTGAGTAACTCTCTATGCTTCTTTATGTTACACCATGACCACATCTGTGTACATCTTCTTATATGAACTTCAAGAACTGAATCAATGGCATACTTCCACCTGAAAATCAAAACTTTTTAATGCATATGCACATAAAACATTTAAGAGAAATCAAGGAAAATAGCTCTGACTTTTAGATATTGCACTGTTAAATATCTTGGAATAAAATTTCCACTCTAACAGTGTGTCTCAATTATAGTTCTCTGGCTTAAATACATTCAGAATGAACACCCTCCAGGAAGAAGGTATGCCAAAGCAAATCAACTCTTTGGCACCCAGCAGACCACATATGCCCTGGTGGTCCTGTAAGATTACAGACCTCTTGCCCTCACAGCTATCCCAGTTCAGCAAGTTCAGGAAGTAAATACATACAGATACATGTTTCAGAAGTTACCGCCACTGCTAAGCAATACATGACAGTATTCCAGCATGGTTACAATCTTAGGTCCCGGTAAATGACTACAGAGAAAGCAGGGTTTTTTAAATGCTGAAAATCTTAAATACTAAGTTAAAAAATTTGGAACTGTAGATGCAAGAATACAAGAGGATGTGCTTACCAAAAAAGTACCACAACCATATAAAAGATGTCCCTCCTTGGCTTTTGGAGAAGAGGGGAAGACCCTATTTTTTTCTGAGTGGGTATACTACATTGTTTACAGGTCTCTTAATTTTGACATATTGTATAATTATGCTTCTCATAAAATAAAAAAAGCAAGCTCATACTTACCATTGCCTACAATTGGTGTGAAGTGGTAAATTAGGTTTATATTTCCTGTAAGGTACATTTCTAACCATATAATCCAATGATTCCAAGAGGTCAATCATACTTAAGTACTATTAAAACAAAACAAAAAACCAGGTTCATTATATTACACATTTTCAATAAATGTCAAATTTTATTATATTTTTTACTCTAAGACTCCTTCTCTGAACTTTTTAACAACCTATTTCTACTTATTTCTGAACTAGTTTATTTTTAAAACTATTTCCATGTCTGCTGGATCATAACTTCACTGGTAGCTATCTATGAGTTAATTTTCAAACTGCTCCAGGAAACCGCTATGCAACTAAACAGGATAAAACTAACTAACCAACTAGCTTACCACCATCACAACAATGTGCGGATTTCAAACACTTCAACACTTCAAACGGCACGGCACGAGATATACACAGAGCGAACTCGAATGCAAGCAAGACCAAAGAAAAGGCAACTTCAGTTTGCTCCTTGCCAATTTTCTTAAAGCAATTCAACGGTTACGTACATTCATGTCTAGTGCGAACTTAAATGTATTTAAATTAAGAACATATCTGTATTTCAAAGACTGAAGGGGGAGAGAAAAGATGTAAAATATTTCTTTGAAATTTTTTATGATGACAAGTTGCAATGATAAGATTTTGGAAATATTAAGCTAAATAAAATAGGTTATTAAAGTTAATCTCATTTTTTTGCTTTGCTAATGTAGCTAACCAGAACATCTAACATTACAAAAGTGCTGTATAATAACTAGACAGTACTGGGCTAAACTCTCTTGGCCAAATCTCATACCTAAATCTGCAACTCAAATCAGTCATACAACTATACTTGGGAAACAAAAAGAAAAAAGCTGCCAAGACACTTATTTTACAAAATAGACAACACTTAACATGAAGGTCTAGTGTTAAAAACTAAGAAAGGAAAAACCACATTAAAATTTAAATAAATGAAAATATTATTCATTATAGTTTGATAAGATTCTGCAACATCTAAAGTCAGATAAATGAAAAAAAATTCTTCAGCTTGAAATTTTTTTTTCAGAAAAAGATTACTTGAAAAGTCAAATCTCCACAAAACAAACAAAGAGAACCAACAGATTTCACAAAAGAATCATCACAAAAGACAAAAGCGACCTAGATTGAAAACTACTAACGTGCCCTTGCATCTCACCTGGGGCTTGGTCAGCTCAATGGCAATATTCTGCACTTCTATGCTCCAATCTAATTTGGGAGTTTTGAGTTCTGCTTCTGCATGAGGATTCATGTAGAGTTTTGCAGAGGCTGATATTGGCTGGAAAACTGACATCACATGAGAAGATATGAGTACGTTTATACACCCTTACATATGAACAACTTAAATAATCTGAGAGCACTATTATTTCAGAAGTAAAATGATCGAAAATAAAATAAAATCACTCCCAAAAACATGTAAAGTAGCTGTTCATCTTCACCCTGCCAATAAATGTTTGTATACACACTGAAGTCCTGTACTCCTAGGTAAGAAATGTACATAACACAGTCTACCTTTGGCTACTCAGTCTGTATAAAATTAAGTTTCTTTACCCTTGCACAAAGCATTTAATACACTTATTATTCACTAAATATACTAATAAAATGAAATAAAATACAATCAATTTTCCTTAATCATTGCTAAAATTTAGGAACAGAATCATGAATAAAATTAAATACCTAAAAGACACCACTACTTTATGATTTTTAAAATACTCATGACACATGTACTATTACAATGAAATAAATAATGTAATTTGGAGGCTGAAAAAAAATGTGTATTAGCAAAGATGATAGCTCAAAGCAAGGTGATAAGCTTTGTGAATATAATTTCAACTGTTACAACACTTTATGATGCTCATAAAATTATGGAAAGTGTTAACTTAGCTACAAGTTATAGATGAGCCCAAAGAATGAAGCTGTAGTGTTTTTGTATTCGTTTATCCATCAATGAAACTAAATGCTACTGCAGACACAGCTGCAGCACAGTGGCTGCCCTGAGTTTGATTCCCAGTAACAAACCCACCTCCATCCCTGCAAAAAAACTAAAGGCTTTCACAAACAGCGCTTGAAAACTACCATCACTAAGGAGAGGAGTATGAGTAGGATAGAAAGTGACAACCATCATCCAACAGCAAGAGAACAGGAAGAAGACAACAGAAGTAAACCAGTCGAATACACAATATGGAAGAACACAGGTACAAAAGCTGAGGACAGTTAGGGCCATAACTCAGCGGCTAAGTACCTGCCTGGTAAGCGAAGGTCTTAAAAGTTCAATTTTAAAAAAGCTGAGGACAATTACAAAGGGACACAATAAGCAAAAGCAAACCAATACCTTCTTTAGAATGAAACTGAAATAGAGAAAATATGGGAAAGACACCTTTCAAATAAAGGTGACATTGTCAAAAAACAGAAAAGCTCACTTTAAAAATATGGGCAGATTTATCTTGCAAGAATAGTGGCAGCACAGAGGAGGAATGCTTAATACCCAGGGGTCAGAGACTTGGTTATCTTTTATAAAGAAAGAAAAAGAACTGCTAAGTCCTAAAATGAGTACAATTACAAGGCATAAAGAAAACATGGAAGCCAAAGAAGGTTGACTACAAGGAGCTGACGGCTTTCGGGCCCTCCTGCCTCCTTCTCCAGCAGATGCCTTTCGAGCTATTCCCAAGCAGCACAGCGCTCTAGCCATGAAATGAAGGCATAAAATGAGTGTGCTCTTCTTGTCCACATAACTTAATAAGGAAGTGCGGTAAAATATTCCACTACAACTTACTAGTACTTACTGTATTGATGGTTTGGAGGTCTCTGTCTACTTGTAAGAATTTCATTTTTCAGTTGATCCTAAAGAAAGCATTTAAATTTTTTGAGACTAGAAAAGAAGCTGCAAACAGATTCAGCCACATATACGAGAAACAACTTGGTTATTACATCAATATTTTTATTCCTCTCTTTGTAACTAATTAGTCTATAGGAAAAACATGCTGAGTATCATTTACAGATATATTTCTCTAGCATACTAAAAATATAGAAAGTGGTAATTTTTAAAACACTAAATGTCTACATTGTAATATTATTTCCCCCTTTTTTTCTTTTTTGAAGTCAGGGTCTCACTATGTAGCTCAGGCTGGTCTTGTGCTCACTCTGTACCCGTAAGGTGGCCTCAAACTCAATGGTCCTCCTGCTCAGCCTCCCGAGTGCTGGGATTACAGGCATGTGGCATCACACTGCCCCTCTCTCTGACTTTAAAAAAACCCATATATATGTATACTCCTACAAATTTCTAGTCAAAGGTTAAGTTATTTACTGCCATGAACACCAGCATAAGAACATGTTTAAGTCCTACTTTTGGTCTTTTTAGTTGTATACCCAGACCACACATTAAGTCATTTTCATCACTTCGCCACCTTTTAAGGTACAACACATGTTTTTAGCCAGGCATGGTGATGCACGCCTCTAATCTCAGCACTTGGGAGGCTGAGGAAGATCTCCGTTGAGGTCAAGCCCAGTCTAGACTACATAAGTAAGTTTAGAGCCAGGCTGTAGTAATACACACTGAGATTTTGTCTCAAACACACTCACATACACACACACAAACACACAAAGTACACACACAAAATACACACTACGATGCATTCTGACATGGAGTATATTCATGACATTATTGTTGCAGTAGAGATAATAAATATACTCATCATTCCAAGTTTCACTTCGTCCCTTTACAAGCCCCAGTTCCTCCCCACCACTGACTTCCAGGCAACCACGGATTTACTTTTTGTTCTACAGATCATTTGCAGTTTCTATGCTTTATTTAAGAAGTACAGTATGGTTTCTTTTAGCCAGCGTAATTATTTTAACACTGGTCCTTATTATTGTATTAATAATTCTTGCCCTTTAACTGGATGTAGTATTAATCATCTAATAGACATTTGGGTTGTTTATAGTTCTTACTCTTAGAAGGTACCCTGAACATCTGTCTGCGTTTCTGTGGATATAATTCTCTTCTCTTGTGGATAAATAGAGGACAAACACTCAGTGTAACATTAGCTACGAGAAACTGACAGACTGATTTACAAAATGATTTTACCAATTCAGCATTCTCACCAGCTTCGTATAAGAATTCCAGGAAATTATAACAGTATCTCACTTTGGTTTTCACTTGTATTTCCCTACAGAATCAAGATGTTTATACATCTTTTCATGTGTTTGTGTGCCCTACAGAATTTCTTAGGTGATGAGTTGGTTGACATCTCTTTCCCTATTTTCTTGTATTTGTTTACAATATTCATAATCATTGTCAAATAATATTACAATCTAAGAGTGCCATTAAAATGAGTATAAAAGCCCAAATGAAGTTTTTAAGTTTTATAGGTTCTTACATCACTATGTAGCGAACGATTTCACAAAACATTCAAATCAGAAACTATCTTGAAGGCATACAGATTTCAACACTGTTTTTCACACTTCCAATTCACTGACATACAAGTTAAACAAAGGACTGTGGCCTGTCCTCATTGAGGGGCTCTGTCATACAACATAATTAGGGAGTGGAGGTGGCTCTTCCAAAATTACCAAGATCTGTTCTCGGGACCCCTGGTAGGACAGGCGGCAGTTCACATTCCAGTAAGCACTGAGACTATCCAGTCGGATTAGCTAGGAAAGAAAAGAAAAACTGTCAAGCAATGAACAAACACAAAAGATAAAGCAAACTATGGTAGAAGACTACGCTCATGTTCACAACCCTGAGATTAACCAACTGCCACTTCGAACTTTTAAAGAAAATAATGCAAAGTTAAAGGAAAATATGTTCACAGTCTCTATTATTAAGCTTAGTATTTGCTAAACTGTGTGCCCAAGAACACAATTTCCAAGATATTCATTCATTCAACTATCAAACTGACCGGAGTTTAGCAGTTAGCAGATCCAGGAAACATTCTACTAGACACAGAAGAAATGACACCTCTGGCAGACACCAGCGACTGTCTCCAAGGGAGGGGAGGGTGGTGCCAGAGCATCTCTAACCAACACAGTGAGGACCGCTAACACTATGAACATTGCAGTAGGAGGTTCACTGCACTTATTAGCATATTAAAGTACCTTGAAGCCCTTAGCTTACAATAAAATGAAACACACCTGTTTAATTACAGCGTGCTTGCTACTTAAAATTAGTAGCCTCACTTAACCAGAGAATACTTTTCCTACAAAACCTAACAGCATCTCTGACTTACATGAGATACTGTCGTGCGCTCCAGGCCTCCAGTTGGACTCATGGAGGGCACTGCCATGAACTCTAGGTCTTCAGCTAGGCTTGCGCAGCCAACTGAAGGTGCACACAGATAGCAGAGTTGCGGGATCAAGACACAGGATGGCAGAGTTGTTGAGCCAGGACGGCTTCTGCCTAGATTTCAGAGCAAAGCAAGTGTGCTCCTAAGAGGGCAGTGTGTAAAAGGTTTGAGTGTAAAGCAAAAGCAGAGGGGGTCAAGAGAGAAGCCCTAGGTGCCACTACCATCAGAAGTGCCATGGGGCAGTCACCCAAGCCCTCTGGAGTTCACAACTTGCCACAGATTGCCTCCAAGGCTGGACATGGAACTACAGGAACTATAGGACTTAATGTTTGCCCTGCTGGATTCTGGACTTGCTTTGTCCCATTCCTTTATACCCTGCTTGTACATTTTGGAATGGAAATGCCTGTATTGTGCCATTGCATCCTGGAAGTTTAAGTCTCTTTTCATTCATACAGAGACTCACAGCTAAGTTTGCCTTAGATCTTGAGAGACACTTGAGACTTGGACTTTTCAGCAATGCTGGAACTGTTAGGACTTCAGCAACTCTTAGCAATGGACCAAATGTCTTTTGCATAAAGAGATGTACATGAGTCTTTGGGGGGCGAGGGGCAGAACGCTATGGTTTGTGTCTAGATGTCCCCCAAAGCCTTATACAGTCAGAAAGACTGGCTTTCCAGTGGTGACTGAATCTAGAGTTGTGATTGATTCATCGTCTCCTGTTGGGATGGGGGGTGTGAGTCTACACCCAGCCTAGGGTAGGCAGCCCACACACAATGTAAAAGAACAGAAGAGGCTTGCTCCTCTTTTGCTCATTTCTTTTGCTGTCTTCCACCACCATGAACGGTTGCCCCTTTCCCATACCACCCCGAGACTTAGAACCAGCTGATTATGGACTGAAACCTCCACAAACTGAGCTAATAAACCTTTACTTCCTTTAAAAAACTCTAATAGTATCTCAATTACTTAATGCTTCATAAAATACCATATTCTTCACCTTACAGACGAACAACCTAAGATTGAGAGTCACACAGTAAGAAGCAGAGCCAGAACTAGACTTTGGACTTTCAATTCACCCCAAGAGCACATTCTGCTCCACCATTTCAAGGAAAGACATTAAGCACTTGCACCTAGAAAACTAACAAAAGAATTTTTACTCTAATAATAATAATACAATACCTTGTATATAATTTTTTCTGCTTCATTTAATATGCATGGAGTCCAATTCTCATTTGTAGTCTAAAAGAAAAAGAATAACTATGAAATGTGGTATATGACAGTGTTTTAGTATCCTCAAGTAGAAACAAAATAACACATAAAGAAAACATACTTAGCTACTGTTGGCTAGTGTTACCTAATTCTTTATGTATCTGCATGGCAAAATCAAAGGAACAGTGAAACATTATAACTTGGGTTCACTCCTTTAGGAAATTACAGAGTTAATGTGTGAATGGAAGAAAGAATTGGGTATGAACAGAAACAAGAAAGCCTGCCTGTATTCTGTTGAAGAAGGCACACACTTTTAAAAGATAGTACTTTCTGTAACATAGAAAGCAAACCAGAAAAGCATGGGAATGACAGCAGGGCCATGTGCCCTGCAAGGACAGCATAGCCAACAATGCTGTTTGGACCCGATTTAACAGCCAGCACATTACTGATGACCTTGCTGAGGACAAGAAAGGGGGAAGGCACAGGTAGTAAATTCCAGAAAAGTGTGGTTGTATAAGAGAGAGAAGGCAGTAGTTTCAGGGCCTGAGAGGGACTGGGGACATTAAGGAGGGGCTTTTAGCTGTGTGATAAAGAGGAGCCATGCACATGTTTAAGTGTGTGGGCAGGAGGAGATGAAGATTTAGGAGAGGGAGACTGACGTAAAGCAGGAAGATGGGATGCTAGGGCGGGACACAGGTTTCTGAGGGTACGAGGCCTGAATAGAGCGGGAGGAGGATGTTAGGTTGAAAGGTTAGACACACCCTAGTTTCCCTGTTCATTGATTAATTCCTGTCACTGGTTGTCCAGCTCTCTTTTTCACTGTTCTGCCTCACTCTTCCACTGCATGTACCTATATACCTGCACTTCCTGGTGTGTGCTTTTAGGACTGCTCCATCACCACATCTCTCGGTTTCTCTGCCAGTAACCCTCGTTCACGTTTCCTCCTCGCCTTCCCTGAGGTCCTCGCCGTCAGTGGCAAGTCTCCCGTATGACTTATCATCCACCGCCCTTGAGTTTAACTGTATATGCCGTTTATTTGTAGAAAAGCCTTATGCAGCTGTTTTTCCTCATTTCTATGCCCTTCCCCCGGCAAATGTTTCCTACAATTGCCCTAAATACAAGCAAGTCCAATCTATATATATATATACAACTGTGTATTCTCTAGCAAAGAAACAAACCTATTTATGAAATAACCAAACTGAATCACTTATGTGTCTCCCAATGTGACAGATCTACGTAAATACATACACATGCACAGCCACCTAGAAAATCCATTTACCTGTATCAAGTGGTAGCACTTAGCCCAACATACATTTTCCACCCCACTTTTCGCACATATTAAGATAGTTCTTATTCCTTTCAGACTGTTTGCTATTTAGATATATTTGTAAATTTAAATTTTAAAATTTAGTATTTTAAGTAACTTTTAAAATTGGTATTTAGATCTACTTGTGGTAAGAAAAATGAAAATGAAAGAATGTCATGTAATAAGAGCATCACCAAAAATGTTGAATTTCTACAAAACTGCAGCAACCTAATATAAAAAATGCATTAGCTAGTTGCAGACATAGTTGATTTTAGGCAATTCAGCTTATGACTTCACAGCGATATTTCAGAGGTTCCACCAAAATCAAAACCAAGGCAACATTACCAGTAGACTAAGCTCCCCCAGGGTAACACCAAATGAGAGCGGCCGCTCCGGATCAGTGACCTGCCAAAGGAAAGGGACATCAGGATACATGGAAAGTGATGGTGACCTGTGGCCCATCCCTTCCAACAGTGGTGGGGAAAAATGATTATAGGTGAGTCATACAACCCAACTGACAGGAAGGAAAGAAAGGCCCGGAAAGAGCAGGTCAGCACCCATAGCACCAGGGACAACACACTTCAGGATCTAATATGCTTTCCCAGGTTCAGAGACTCAGTAACCATCGCTAACAGAGTCCTAGAGAGAGTTAAGGAGAGACTGTCTTCAAGACACTCAATAACACTGCCACTAACTCCTTTTTTATAACACTTAAAATTGTCACAATTAGAAACACAAATTGCTTCTTTGGGCCTTTACTTTTCTTGACAATGCTTTCTTACGAAGCATTTCTACAATGCTTTGTTAAGAAAAATTAGATTAATATTTAATTTCCTGTCTTTTCATTCAAAATCTACCCATGTTAAACCTTTGTTTTATTCCTGAACTTTTGGTGTAAGTTATATTTACAGAGTGTTCAGAGCTTTCCACAGGATGCACAGACATTATCTGAGACATCTTGAAGACGGTCAAGTTACCAAGAACCACTGCATTGGGCCAGGGATGTAGCTCAGCAGCGCCAACACCTGCCGCAAGCACAAGGCCCTAAGTTTGATTCATGGCACCCAAGAGAGAGAGAGAAAAAAAAAAAAAAGAATCACTTGATTATGATAGAAATGAGCAAAGCACAAAGAAATAGTAGTATAATATTCTAAGTAACCCAAGACCCCAAAATTTTACCACATGCTCTTCTTAAACAGGAAAAATGCATATACGCCCTCATATAGTTGATACTGTGCACTCTTAGCCTTACTTGTAATTAACGCAGGTAATGATTTATAACAAAACACTTCCCTATTTCCTTACATTCATCTTTTTGTACCTACAGATAAAATAATCTGTGGCTATTTCAGAAAGAACTTCAACAACACACAACTCCACAATCTCCACTACCCTATTCACAATTACTATTAGCCAGTGAGCACGTTTATGATAAAAAATACTTTCCCATTGATTTTTTGTTTGTTTTATGAGAGAAAGTCTCAATATATAGTTCACACTGGTCTTAAAACCAAATAGCCCAGGGCCAGGGATAAGCACCTGCCTGGTAAGCTCATGATTGTAAGTTCGATCCCTGCTACCAAAAAATAAAAAATAAAAATAAAATAAGAAACTATGTAGACCAAGCTGACCTCAAGCTCGTGTCAACCCTCCTGCCTCAGTTCCCCAAGTGCTGGAATTACACACATGTGCCACCACGCCAGGCTATTTTTCCCACCTCTTACATTCTGTGTTTCTCATAGCTTTTTAGCTGTAACAGGAACTCTTTATGCTTTATGCTTTCTTCTTTAAATAGTTCTAAAACATTTTTGTCACCAATTAAAACATGACAGATGTTACTTACCCTATTCTTGTGCATCTCTTTTTTACTAAAAGGAAAGAAATAATGTACCTTTCTAATTATACTGGGTCAGTAAAAAGCTTAGTTTAGGTTCAAACTGATGCTTTCATCCAATAATATGTCAGGGTGATTTTTTGCTATTTTCCAAATTGACAATGTATATATCCAATTCCAAGTCCACACATTTGTTTACTATAAAATGATGTGGCTTTTGGGCTGGGGATTTAGCTCAGTGGCATAAGTGCCTGCCTTGCAAGCAGGCAGTTGTGAGTTTGATCCCCGGTACAGATAAAAAGGAAAAAGACAAAAAAAAAAAGGAAAGAAAGAAAAATGTGGCTTTCAACAATCTTTTCTCTTAAGAGTCCGCTTCTTATCATTAGGGAGTTTTGTGTTCATTTACGTATTTCCAGTAAGTAACTTGCTTTGCCACCATCAGTATCTGAGGGTTCACATTTCTTCATAGTTTTAACAAAATCTTTCACTCTCCTGTGTTATTTTTGTGTGTTAGAACATGAGCTTTTATAATGTGTTTTGTAAGACATTTATGTTAATGAAATTCATCTGAATAAACTCCGTAAAGCCAGTGTATAAACCTACTCTAAAATAGAGATCCTTTCTGAAAAGCTACCAGTGTGCTTGAGTACTAAGCACAGAGAGCTAATCAGGAAATGAAAATGTACCTACTGTCAGTACTGTTTAATTCAAACCCAAAACAAAAAAGAATGCAGATTCATTTTTAGAAAGATGGACTAAGATTTCCCCTTTCTTGAGTAAATAATAAAAGCTAAAATTTCTAAACCAAGAGCATTCTACCACTGAACTACACTCCCTGCCCTTTTCTAACGTTATATGGACACAGGATCATGCCCAATTGCCCAGCTCACCTCAAACTTAAAATCCTCCTGCCTCAGCCTCCCAGGAAGCTGGGATTATTCCAGTGGACCCCACCCCTGGTTTATTTCAAGCTTTAAACTCAGGGAAACAGACACAATTCAAGATACATTATACTTTAGCTAAATTCTTATCAACTAATGGTAAGCTTTTGGTCATAAGTGAAATTTTTGGTTTCTAAGTATAATGTCGCATATTGTAAGTAGCTGTGGGTGGCTTAATCCACTGAGTAGAAGGGAAAGGGAACGGCACCACACTCAGACGACCGTTGTTTTAGTCCCTTTCCTATGGATGACCACTACCACTGGTTATTTAATAAACTCCAGGAACTAACTGCTCAGATCCTTAAAGTTATCAGTCTTAACGCATAAAACAAAATTTTAAAAAACAGAGGACAACACGTGGTGGTTTCATGTCACCTTTACATATGTGCGTACTCAATGAAAAGAGCCCAGTGCAGAAAACACATGCAAGAACATTAATCTCAGATTCTGGGGAGATACGAGAGTCAGGCACAAAAGCAAATGCCTCTACTGACTGCACTGAGATCACTGAAGCACGAGGGGCACAAGTTCAAGTCCTGCATGGGCCCCTTCACAAGACACTCGAAAAATTTTTAAAAGGTCTAGGACTGTAGTTCAGTAGTAGAGTAACTGGGTTTGATCTGCAGTACTGCAAAAAATAAATCATGTTGGGTACAGATGAACCATACAAACCAAGACTATTATATAACATACATTTGTTAACTTAAACCAAATAATTGAAATTACTTACATCATCTTCATATTTAATGTGAATGTCTGTGATTTTCACTTGTACATTTTTTATTATTTGAGTTGCCAATTTTTCCAAAAATGTATCCTTTTTTGCTTCCTTAGGCTTATCTATTAAAAACAGAAAACACAAGCTCAAGCCGTGCCGTTCTCACAGCACCATGTAACGGACGCCCGAAGGAGAGGTAGGGACAGCTCAGAGGAAATTACACCTGCCCTAGCGTCATTACTTTTTCTCAGATTTAGTTTAGATTTTAATGTGATTTTCAACTTGAAATTCATACTTGAAATTAAATTAGAAGCTAACATTCATTTTACCTTCTGAGATAGATCAAGTGGCAATGTGTGCAAACAACACATGGCATAAAAACTACTTTTACCTACCTTTTGAGCGATCAAGACCTTTAAAACGTTTCTTAAAATGTTTTTTGTGCTTTTTACGCTTACGTCCTTCTCAGTGGAAGCATATTAGTGAGAAAAGGATAAAATTCAAGTTAGCAGACAAGAGGATAGAAAAGAAAATAAGAGAATTCTTCCCAAAAGCAAATTTTGGTATGATTCAACTTACTCTAATCAATACAAACACAAATTCATAGACCTCCTTTAATTTACAATAACATTTCTAGTAAAGAATAACCTTCCTTAATCTAGAAAATAACCTAAAGGTACAATTATACAAAAATGGGATAAAATATTCACTTGCAACATCCTTTATACATTACTTATTACTTGACAAACGTTCCCCTTCGATTTTAGTACTACCAAAATATTGGAAATGTAATAATGACAGAACTTTCAGAGGAAGGTTTGGATAAACGTGTGGCAGGAACACAAGTGAAATGGGTGGGCAGGATGCCGACAGATGACTCCCCAGATGATCCGCCTCGCAAACAAAACCCATGAGTCAAGGATGCAAAGAACATGAGAGTGACAGGAAATGCTCACAGAACCATGCACTGAACTGCCTTAGTAATTCCCTTAAACCTCATCCTTTGTTACTTAGCAGTGACTCAGTGAACTCCAGAATTAACCGACACCTGCCTCTCCCAAGCCCAACTTCCAATCCTTCACCCCCAGCTGCCCGCTGGGCATCACCTCCAGTTCCAAATCTGAGGTGGCCTCTGCATGGCTGCCCTGCTTCCTGCCTACTGAAGGCCCTTCTTTCCACCCACCATGTAGATTTCTTCTGAATACTACCCACAGCCTGTTAAGCCCTTGTTCAAAATTAGTTAAAGGCTCTCTGACGCCTGCCAGATAAAATTAAATCATGTTTGCCTGACAAAAAAGAGCTCTTTTGTGATGTAACCTCAGACATCCCTGTCTGCTTCTATCTCCAGCCACTCATCTTCATAATGGAAACTTCAGGAATATTATTTGTAATTTCCAATACAAGCCGTACTTTACAAAGTCTACTGTGTAAAATATCATTCCCTAAAGCTGGATTGTCCTCCCAGAAATTACCTTCTAGCAAACTTCTAGGAGACCGGGAAACCTCAGGCTCAGCACCTCTGTCTGGGTGTAGCCTTACTTAACTCCTCTAAGTAATGTGGGGTCAAGTCTCACTTGGAATTCCAGCAAACACAGGGAATCCCAGCACTACACTGCATTCACGGTGTTTACACAAGTCCCTTGCCCTGAAGCAGGAGGTTTCCTCTGGCAGTCTGTTTGTTTTAGGGCAGGGTGTAAAATCTGGGCACTGTTAAAATGGATTCAAAAAAACCCACATGTAAACATTATAACAAAACATATAAAGTCTATGTAACAAATTGACTTGTTGATTAATTATATTGCTATACATAGACTAAATGTTATACATACATTTGAGAGCATATACATGAAATTTAGCTTGAAATTTTACTTTGTTTTCTTGATATTTGTAAACTGTTACACTACTAAATTAAGAATCAACTTCAGTTTATAAGACTAAAATCCCAAGTTTCAAGGAGAAAATATCTACCAAAATATGTAACAGAATCTGGGTAGTACTAATAATAGTATTTCTAGTCACAGTGATAGTCTGGACTCTATTTTATTCATAAATTAAAAATACATGCCAGGCATGGTGTGATGCACCCCTATAATCTTAGCACTTGGGAGGCTAAAGCAGGAAAATGAAGGCCAAGTTCCAGGTTACCCTGGACAACATAACGAACTCAGGCCAGGTTAAACTACATAAGGAGATCCTGTCTCAAAAAACAAAATTAAATAAATAAATAAAAAGACTGAGTTCTCAAATACCATGTGAAAACAAACAAGTAAGACACTAGCTCTGAAAATCATTCTACCTGGCTAGAACAGCAGGGTCTCTTCTTGTCTGACCTGTCCTTGTTGTTCCAAGGTTGTTCCAGCCCCTTGTCACGTCTCTGAACTCCATGTTAGAGATGCCACATTACACTTCTCTGAACGGTTTCACAGCTGAGTACTACATAGTTCCTTAGAGAACATTTCTAACTAATCTGGTAAATAATAAATCTATTATTCTCAATCATGCTCTAAAGCAGTTTTCAAATATTTTGGTCTCAGGATCCTTTGACACACTTAAAACCTGAGGCTTTGAAAGAGTTTTTATCTTTTGTGGGTTGTAACTTACTGATATTAATTATGCTGGAAATCTAAAACAGAATTTTTGAAGTATTTTGATTAATTCACTAAAAAAAAAAAAACTATTACATATATAATTACACAGACAGCATATAGTTAAGAAGACAAGCATATACTCCTAAACAAAAACTTGGAGTGAGAAAGAGTCACACGGTTACAACCCTTTTAACAGCTGGCTCACGACACAGCTGGATTCATGTGTCGCCTCTAATTCAATCTTTTGAGATACGTTGTTCTGACTGAAGGATATGGCAAAAACATCATTTCACTACAGATACGCAATGGGAAAGACAAATATTTTCATGACCTTTCCAAGTAATTATGAATACAACATTCCAAGTGGTAGTCTCTTAAAGGCAGTTGTCTCATGAAATCTAAAACATTATCAATGAACTTTTCACCAGCATTAAAATCAATTGGTTTGCTCTGCACTTTAACCTTTTAAATGATTTATTTCTATTCATTACTAGTGCATTTGGAAATGTTGCTTATCTGAACTGTGCAAACCTGTCCAATGTTGGGTCATTTCCTTATTTAATATCCAAAGTCCTATCTGTTACAATCACCAACAGTCTCATCAGAAAAGTCTTCTAAGTATTAAGAAATGTCAAGCTCAAAGTAGCAAGTGTAAGGTTTTCAAAACTCTTATTCCTCAGTTACTTTGTTCCATCGAACAACTCCCAAATCTGAATAATGATAATCCGTCAATTATTTTTTCAGGTAAACATGATTTTCCATTAAAAAAAGAAACCCAACTGCATGAACACTTTCTTCAGACCTACCCCTTAAGTACACTTGCTCTTTTGTTGCATATGACATTAAAGAGACATGTGATCAAAGTTGCAGTTTATTAAAATAGTAATCTTCCTACTTCAAGAAAAATGTTAATACTGAAAAGGCAAGGTGATAAAGAACACAGCAACTACCAATGCAGCAGGGTGCCCTGCCTTGAACCATGAGCCAGCAATTTACTATCGCATTTGTGCCAACATGGCAAATGTCCGACACTGTGCCAAATCAAGCAATATCTTAGCATGATTACGAAAATACTTTTGACTCTGAAGAACCACTGTCCTAGAATCAGAAAAGAAAAAAACCTGACACCAAAAGGGGAAAGAACATATGTTTGGAAACTGAAAAGAAATAATCATGAAGTACACAGGAATTCCTGGGTAAGTGAATGAAAATATCATCAACAAAATTAACTGTTCCCATTTCAGAATCATCAATATTCTGGATCTCATTTTTTATCCAAAGTAATGCACATTACAAAGGAAGAAGAAAACCAAATCCATTAGGTGTTCCTTTATAATGACTTCTCCACTGCTTTTAACAATAGCACCCAGGGATTTTGTGAGGTATCTCACTGGGCCACTAGTACTCATTTGTACGTTGGGGATGGGTCATACCTAGAAGGATTAAAAAATACTGTGCAGCAGACTACAGAAAACCACAACCTATTAAACTGGACAGACAGCCATATTCATCTGCATGCTGCCTTTTACATAAAAGTAGCTAAAACAAAGTAACATAGTTAGCGAACTAAAAGGGTAGATTTGCTACAAGGAAATGTGCTTTCTGGGTAATTTCACTTAATGCTGTGAATCTGCCAAGCAAATTCTTTTTCCAACTGTCACAATGAACCTACATATTAAACAAGTTTCTAGGTGCAGAAGTAATTGTAGCACAATGCTTTTTGTCTAAAATTTGAGTTACAGAGCCCGCTTGCCATTTCATCAAACCAAATTTTAAGTGCGGGTAATATACCAAATTCTTTACACTTTTAAAGTACAAAATGCAATAAATCAAATTATGGTATTAAAATAATTGCATTTGATAGGGCAACCTTCAATCTGTCCTTATGAAGCTTTGAATATCAACGTGCTCTACATAACAGTAGGCTACAGACCCCCCAGAACTACCTCTAAAGCCAAACAGATCAGGGAGAATACCAGAAAAAATGCCATGATGACCTTCTATCAGAGTTCTGAATATAGTTCTGTTCCCCCCACCCTGAAAAGTTTTGTTTCTTTCATAAGCTTGAAAACCACTGCTACAGAGAGAGGAGGGACTTAATTGAGAAACTGGACTACTGTGCTAGAAAACTAAAATCCCAAAGGCAGTATAAATTTCACAGTGACCGACAGATCAAACTTTGGAGTTTCACAAGGGCAGGGAACTGTGCCTGTTTACCTTGAACAACTGGCACCCAGCATCATGCTTGCCACAAAGAGATAATCAAATGTTTAGTGAATGAATCAATGGCTGGAGAAGGTAGGAAAAAGGAAACGATGGTAAAGGGAAAGGTATGAATTACATTTCCATATTTTTCAAAGGATGGCACACCATCAAATGGACTCCTCTAAGAGCACAAGCATGGATAAGAGTATAACTTTTACAGTTGAAAATAATTAACCATGCATACCCACCAGGCTTGACGTCCTTGTAAACCAAGTTTTCCAAGCCATATATGAACTGTCCTGAATGTGTGCCTGTATCCACATGGCAGCAATAACCAAAACGCAAAGCATTAAAAGACAACTTTAATTTCCACGTGTAAAATACACCTAACCTTGATTGCAAAGAGAATTAGAAACCATTCACAGGACAACTGAAATTCAATGACACCAAACCATCTACTTCTGAAGAAATACTTACAGTGACATCATTTTTATTCTTTCCACATACAAACTGCATTTTCGTAGTATTAAAGTAAAAATTCTTAATCAAAACTGTGACAATCAAATTAAGCAAGACAGGCAAATACTACTGATTATAGCTAATGTCTCACTGAAATATTTTACAAATTTTCAAATGGAACAAAATAATCTATTCCTTTGGTTCTCTTTGCCTGCTCTTTTGCCCATTTCAGAAAAGTGATATTTAACACTAATTTCAGAGTCAGCGGAAATGTCCTCATTTAAATTGGTAGGATCTGCTTTCAGACACAATGTCAGAATCCTTAGGGCTCACCACCCCCTCTTTGGATTTTTAAAGAAGGCAAAAGGAGAATTTAGCTCCCTGCTGGCCGCAGATTGAAGTTCACTATTAAGAATACAGAATCTAGCTAGGGATATAGCTCAGTAGCACAAGCATCTGCCTGGCAAGCACAAGGTCCTGAGTTTGATTCCTAGCATTAAAAAAAAAGAATACAGAATCTAGAGTCAGAGTATATTAAAATTCTAGAGCTACCATTTTCTCATTGTGTCATACGCAGCAAATGATTTAACATTCAGCTTCCTCAACTCTAAAACAGATGGCAACAGCACCTGAACTGCTGGGTGGGAACTATTCACTGAGCTAACTCATATGAAGTACTCCGAAGAATGCCTGCATCACTGAGGCTTTCCAACCTCTTAAAATTACCCTAAATTAGCTTCCCAGCCTTCCAGGGATCCACACCCTATGCAGCTCCCTAGCCGTCACAGGCAGTACACACCTTCCCACCCTCACTGTCCCCTCTTACTCTTCTGCACTCTTCACAGCTAGCTGAAGTAAACAACACGACACCTTCTGCCCCGATCTCTTGTGCTGCACATGATAAGTCCAATTCTCAGCTGCCCTAACGCCTGCACCTTTTAATCAGGATGCAACACACTTTCTCCTGCTTATCTTTATACAACTGCCTCTCTGTCCAAATCAAATGTAAGATCCCTGACAAGAGGATATAATAATTTTCTAAGTTTTACGTTTCCAACAATGTGTAAGCAGACTGACATTTGACTTCTCAAAAGCATCCTTCAAATTCTTGATTTTCTACCTAGGGTTTAATCCCTAGGCAAAATACACAAGGCTAGAAGTAAAATAAAACAACATTTAGACTTAAAAATTTTACAAAATTACATTAAAAGCTACTAAATGTCTCTTAATGACAACACCCATAACAGGAGTATGGGAAAGCAAAGACAGAAAAACGGAAAGAGAACTAGATATAGTTAATTAAATGCGAAAGAGCAACAAAGAACAGTGTCGAGGAAGACAAGTATATAACAAGCCTTTAAAAAACAAAATAGAATGAAACAGGAAACAGTTCAAGGCCAGCAGTGGAGCTCAGCGGTACAGCATAATGCCTACTCAACCAAAGGCTTTGGAGTCAACACCTAGTGCTACAAAAAACACAACAGTTCAAAGGGAAAACTTCATGAAAAAGAGGTGGAGAGGACCAAGAGATGGGTAAAGACAACCTGAAAACAATTTTCACAGTCATATAACAGATCAATTTCACATAACATGAAAAATTTAAAGTATACATAGAAGACTAGGCAAATAAAAAGCATTTACAATGCAAGAAAAATGACTACAGAAGGAAGGACACATGACCACCATCCATTATTTAACCTATGCAGTGCACAATAATATTGTCATAGTAATGTAAGTACTAACCAGAAATTGCCAAAGTTATGATGCATCCATATTATGGGATAAGGAAGAAGGCAATGCAGGTTAGAAGAGGCAGTAACAGAGGTAAACTCCTTGACTCACCACAGCAGGAGTCCTTGCCAATGCCTGCCAGCCTTCCACTAATAAGCTGCACAACAGCAGAGTGTCTGCTGCTCAGGCTTGTGATTCCCTCTCAGGAGGGGGTTTGAAGAGCAGCAAATGTTGAAAGCCAAGCTGCCTTTTCTTATCGTAAGTCTTTTTTGGCAAAGCTTTGGATTTTTCAGGGTATATTTATATAGTACTTTGACAGAATTAACATTTTAAATACAGAATCTAAAATTTAGGAGTTTTCTGTTATTATCAGGAATTTCATATTCTGGGGAATATAAACTGATATGGTAAAACAAAAGGACAAAAGTAATCATTTCTACAAGGAAGCCAATTCTCTAGAAATAAAATCAAAGTTTCTTTTTTTTTACATGACAGTGAGCAACACTCTATTTTGTCAAATAAAACAAATTTTACAAACACTAAATATATCTATAGTATGCATTATATATCAGGCTTAAGTTATCTAAAACATAAACTTACTTACCCTTCTCTGCTGCTTTTTGAAGGGCTTCTTCAATTCGGGAAAGCTCTTTCTGTTTAACATCCTGCAAGGATTTTTCTTCTTTCTCAGAATCATACTTAATACCTAAAAATGTGTAGTTAATCACACAAAAGAAATGGAATCAATAAATAAATGTGAAAAGTTCAAACTTACTACAAATGTGTAACATATTTTTTAAGTTCAAAAACACTTTTGTATTCTTTAGTTTCTCAAAATACTTAAATATAAGCGATTTCTATTGATTTATAAACCATAACCAAGAAAGGAAAAGAGCGAAGAAGTGACAAAAAGAAACAAAGATAAAAAAGGGAAAGAGGGAAAAGGCTATACAGATACATAAAAAGAGAAACTGAAGACAGAAATACCTGAGAATACTGGCAATTACTGAAAAATTTTCAGTAACTACAAAAATGATTTCCCATCCAATACCACCTGGTATCAATGTAGAAGGATAAAAAGGCTTTCAGAAATTAATTCAGGAATATGTGTCAACAATCATAAAATATATACCCTTTTTGTCTAAGAAATCTCATTTCTGATGATGTATCTTAAGGAAATAAAGTAAAAGCACACATTAAAAAATTTGTAAAAAAAAGATATCGACAAGGTTCGCTATAATGGTGATCAAACATTAGCACACCATGGAACACATTACGGCCTTTCAAAATTGTCACTACTACTAGACAAACTACAAACTACATAAAAATGTCGTATCTTACATAAAAGACAGGTCAATGCTGCTGCTACTTAAAGGTTTATAATGTATATAATAAAACTCTATAAGCAAAATACAAAACTGAAATTTGTATCTGTACTATGATTAGAAAATTATTAAGTAATTTTACCCTAAAACATCCAAATTTTTCTTATCACACTCTTCAAGTGGAAAAAATTAACTAATGATGTTAAACTATAATATTTCAAAGAAATTCACTAAAATTAAAATAATGCAATTTGCTTAAAAATTTACCTATGTTGACACAAATTTTTGAAAAAACATTTACTTAAAATCAGAAGCAGTGAAATAGAATAAAGAATAAATTTTCTTATCTTGAAATGGGCAAATTAACATATCAGTACACTTTTAACAATTTATTACATTTCATTTCCTAATAAATTTGCCTAAAGCATCTTAACAGAAAGATTAGATGCAAAATAATTACTCAGAGAATAGAATTTAAAACACTGCATATATTCTTTATAATAATAAGACATTATACACACAAATGTGGCTATTTATGTATACATATTCGTACCTTACTAAATAAATTAGATATTTAACCCAGACAACAATTTAATATCCCTATGATATCACTGAATTGTTATAACTTAAAACATACTTGCTCCAGGGACAACAAGCAGATACAATCCCTCTAAAGTCGCAACAACTGCTTCTCCATAAAGGTTTTTCCAAGGAATCTTCAAAGCTAATTTACCTACAGAAACATAATTCAATCTTAAGTCCTTGTTTCACTGCTCAATAAGAGAAAAATTTCTCACTTTTCATTAAAAGTATCATTAAAATTCTTCATGCATACATTATTACTCAGGAAAATTGCAACACTAGCATTTAAAAGCTTTTTTCCATATAATATTACTAGTAGAAGCAAACTTCTTTATATTTGTCAAATTTCTTGCTAGTTCTTATTTGACATTCTAAAATGATAAGAGAAATGAAGCAGCTACTCCTTCAGTTTTTTAACAGAGGAAACTCGGTCTGGGAGAGGTTAAATTGTCCCAAATCCTTGCAGCCCATGAGAGAGCACCCAGAACCCTGCGTGCAGGCCCATGCGCGTCCACTCATATCAGCCACTGACTCTCCAGAGCCCAAGTGTAAAATGGTATCTGCGCAAGATGCCAGGAGCTAAAGCACAACACAGCAAGGGGCCCCAGGGGACTGAACCGCCACAATGAAAAGAGGGTAGCTCTAAAGGCAAGATAAATTACTTTATCAATAATGCTATGATGTTAGTAGTGTTACACGACTCAGACCATTTATACTCCTAACTTGTATTTACAAACCACTGGGAGGCAGAATACATTTGTTCTCTTGGACACAGGTCATTAATGTCAGGTCCTTCAAAGATGAGCCCATGAAACTCCCGGAGAAAGGTATGCAGGGCAAAAGGCAGAGAAGAAAGCTAAATTCTGAAATGGACAAAATCTGTTTTGGGTATTTTCTCCCATGTCCTCCTTCATCCTGTCTCCTTCTGTATCTACCTGTCCAGGTCTCCAGGCAGCCATGGCCCAGTCTCCCCTTAGTAGTATTAGTAACAATCCTGCCCACATCTTTCCTATCCCTGCTTTTTATGTTCCAAAAATAAATACCTTCCTTCCTCATAACTTTTTAAAAATAATGATATAACATCTACAGTTCTCTCAGTACTGCTGACCAAGACTTTCAGCAGAAAAGAATCTTTCAACTCACACTAAGCCATAGTACAAGAATCGATGGCATTTGTAATTGAAGATGCCCAAAGTTCAAAGAACTGATAAAGAATGCAGTGACCTGAAGAGGGAATAAAGTAGTATCTGGAATGCAGACTGTCCTGCCGGGTTGCAGCACTCAGCCAGAAATACCCGCCATTTCTTTCCGGCTGGTAACGTGCTGAGTTTCTAAGGGGCTCTGAGGCAGGGGATCTGCTAAGACCACCACGCTTCTAGTCACCTCTGACAATCTTGTGGTACCAAATACATATATGATACTACCATACACATATTACTTGCAATCATCTCACAATCTCATAACAAAATGTATCTGACTGCCTTCCTAGCAGAAGACCGAGACTGGGAAGCGCTCCTCTAGGTGCTATATCCACAAAGGACTGCTTATGTCCTACACCTCTTCTTCCCTCTGTCCTAACTCATTGCCCTCATCCCTCCAGAAGGTCCTGGAACTCAGCTAGTTGTATTATCCCCTCCTTTCAGAGATAAGAACTTTGTTTTAATTTAAGTACAAGGACAACCTAGAGTCGCTCACAGATATGATTAGCTCTTAGAAAATCAAACCATGTTTCAGCTTACTTAGCTACACTGACTCTACAAGTTAGGTACAATATTTTAACCCTGAACAGAAATTTAGTAACTTATATAAACACTCCATAAACCAGAAAAGGATAAAAAAAATATATACTTTATATCCTAATATGTAATGGCCTTCTCAATACTCAATGAATAATCCTGGAAAAGGTATAAGTCCTCATGGCACGTTAAAAGAAAACAGAACAAATTTTAAATCATGAGAAAACTTATTCCAACATACAAATCTCCTTGTAAGAATATTTGAGTAGCCAAGGATTTAGCTCAGTAGCATAAGCACCTTGGCAAGCATGAGGTCCTGAGTTCGACCCCTGGGGTACCAAAAAAAACTTGAATAACATAAAATATGTGAGCTATATAACATATGTCAGCTATAACTCATCCAATATACTAGAAATGCAATTTTAACTTATGTCCCAATTTTAGATCTCTGTAACTTCCTTGAAGGCAAACATACCACATTTACCCTAGCCTCTCCCACAACTATTGGCAGAGTTTTGGATTTAGCACATGTATGTAAAGTAAAAGGATGAATAAATGGCTGTAAGTTCTACACTCTAGATTTCATTAAGCATACGGCCTCAACAACAATACTTCTCAAGCAGTGCTAAAGATCACAACAATAGTCAATGCTACTTAAAATACAAACAAAAAAGGTGACACATGTACTTGAGATATTTCCAAAATAAGGGACTCTTATTTCCAATGTGAAAAAACATGAAAACATTCCTTTACATTAACAGGACACATAAAAATGGACCCGAATAAGTAAGTAATTACTAAGACACTGGAGTAGTGAAAAAGAAAGCCTTCTCAAACCTTGAGTACTAAATGAAGAGAAGCAGCAGTGTGATACACTCCTGGGATATAGACGGATATGGCAAAAGTGAAGATTCTACAGTATAAATAAGGAATCAAGTGTGGGTGTAGAGATGGATGGATAGATTGACAGACAGACATCTCCAATAGTGTGGATTAGTTGGGAGAACTTTGTAGATTAAACTTCCTATTGAAAATCATATACTTAGCTGTGTATGGTCTAAGTGTAAGAATTTAGCGGCAGGGCCAGGGATGTAGCTCAGCAATACAGCACCCTACTGGCAAGTGCAAGGGCCCTGAGTTCGATTCCAGAAATCAAACAAAAAAAATTTAGCTGCAAAGAGAAAGACCCCATACTCACCAAAACACAGCATCCATACCACACTGCTGTGTAATACAGCAAGCGAAAATGGTTGAACAAAACGTGAGGGAAATAAGCTGCATTTAAAGTTTATTAATAGTTTATGAATTATACTACTTTCACAAACAAAGAAAAGCTTACACAAGGTGGATATCTATAGTCAAGCCAATGCTGTATTTATGCAGCGGAGCCAAGCCTGAAGAGCACAGATGCAGTTTAAATGTCCCCTCACCTTGGAGGGTAACTTCTACCCTTCTGCCAAAACATTCAGGTAGATATTATTTATATGTTATGTGTATTAAGTTCAGAACTCTATAAGCACTAATGGAAGACAAAAATTTCTCACACTTTTGGTCAAGCTTAACACGATTTCTTAGTTTAAGTAATGCAAAAAAATAAAAAACAAAGGAATAATAATAATTCATACAAAAAGTTAAGTACTTACCAATTTGCCCAGCCTTGACTTTAAAAGGAACGTCGAATTCACCCTTCAGGAAAAAAGAGAAATTTAAAGGACATCTCACATTATTAAGCCCCCAAAAGTTACTCTAGTATCACGTATATACAGAAATACAGTACCCTCTAAAGAAAAAAATAAATAATGCATTTTCTGTATTTCAGTAATTCAGAAAAGGGTTTATAGCTTTAAAAGAAAAAAATCTTTACTAAACTTTGACTCTGCATAAAAAATTCACATGGAAAACTATTAATAAGAAAAATTTAAACAGCTTGTAGTTTAAAAATGGAAGTGGATAAATTGGTTAATTTGCTCTAATAAATCAAATCAAATATAAGCTCCACTAACTTAAACACATAGACACAGTTTAAAAGAAATGCTAGAACAAGAAAAGGAAGTTATCCCACACAGTAACTAAAACAGTACCTTAAAAAAAAAAGAAAATAGTAACTAAACAATTGTCTCATATTTAATAAATAAATAAATAATTTTTAAAGATATATTCTTCAACTTAGGCTAAGAATTCAATTTGTTTTCTATGCTCATAATTCTATTTATACTTATATTTTTACAAAATATTGACATAAACTGAGAAAAGTAGGTTTTATTCCAATCTCTAACAATACAAAAATAACTCAAGTTTTTGGACAAAATTTACAAGTTGTGATGTGCCATATAAACACAGGAAAAAAGATCCAAATATTCTGAGGACCCACAGTTTTCCAGTTCATTTTTCTTTTTTTTTTTTTTTTAACTTTTTATCGGTACCAGGGATCGAACTCACGACTGCCTGCTTGCAAGGCAGGTGCTTATGCCGCTGAGCTAAATCCCCAGCTCTCCAGTTCATTTTTCATCTTATTCAAGCCACAAACACAGGTATTTTAATGCTATACATTAATTGTGCTTTAGCTGGGCGTAGTGATACGTGCCTATAATCCCAGCACTCCTGAGGCTCAGGCAGGAAAATTGTTGTAAATTAGAGGCCAGTCTGGGCTACAATGTGAGCCCAGGGCCAGTCAGAAAGAGATGGCAAGATCCTGTCTCAAAAAGACAAATAAATAAATAATAAAGTGTGATTTAAAGATGATTAAACCAATGCAGAAAGATATTATAAACTAGAAATTAGGAACCTGAAAATGTGATGAAGTGACTTCATAAATGTAAATTTAACCCAACAAGCTAAATAGAAAGCAAATGGGATAGGAGGAAAATTGTTTTGCTTGCTCCACAGTAAGGGACAAAAATTATTTTCTGCAGTTAGTATTTTTTTTAAAAATTCTTATTTTTTAAAAAAATTCTTTTTTTCTTATTATTACCGTTTTATAATGCCAAACTACTATAATTCATTACATAGTTGTTAAAGTCAAGCCCTTATTTAGTTGAAAAACGTGTAAAGATAATTCAGAAGAAAAATGTAGACTATGATGTTATAGTCAAGTTAGGTTAGGTAAAAGTTCCACTTTCCAAAAGATACTATCTTGATCATTAAGAGAAATTTTTTTCTGTATTTTTAATCTGAGATTTCCTAATGGAAAATCATTGTCATTAAATAAAATGACTCAATCACTTTATATGGTACCTGGTACCAGATGCCCAGCAACCAAATTAACTGAGTTATTAGCGTAGTTTTAAAAAAGACTTACCAGAGCATTTTCTTTTATCTGTAGATTATCTAAAGCCACATTGCCTTTTAAAGAGAGAAGGAAAAAAAAATACATTAATACAACAACTAGTATAACCTATCATAATGCACACCAACCCCTAGGAATACAATGTTAAAAGCTAAAACACATGGCAAAGGACCTGCCTAAAAATGGAAATATCAGCAATGAGGCATAAATCATAATGTGTCTACATTAGAGCCAAAAAAAGTAAAGAAATACAGTAAAATATGCACAGAATATTTTAAAAGATTAAAAGAATGCATAGATTGATCCAACTTCAAAAGCTATACCAAATACACTGGTGTATGCACAGCACTGATAAAAAGACACATAGCATAAAGCTCATGTCTCTATAGGACATCTTCTGGGTATTTGTAGTTTTCAAATTTGCTAAAATAAATTGCTGAAAAGTATTATAAAACAAGAGGAGGAGGCAAGAATATAGGCAGTAGCCTAGCACCTACAACACAACGAAAAAACTTAAACTAAGGCAGCAACTTCAGAGTCAAAGACATGGAGTCACAGTAGAGTGATTTTGGAGTCAGGACTGACAGGCTGGCACCAGTGCAAATCTAGGACTAACACAGTAATCGCAAAAAACTGGCATGTGCTTGGCAGTTGGAAAAAAAAAATCCTTAAGTATTATTTGCAGTAAAGTCATATAAGGTGTACATATATTCCTGGGTTTTAGTCTACCAAACAATGAATCATACTAAACACAACTAGGAAGTCAAACCAACAAAACAGATATGCACAGCGCTAGTGCATTACTAAAGCCATTCAAACTACTCCAGCAATAGCTGAAGTGCACAGGAAGACTTGCATACCTGCCTGGGAGGATCTAAGCATCACCAGGAGCGCTCAGAAGTCATTGGCATTAGAGGTGAAGTTTTCAAAACAACTACCAAGACAGTAACACAACAGGTGTAAAAAAAAAAAAAAAATCTTTTGAAATAAGGGATGTTTCCAATGCACAAATTTTGGCTCTGTGATGAAGTAACACATTGGGAAACACTGAACAGCACCAATAGAGGTAATGAAGTTAAACAAGTGTATTTAAAAAGATGGGCAAAGAGCTCACAAGAGATTATAACTGGGTGGTGGATTAAAGATGGTTTTTTATTTTTTCAATATTTTCTACTTGTCATATATTTTATCCACTTACCAGATTATAAGGGAAATGGGGAAATAAAGGTAAATCCCAATGTCAACATGACCTCAATATGTTTTATATCATTTCCTCCTGTATCTTCTAACTTATCTGCAGACATAAAACTAACAGAACTACCTATTTCTGCTATCCAAAATCTAACAAATAAATGCGTACTTCCGCTCTGAAAAACAATGTGAATGCTATTTGACAACGTAACTATAACAATCCCATTCTGCACACTGTTTGCACTAGAGGAGGAGCCAGGAGCCCCAACACAAAGAGGAGGCAGCAGCTTGCAGATTAACAGGGCCAGGAAAAAGGGTGAAAAGCCCTGCCTAAGGGGAAGCAGCAGGTATGGTGGGCTCCTCAGGAGAGCTTGGGAGTCTCCTTAACACACTATAAACACTGCACAACAGCCATAAAGTCACACATCAGATCTTAAGGCCCACCGTGGAGATTTTAATCTCAAAGGGTAAATCTTTGACCCATATTTATCTATGAATCTTCATTCTCAAACCAGAAGACAGAAATGGAACTAAATCCATTAAAATTGGCAAATGAAAATAAATTGGCAAATGAAAAATAAAAAAAAAAAAAGGTGCTACATTACAGAACAACTAAGTCCATCTATTTGCGAATAAAACTCCAATGGCAGTAGGGTAATACAGAACTATGCCTAGTAAGTATAAGAACAGCTTTTAAAATACATAATGACCTAGAAAATAAATATAAAAATTATAGTGCTGGTGTTAAAACCTCTAACCTGAAATTACCTCCCCCAACTTTCTCAGAAGTTTCAGCTGCACCTTCTTTGCGATATTTAACACTTTATATAAACCCAACCTAACTATAAACCCTTGACTCTCCTCATAGCAAGTACTCCACCAATGCTGAATTCATCGGTTCAGGATGCACACCGTACGGGGCAGAAGCAACTCCAGTACAGACATAAACTTTTATTTTTAGAGAGTACTTCCAGATCTATGACACCACTGGACCCTCACAGCCCCCTGGGCAGAAGGACAGACATACTAAGAAAGCATACAGATATACTGAGGTTTAATGTGCGGTTAAAGGATGGGCCTCAAAATATCACAGGGACCTGTAAGCAGCAGGGCCACCATTCTGTCCTCTGTGTCCAAGGCTGGGCTCACAGCACCACTCTGCAACAGCAGGGCAGCAGCGGAGCAGGACTTTAACTCAGAAGGTCAAACTACTTCCTTGAGAGGAAAAAATGCCAGAGGAGAGCAGACACCAGGCTGGGAAGCCTGTGTACTTGTGGGCTCTACTTTCACTCTCTGCATTTTCAGAGAGATGGGAAAAAATTCCAGAAACAAAAAGGGTAACTAAAATTAGTACAGCCAGGGCAGAAGCGCAGGCAGCACCAGCCAAGGGATATTGTTAGCAGCACAGAAGGAAGGACAGGCCGCAGGCAAACCTGTGGGGGCGGGGTGAAAATCTACTTTCTCAACAAAAAGAAAAAGAAATTCCCAAGCTATGTTTTAGACCACATAAATCTAATCCTCCCTCATTATTTATACATGAATAAACCATAAGGACATCAAGAGATTTATCCAAGATTCTCCAATATTTTTGTGGCAGTAGTAAGCATAGAAACTATGTCTCCTGACTCCATGGCCAATGTTCTTCATATAAAAAGAGACAGTCATCAAAAACTGTGATTAAAATTCAAAAGCACCCAATATCCAAACATATCACACCCTAACCCAGGACACTGGGTAAAACAGGAAAAAAGAACACTCAGTGCCACAGACTTACAGATTTCTGTATGCACCTGTGACATAAGCATTCTCTACTCATTTGAAAGTGTAACAAAATGTACACACACTCATTTCCCAAAGAAGTCAGGGAAATTATTGAAAAGAAGGAATCAAGTTATTTTAATGACCAGTTTTAGGAAACATGAGGAGAATACTGTAGCAATTCATGAACAAATTTCACACCAGCCTAGCCATGGACGCCTCACTATCCAAGGGACACTGCTTCTGATCTGCATGGAGACTGCTGGGAGCAGCCGGGGAAGAGAAGAACAGCAACTCCTGAAAGGGGAAGTCCTGGCAAAGGAAGGTCCAAGCTGCAGTCACCCGGAGCCCTCCTGAACTTTCTCCCTCCCACGCAGGAGGGATCCCGTGAGGCTGAGTAGTGCTCTCACTTCCTAGCAGAATGGTTACAAAGCGCTGACTCTCATTTTCTAACCCATAATGCTGCTTTATCTGATAACATATATTTACACTCCAGAAGGATCTTTCTGTGGATTAGTGTATATACTACAGGACAAGTGGGTAAGAAACCAGGCCTTCGGTTACACCAGGTGTTGGCCTGCAACAAAGGACTTTTCAACTTTTCTCTACAGGCTTAAAAACATCTGGGCACCTGAGTCTTGTTTTATTTTTTTTTTTATTTTCAATGTGTTGAGGGAAGAAAACAAAAGATCTTCTTTTTCTTTCATTCCCACACTGCCCTACAGCTCCCTTTATGATAATACTGTAGCCTTGGACCGTCGATTACCAGTGTAATGCCCAGCAGTGAGCAAAGAACACACAGGACAGCATCTGGCTCACCGGACCTCTTCTCACCACGCAGCAGGGTCAGCAGCAGAGCGCTTACCTGCTCACCTCACAAGGGGCTCAGGCTGCTCTGGGTTTGCTCCCACGAGGAAAGACAAGACCTGGCCCATCCTTCTGATTTACAGATAAGAAGCAAACATCACTGCTCAGTGTGACCTACCAAAGCCACACAACCTGGCAGCACCGGAGTCAGGGTTGGAACCCAGGCTCCCGAATTCCTGGTGCCACCTCAGAGCTAATCCTCCTTTCCAATGCTGCTCTGCTTCACCGCCACGGGCAGCATCCCTGATGAAACACCCAAAATCCAAACTGTTCGAGACCATTAAAAGCAGCTCTGAGCAGGACTTAAATTTTACTAGTTGGCTTTCTATGTTTATCTGTGAGTCTGTCCTAGGCCTAGGCACCTTGCCTGGCGACGGGAGCTGATTCATAGTAAGTGAACCTCTATGAATCACTGGGCCTGGCTAAGGCTTATAGTGGCCTGTGAGGTCAGGGATACCTCAAAGGGCAAGATAAGGCCACAGCTTCGGACACTTGGCTCCAACCCTAATTAACTAGGTAAAGACTGCAGCTGCAGAAATTACTCCTACAGTCACTCCTAGCATGTCTTCATGATAAGACAGAGCTACTGAACTGACTTGATTCATTTCTTGGAGACGTCCTTGAAGTGACTCCCAAGGTCCTGCTCATTGCCTGCACTTTCCTCAGTTTCCCCACCCCTTGTTGTTGGAACTCATAAATAAAATGGGCGGTCCAGAGAAATCTCTGTCTCAGCCCTCTGAATCTCGGGCTTAATTAAAGGGTCTTGACCCTCTTGAAGCCCTAAAAAATCATACAATTTCTCTCTTTTAATTTAACCTCTGCCGTACACTTGTTTGGGAGATGGGCGATCTAGGTCAGGACCCGATACCAAACTGCTACAAAATCCCAAACCTTTGGAATGCTGCCTGCCACAGTGCCACATGAAGCATCACAGTCAAAGTACACTGACACTAAAAGCACTCAGGCTACATGTGTAAGACATGTAAGGAACATACGAAATATACATACGTGTTTAAACTTGGATCTCACACAGAGAAATCTCATTTTACATATGTACAGATATTCCAAGATCTGGGGACAAAAACCCAAAATGCAAAACAGTTCTGGCCCCAAGAATTTCAAATAAGGGATCAGGCTACGGCAGTGATGGCAAACCTACAGCACGTGTGCAGCAGTAGGCTGTTCATGTCACTGAAAGCTCTGAAAGGTTCGCCACCCCTACTCCATGGGTACTGGCAAGCAACGGGTAGTCAAGAGAAAGATGGGACAGTAAACCCCACAGAGCAGTCTGGCTTGCAGGGCTTCTGAGCACTCCCTACCTTGTTCCTCTTTACGGCCACCTCAGCCGCTCCCTCCGACCAACATCTCCTGGCCACCTGTGTACTCCACTCCTCTAACCCAAGTTGAGAACCAAAGGTCTCACCAGAGATGTCCCTGCTCCTCCACACTAAATCACTATGAAAATCAAATTGGCAAAGAGCCTACCCCGGTACCTACATTGCAAAAGACCTAGATTTCAACACACTTTCCAAATACACGCTGCGCATAAAACAATTATATCCTGGATGCACCCCAGATAGCTGAGGGCTGTGCAATTTCTCTTCTGGTGCCAGGATGTGGAGAACAAAAACCTAAGTAAATCCTCCTATCTGCACCAGCAACACGTGTCCACCAGGCATTCCTCTCAATCTTCACAAACCCAAATTCCACACCAGCTGGCAGGAGGGTAAATGCAAACCCAATCAGACTTTTTAAGAAATTCCCTGGGAAAATAAGAAGTGTTTAGATACATAATGCTAGTTCTACCTTCTATAGACTGTAAGGCACCAGAGTTTGAATTTAAAAGAAATATACTTAGGAAATAAGTAAACTTTTTTCCATCACTCAGGTGGGATTACTATCATCATTCCTGTTAGTACTAACAATCACGAGACATTTTCACATCATTATAGATCCTACTCACTTTACAGGTTAGGAAACTAAGACTTAAGAGAATTAAAATGTTTTGCCCACGGTCCTATAACTAGTAAATACTTAGGGTCTAATTTTTTTAAAACAGCAATTTTTGAAAGGGCATTCTGCCTAAACCCATTTAAAAATACTGAGAACTGCCTGGTATTAATAAACACCTTAAGAGGAAAACCCAAAAGAAAAACAATAGCTTCAGTTATTTGTTGGGTTTTGTTTGAGGGGAGCAGCTTCTCTAATTCAAAAGCAATACCCACGGCCCAATTCTGATACTTAATCCCCTGTCCCTTTTATTATTATTAAAAACTAATTTATTAATTTAATTGATTTTGCTGAGTGCCTATATATGTACAAGTTTATATACAACCCAATCCTCTTTAAATCATGTAAACACAGTATTCTAAATCTTAAAACTACTTCCTAAGACCATCAAAAATTATGCAACATAACTTCCAGTCACTTTTAACACATTGTTTCCTCTCCTCACTGTATGTCCTCTTTCAACGGCCCTCCTAAAATGCGTGCAGTGCCCTGTACATCTCCTATACATGCAGAAGGCAATCTTAGCATTCATTCTCTTTACACCAGTGTCTCAACTAACACTGAAGGCTGTGTAATTCTTCATGGCAGAATACTGCCAAATATCCTCCCACCCCCTGGGGACCAAAGTCACTTGCTCACCGAAAAAACTACTTAAACTAGTCAAATACTACCATTACCAAGTATCAACACAGTTATTTCCAAACACTTATAAGATCAACTATGTGAATTCTTCACCTCTTGAAAACGTGTAAATTCAACAAGAAAAAAACTGAAAAACCCAACTGTGAAGATGCAAATCTCATCTGATAATGCAAATAGTTTTCAATTAGAACCATATAAAATTTTCAATCTTTGCATACCATCAATATTACAATTTCATAAAGCTTTATCAAGTTTATATTCCCATTTGTTCATTCCAAAATGTTTCAAGCTACTTTCTTTGGTAATATTTGCTAAGAACAGAAATAATCAATTCAGATACTCTATTTTAAGGGAAATTGGTGTTATGAAGATATACTGAACAGTAACTGTAAATAAAAGTACCTAACTTCTCTCTTCCTTTGTAGTAACCACAAATTATGAAGCAAAAATTATAAAATCTGAGAGGTGGATCAATAAAGCTGAGGGAATGAATATCCAAGTAGATATGCATTCGACACAATCTGTGAAAAAATAAATTTGTTTGAGCCTATTATACAGTTCCTGTAGGGCCTGTCTGAACACTATATTCTAAAATACAGAAAACAGTATCAGGGTGTGGGTGTACAGTGTACCATATGACATGAATGCACAAGGCCTTGGGGCTTGAACTCCAGCAACAACGAATAAACACAAAAAAAGGATGAAGCTGGGAGTGATGGTGCATATCTATAATCCAAGGCTGAGGCAGGAGGATCTTTGCGAATTCGACACTAGCCTGGGCTGCAAAGTGAGTCTAAGGCCAGTCTGAACTGCATTGCCAGACTCTGTCTCAAAAAAGCCAAAACGGAAAAAGAGACAAAAAAGGTAAAAAGAAACAGAAAAATAAAATTTAGTAACATTTAATTTAGCCCAATATAGTCAAATATCATCATTCAATAGATGAGGATTTTAAAAATTACTGAAATTGCACATTTTTTTCCTGTCGTATTACGAAAAACGTTCATACTCAAAAGCCAGTGTTGTATTACATTTGGACCACGTCTTAGTTCACACTCATCACATTTCAAGGGCTCCACAGCTACCTTAATAGGTAGCTTCCCTTTTAGAGCAGGTTCCTAAACATTCCTTAACTGATTCAGTAACTACCACATTTGCCTACTTTTCTGCATTTCCCACTAAAGCTGACAAAATCTTCCACAGAAGAAGAAGGTATTCGCAATATCCACAAAGCTGAAGATAAAGTTTTTGCAAATAACTAAGTGTCCGCACTGGAAACCAGGGCCTCGGGCACGCTGGGCCCCAGCCCTCCCCCAAGCCACACCCCTAGCCCCAAGGAAGCTCCGGGAAGAACGCTTAAGTACACTACTCAGAATCCGCTCTGCGCGGCTAAACGCTGAGGACCAGAAGGCTGCGAGCGTTTTCCGGCGCCCAGGCACCTAATCGATGATGACGATGATGATGATGATGATGATGATGATGATGATGATGCAGGTCTGGGCTAGGACTGCTCTGTATCGCTGCAGCACATAACTGCGGGCGGTGCTGGCTCAGCGTGCCGGGGGACATCCCTCAGCCCACCCCCCGCTAGCCGCCCGTCCGCCCGGAAGCAGCTGCAAGCGACCCCTTACGGGCGCGGCTCACCCGGCCGACCGCACTGACCCACGATTCCGCCGAGGTCCTGGCCCAAGCCCGCCCATCCGTCCCCAGGCCCGCGCCGCCGCCCGCGCGTACCGCCCCAGATGCCCAGCTTCAGCTGCGACTTGTCAAGGTTCTCCACGTAGTCCCCCAGGAAGCGGTTCAGCAGGTCTGCGACCACCGACTCCAGCACCATGGCGCGGCCGCGGCGGGGAAGGCGGAGCCGGAACGAAGTAGGCGGCGACCCGGGCGGGCACCCTGCCCCTGCGGCGGCGCACCGCCCAACCCGCACGGAGCGTGCTCCGTCCGCGCAGGCGCGCCGCCATCGGAGCGAGCGTGGGACCTGCGTGCCCGCGTGCGTGCCTGCTTGTGCGCGTGCGCGGGTCCGGTCGCGAGGGGCAGAACCAGGGCACGCGGGTACCCGGACCGAGGCGATGGGCGCTGGTAGACCTGGTCGTGGGCCAGTGCGGTCGGCCGGGTGAGCCGCGCCCGTAAGGGGTCGCTTGCAGCTGCTTCCGGGGACAAACGCGCCTGGAGACGGCGGAAGGAGGAGCCCTCCCTCCGCGGGGCTTCACCACCCGGAGGGCACCACAGCACCCAGGGCTTCCTGTTCTTCAGTCTCCTGACTGTGGTTGCCAGTTCATCGTTCCCTGTGTCTCTCGCTGGCTTTGAACTGGCTCTGCTGTGCTGTGACCTCAAATGGGAATACAGTATATGCGGGAATGACCTTCAGCCTAGTGAAATGGAACTGCCCGCTGGGATACCTAATCTCTGCAGAAAATAAACTGCCGACGAAACAGTTCTCTGAAAAGCTGTTGAAATCCCATAGACAGAAACCTAAGACACGCTAGGATTTACTGTAGTCGCAAGCGTTTGTTGAATGCTTTACTGCGAGGCAGTTAATCCCAAAGACTATGTATTTATTGCTCTTGACATAAGTTTTTAAGGATACAAAGTACATATTTCTTAAATGCGAAGTCCTTTAGATATAGAGAAGAAAAAGTCACTTTAGTGAGTGGAACAAAGGGTACAACCTAATCAGAGAAACGAGTGTTAGTGATGCCTTGCATACTCATTCCTAGTATTTCTATGTAAACTCTTGAAAGAGTAATGTATAAATGTGCTCTTACATGTTCGTTCCATTTTGTTATGTGTAAGCTATACTTTATTATGCCTAGGTAGGCATTTCCATATAATCCTCACAGAAGATTTTTACATCCATCAGTTCTCCTGTAACCGGACACAACCTTCAACACCCAAACCTAAAGAAGGACAGGTTAAATTTGACTCATTTTAAGGGGATCCAGTCCATGGTCATCTGGTTCCAAAGAAGATGTATCATGCAAAAGCAGTATCACCGAGCAAAGCTGCTTAGTTCTTGGCAGCTGGTGAGCGGAGAAGGGGAAAGGGACCGGCTATAGACCCCAAGGGTCACACCTCAGACACACCAGGAAGTGTACTCCACAATCCAGACTGCAAAGCCGGGTTAACCCTCCCACAATAACTGACACAGCTGGTGAGACAGTAAGTCAGGTAGTAGTACTGTCTGCACAATGTAGAAAACTGAAGTAATGTTGTGATTTACTTAAAATGACACAGCACAGAACGTATTACCTCCCTTTACTTCACTGAGCCCCAGCCCCATTTCTCTGCCAACAGTTACACAGTTTAATCACCACGGGGTTACTAGTAATCCTCAGAGATCTTCCTTGAGAAAGATAATGCCAAAATAAAAACTTGGAAGGTGGAAACTTCAGCTCAAACTTTTTACTACAAATAGTAGTATCATATAATTAAAAAATCTTACTATCTTCCATTTTCAACTTGTTCTGAAAACTTGTTATGGGCCTCCAACCCATTATAATGCCCCAAATCTTCTGTATTTTTAAGGAGTCAGATATGTACAGTCTCAGTTTAAAACAAGCATAGCTAATGTCAGGAAGAAACACCACTGGCATCCCTCAAGCACAGCTCTTTACCAGAAACTGCATACAGAGATGAACTGAAAAAAAAAATCCCATAATTATAATTCTGATCTTTATTCTGGCTTTTTGGCAATGAGGACAATAAAGGCAATTACAAAACAAAAACTACAGTGAGGGACCGAGTCATAAAAACAAGCAAAATATTTCTGTTAAATTGCAAGTCAAAGTTAGGCAATATTTCTTAAACATCAACAACTGTTTAAATTTTTTTTAATTCTAACTTTACATCACCTGACATCCACACCTCTGCCCCGACCCATCCACCCAAGAGTTTTTGGAGGAAAATCAAGGATTTGGGGACAAAAAAAGATGCTGAAAAGGCCACAGCATAAGCAACTATGTCATAAACAGTAAAATTTAGGAAGGTAAGCTAGGAGGAAGCACAGTGTTAGGGCCAGAAGTAAACTTTAAGTTTGTCTGATTAATCCAATCCCTTACCAGACAGATGGAGACACAGAAACCCCCAGAGAACTAAGGGACTTGTCCAGTGCCCCACAAGTCAGTGACCAGGTAAGGTTAAATGCACATGGCCTGCCCACTTGGCCTGTGTTCCTTCTAACTCTCCATGTTCTACCAGATCAAATAGGATGCACACATCAGAAACTAGTATTTTATTCGCTTTAAGCTCTCTTCTTGCTTTGCCTGCTATCTAATCCCCTATGTATTAGTTTTGTGAGTCTGCATCTTCCTTCTAATCAACACATCCTAACTGCATATTTTGTAGTGTAATGTTTTGATTCATGTATAGTGATCTAACCAGGATAGTTAGCATACTGATCACCTTAAACTTTTTATCGTATCCTTACAGTGAGCACAGACTCTCTCCTAGGGACGTTGTGATCTACAGTGCATCATTGCTAACTACATTCACCCAACTGTGCCATAGGCCAGCAGAATTTATGCCTCATCTAACATTGTACCCTTTCACTATTCTCTCCCTCACCTCCCTCCCAACTCTGCTTTGAGATGTTCAGTTTCCTTTTAATCTGCAAGCACCTCTAGGCTTGGTGACATGCAATCTGTTTACGCTCACATCACGAATTGTTTTCCAGCTCCATTACCAAATGTTCCTATGGCTACAGCAATGAGCTCAGGATGACCACAGTATTCCTCTGAATAAGTCTGTGACCCTGTCACATCATCCTCCTGAGTCCTGGCTGGCTCACACTTCTGAGTTGAGTAAAAATAAGGCTTAGTGTGTAGTCAAGGGCCCCAGGCACTCAAGGGCACATCTCTGCTGATTTCAAAAAGCATTGTACACGAAATGCTTCTTAGGTATTACTGAAGAAAGTGAATCATTAATTTTAAAAAACACTAAACCTTTGTTTGGCTATGCAGAGAAATGTTTTTAAAGGAACCTATGTGAATCAGCTAACTCCCTGACAAGGAAACAAGCATAACAACAACAACAATAATGACAGCTATTAGTGGGCATTTTGTGCCTGCTAACCATTTTCATAGGTGATTTTTTAATCTTTACAGCAGTCTTACATCTTATGTGATAGACCCTACCCCATTTTACAGTTTGGGCTTGGAACAGATTAATGAGCTGATTAACAACATCTCAGCCAACTTCTCAGCCTGAACTCTGACCTGTGCTCCTCTTCATTTTCACCAGAGGCTCTCTCTGCTTGCACAAAGCTAACAACGCATTGTTTAGAAAGAAAAGTTGAATAAGAAGTGTACCCTTTGGTAATTATCATCCCACAGTTTTAGCTTCAGCAAAAGAATTTGGACCAACGGCCAAGGATTTAGCTCAGTGGCATAAGCACCTGCCTGGCAAGCACGAGGTCATGAGTTTGATCCCTGGTACCAAAAAAAAAAAAAAAAAAAAAAAAATTGGACCAGGAATAAAGGTGGTATCAAGATAGAAAAGAACTGTCTCTAGAATAAACTGCAGGGCTCTCCAATCTTACCTTTCAAACTAAATGTCTAACTGGTGTTCAGAAGTCTCTTCTTAGCCCAGAGTGATGGCACATGACTGTAATCCCAACACTTGGGAGACTAAGGCAGGGGGATCATTGTGAGTTCAAGACCAGCCTGAGCTACAAAGTGAGCGCAAAGCTAGTCCGACCTGCACAGTGAGATCCTGTCTCAAAAAGACAAAAAAAAAAAAAGCCTCTTCTCCCTCAGAAGACAGAATTCAAATATATCATTATTTAATAATAATTCCTCCTCCCCCTCCTTCTCCTCCTTCTTTTTCTTCTGATGCATGAACATAACTGATATCACCTGGAACAGCCTGGACCCACCTGCCAAGCACAGTGGCAGGGACCCAGAAAGCAGTCAATTAATACTGCTTTGAGTGAATGAATGAACTAATTAGCATTTGTTTTCCTCTGTAATAATAAACACAGTATCTGACATGAGTATGCAAAGCTCTGTGCTAAGCAGTTCACATGCATTCTCTTAATTTATACCGTGACAACAATGCAGGTAAACACCATTAGTAATTCTAATTTGAGATGGAAGCTCCGAAAGGCTAAGTAACTTGCTCATGGTGAGCTCCCACTCTGATATCAAAATCAGCTATGAGTTCCGACCCAGTTTCTTCAACCATTATGCAATATTCCTGCTATCCTCACCAATAATAACCACTGCTCCTATGTGTTTACCATGTGCCATAATTTATATTATCACAGGTTTCTGAATTTAACCCCAAAAAACATTCACTGCCCATTAGTGGGTATTATCTCCCCCGCCTCCTCTCATCAGTGTGTGACCATGGGTAAGTTATTTGACCTCTGAAACAGTTTTTCACCTATAAAACAAGGATGGCCAGAACTCACAGGGTTTCTGAGACAATCCTAGAGACTATATCTAAGTCACCTACACAGCAACTGTGTGCTCTGGGAACAAAATACATACACCCTCTTCTGAGGACACCTTCGCATGGAGGCAGTTTAATTCATTCAACATTATTGGAAAAGCAATTTGAAGGCAACATGTTAGACATCGTACACCACGCCCTGAACAAAATGCTCAACTCTCTATCTGCCAGAGCTAAGTGGAAACAACTCCCCTACAAAATAAACCCGAGTCAGTTTTCAAACTGAAGGAAAAGGGTTCCTGGTTGGCCAGATACGGTCACAGTGCCTCCAAAGATGATTCCAACAGCCCAGACATACTCAGGAATATATTTCTTTAAAAAAGGAATATATTTTCCTAAACAAAAATCATACATGGCTCAAGAAATAGGTTATGTTTTTTAATTGAAGTATAATGTACATACAATAAAGGGCCCTAATCTTCAGTGTACAGTAGATGATTATTTTATATGTTACACCCATTTCACCCACCCAGGCCGATATGGAAATTTTCCAGCACTTTATGAAATTCCTTCCAACCCACAGTGATTTAAATTCAACTCAGCCCATCTAAAGTAAAAACAGAAAACCAGAAAGCAATAAACAACTTAAAAAGCTGTGCAACGGAAACACAGGATTCCTAGAAGGGTAGTAAGAGTGAAACAAGCCCTACTTTTGTTTTCTTCTGAAGGGTGAAAGCAGAATGTTCCCGCATTCACCTTCCTTTGGGGTTTTGATCCTCAAAAATGACCCGGTTCCATAGTCAATTTAATCCTCTTTGGCACGGCAGGAAACAAACTTTGACACACCAGGAAACAAACACGGTTCAGGGTTTGGGAGAATACCTTCACCCAAAGCAGGAAAACCCACAGGCTGCGAGTCTGCCCGGCAAATCCCGACACGTGGCAGAGGGATAGGGCAGGGCCTGGCGTCAGGTTACCAGGCAGCGCAGCCAACGCCAGCTGGTATAAAAGCTGAGGCCAGCTATCCCTGACGTCGGTGCTGAACCTGCAGCGCGAGCTTTCAATTCCCGCGAAGCTGCGTGCCTCTTCCGGTGGGCGACACGAAGTCATCTAACACTGTTTGGAGAAGCAATTTACAAGGTAACATCGGGTACAAGCGGGACCCGAGCGGCGTGCTCAGTTCCCAGGGAAGTAGAGCTCTGCGGGGGCTGAATCTAAAAAGGGAGAACAAGCCAACTTCCCGGAGGAGACAAATAATAATTCTGGTTGGGAGCTAGAGTACAAGAGTCCCTTACGGATTCAGGGCACCAAACCACAAAGCCGAGCGCCTTTTGGCACCAGGGCGACCAAAGTCAGAAGCCAGCACTAAGAATCTGTGCTTTCGGTCAGTGAAGGGAAGCACAAAGCTGCGCGACCCCAAGTGCAGCTGACAGGACAGGAGAAAAGCAATGTTCCATCACTAAACAACAAACAGTTCACAACCGTGAGCTACAGTCAGCCCTGTCCCAGCAAGGCAGCGAAACCGCAGAGTGCGCCGTGCGGGTGGTCTGTGTGCTGCAGGGAGTCAGTCCTGGGCAGAGAGTAACCGCGCCCGCGCCGGCCTCACATGTGGTGCCTGGAGCGGCTGCTGCGGGGCAGGGACCGGATCCTCAGGAGTCGCGCCCGCCGCTCCAAGGCGCGCTCCCCCGCCACCTGCGCCAACGTGCTTACCCCGGACCGCATCCCCGAGTTCTGCATCCCACCGCGACTCGCGCCTCGCTTAGCCCTGGCCGCCCTCCAGAGCCCCCGGGCGGAGGAGGTCGCAACAGACGACGGCGCCAGCTGCACCGACTGGGACCCGCGCTCGCAGGCTGCGCTCTCGCTGCCGCACGTGCCCCGTGCGCGCACCGCCTACGGCTTCTGCGCGCTGCTCGAGAGCCCGCACACGCGCCGCAAGGAGTCGCTCTTCCTCGGGGACCCCGCGCCGCGCCCCCGGGCCCGCACCTACGGCGGCGGAGAGGTGGGAGCCGCGCCCCTCGCGCCCACGCGGGCACCAAGCAGCGCTGTCCCCTGCCCGCCCCGGGACACGCCCGCCCCGGAGCCCCACAGCCGCCGCCGCCGCCGCCGCCGCCTCCTGCGCGCCTCCGACCGCCTACTGAGCCGCGCGCTTCGGGCCCGGGGGAGTCGTGGCCCAGCCCGCGCCCGCTCGGTCTCCAGCGAGGAGGACGACGACCACGACAGCTACGGCAACGGTGACGGTGACGAGCGCCACAAGGACGCGCAGCCCCCGATCGAGCGCCTGCAGGCAGAGGGCGCCGCGGCTCTGGATCCCGATCCCGGCGCGCGCGGCGGGCGCCTCCGCCTGCGGCTGCTGCGCCCCGAGAGCCCAGCCACGGACGCCCCCGAGTCCCGCGTCTCTTGCCGCAGCCGCCACCTGGCCCTGCGGCCGACGAGCCCCACACGCGAGCAGCGCCGCCTGATGCTCGGCTGGAGCCGGGGGTCTGCTGCAGACCCGGAGCCAGACTGCACTGGGGCGTCAGGGGAGCCGGTGCGCCGTCTGACTATGCGCGTCCGGGTAGGGCACACAGGGCGCCCACGGGCACGGGGCTCCCTAGTGCTGGGCTCGCTGCTGCTGCTGCCCTGAAGATGCACCGTGGACTCTCCCACACTGACAGCTGCTCTGTACAAAATAAATGTGTTTTATCCTTTTATCCAGTGTTGGCAGAGATGATAGTGGATTGACAATCACCGTAAAGGACAGAGGCGTGTGTGTGTGTGTGTGTGTGTGTGTGTGTGTGTTCACACCTTGAAGATTTTTATCACAGTGATGCTCTGCAGTGTTTTCTAGTGGAGAGAGCCAACTTCATTTCATATGTACCACACTCTAGAAATACATCTTCATGCAGTGTTAGAAAGAATGTCTTCATTTTGAACTTACTTCATTCCACAACAACTACTGAGACCATTTTAGAGCCCTCGTTACTTTTGAAGCAGTAAGACCCTGCAAAAGAAAGGGAAGCCAATGGACTGGAGGTTTAGCTCAGTGGCTCAAGGTTGCCTGGTAAGCGCAGACCGCGAGTCCCTCCCTGGAACAAACAAACAAACAAACAACAACAACAAAAAAAAGCCAAGCATGGTAGAAGGACTTATCTAAGGCCGACAGTGAATTATTAGCGAGAATTCTAACCTGATTTTCATATCTACATCTTGCATGAAAACCACTGGAGAAAATAAAATCATCTTAGTAGTTTCACAAGTGCGTACCTGTGTAATTCTCAGATCAACCCTAAATAGTATGCAATGCTGTCTCCACTTTATGGAAGCCACAGAATAAAGAACGGAGTCAGGATTTGAACCTAGGCCACCAATACTTAACACACTCCTCTTGGGTAAGTCATCCCACAGTGAACTAAAGCGCTCACCTCGTGAATATGGTGAGCGGCTTCAGCTGCTCTGAGATTAGTGTGTATGCAGTTGAAATGAGGAATTTATACCAGTAACATCAGATACTGCGTTGTGCTGGAGGGTCCGAGACTTTGAGACCTCAGGACCACAGAAACGGGGTGACCTCCCCTGATTGGCACCAAGTGAACCAACCCACCAGGGCAATGGTATGAAGAGTGCATGTGACATTGTTCCACTCTGGCATCTGGTAGTGATAGACGACTATTTTTAAAGGACACTTTTCTGCAGGGTGTGGTGGCTCATGCCTGTAATCCCAGCACTTGGGAGGCTGAGACAGGAGGATCATTGTGAGTTCGAGACCAGCCTGACCTGCACAGTGAGACCCTGTCTCAAAAAGATAAAGGACGCTTTTCCTTCATCCCTCATAGTCACTGCCAACCAAGTGTCTTCTTCCTTTTTAATGCATATGAGAGGAAAATGTGTTCTAAGTGAGAGTTCAAAATGTTTAAACGGGTGGCACTGTGTTAACCATGGCAACGTGAACCCTCTCAATTCAGAATTGCTTTCTGCTTTCATTCAACATCTGGACAGCTGTAGGTGCTCGTGAAAAGTACTATTTAGAAAAATGTTTCAGTTTCAGTCACAGCTCAGGCATAAACTCAAAGTGGGCCACTCTGTATAGTGTTTACGTGGTGACCACTGACTGACATCGAAATCAACCACATCCAGAAGCCTGCAGTGGTGACCATGTGAGTGACGACGTGGTCCTCATCTCACCTGTCCTTTTACCTCCTCAAGGCCACCACTGCTCTATCCCACAAGCCAATAGTCACTTTTAAAATGTGTCACCTTCTTGGTGACTGCAGAATTTCAGTAAAGTAACTAATACTGAGGTTATGTACATCATACTTTAAAAGAAAAATGCATGGAGAATGAGAAAAAATAGCTATGTAGAACATTGTGAGCTTCTCTTTTTCTATTTTTAAAAATAAAAAGATTATATTGATGCTTTAAACAGCAAGCCTCTATTCCAGAAGATAGCGCCACCACTACTGTACCTCAATTATACTGTCATTTAATCAAGTGCATTTATCACATAGATTTCCCCAAGACAAGTCAACTTATTTCAGTAACCTAAGTTTTCCATGAGATAATGATGGTTATTTCCAAACAAAATTTCCATTACTCTAATGCCAAGTTATGGTTAATCAAATAATCTAACAGCCTAACAAAAGACTTTAAAAGGATTAAAATACAATCATAAAACCATGGAATTTGAGTTGAAAAGAATTTTTAAGAATCATATTATTGCATGTTTATATACAAAATGTATCAGAGTGCCAAATTTTAGATTGTTTCAAATCTAAAAAAAGTGATGGGAAACAATTCTACCCTCACTGTTTTCAACCTAATGAAGCACTTATGCATGTGTTATTTTATGAATGAATTAAATTAAGTGATCACATTTAGGAAACTTGTAATAGGAAATACTTGTGATACCAGCTTTTCTGTGGGCAGATTTCAATCTGATTTACACTTGCTGTCCCCTAGTGGAAATGCCAAGTATCTTTTCAGTGGCTTTTTTTTTTTTTTTTTTGCCTTTTTATTAGATTATCTCAATTAAATACAACCCATGGTTATACCGGCACCCAACTCTTGGAAGATGTTGGTATTATTATACTGAAAATCTCATATAAAAATAACTAAATGCAGCTTAGATGACAAAATACAAGAAATGGATCTAAAAAACAGATAAACTTTTCCTCTTTTACCATAAACCCTCAATATCCTCAGAAAATTAGTCTGGACACCAAACCCTGAGCATGCTCAAACCCTTCATATAAATGTGGCATAACATTTGCATATGAGCTATAAACCTCCTGATTCACATTAAATTATCTATATATTACTTATAACACTTAACAGAAATGCCTAAGTGCATACATAAGTAGTCACTAAACTGTGTTTAGGGAATGGTGACCAAAAATGTCTGTACATAATAAAATACATATGCAACTTTAAAAAATATTTTTGACCCTCAATTGGAAGAATGTATCATGGAGTACATATTGCCATGAATAAAACAGACTGCATATTTATGTGCCCCCAAAATTTGTGTATTGAAATTCATTCCCCAAGCTGATGGTAAGCCTTTGCAGAGCTCTCAGAAAAGGATTAATGCCCTGATACACTAGAGGGATCTTTCATCACTTCTGACACGTGAGAATACATGGAGATAGTGACTAATTATAAGGAAATGGGCTTGTCCAAAAATCTAGGATGTTAGTGCCTTGATCTTGAACTTGCCAGTCTGCAAATGCAAGAAATAAATGTATTAAGAGCTACCTACTCTATGATACTTTATCATAGGAGCCTAACTATGATGGTATCCCTAACTAGGCAGGGAACAAATAGTAACATGGTCTTTGTTTTCATTTGACCATTTTCACAGATAATGTCTAACTTTTACATACACTTAAAGCTTCTCAACCAACCTTTGGGATAGTTACTCCTGTTGTATCGGGGAAAGGTGCTGTAGATTGGCTTTTTCAACACCCAATCCAACTCCCCCATACAATCGGTTCTATACTACAGAGGCTAGAAAACAAAGCCCTATCTGCACAAACCATTCACAGCTTGGGAAAACCATGTGACTCATCAATGGTCCAGAGAGAGTTAGTAGATGGTGCCTCTTCCTCTGTGTCCCCCTAGAATACACAGCGACCCTCACTCAGCAAGCAAGACCTAGATGTGGGCACTGATCTTCCATGCCATCTCTGGCAACCTCCACCCTAAACTTATATCTATGGACAAATACATCCTTCACTCACAATCAGATCTATATGAACACACTCCTAACTATACACAATACCCACTCCACAGAGAGCACCTAGATTAAAAAGAGCCAAATGAGCTGCATAAGATCACAGTGCATATATACCATGAATTTATGGGCAGACTTCTCAGATATCCATGCTCACTTCTTTTGTACATCTCACTGTTTCTCTTTGGGTAAGTCCACTTTTTAAAAAAACTTGAATATAACTGACCTACTATAAGTTGCACTTTTGTAAAGCAAACACTTTTGTGAGTTTGAGACATCACTCCACAAAATCGCTTCTTCCATCAAGGTAATGAACATATCCATCATTCCTAAGAGTTTCTTCATGCTTTTAGTAACCTTTCTCTCCTTCCTTCCTCACCTGTCCTCTCCCATGTCTACAGGATGACTGGTATGCTTTTTGTTGCTATAAAGTAGGTTATAATTCAGTGAGCAGGGCATGATGGTGCATGCCTGCAATACCAGCACTCAAGAGCCTGAGGCAGGAAGATGGTCTTGAGTTAGATGTCAGCCCGGACTACACAGTGAGACACTGTCTCAAAACACAAAACAGAACAAAATTAGCTTGCAATCTATAGAATTTTATGTAAAAGGGAAAATAAGTATACATATTCTTGGGAGGCCTGGCTTCTTTCACTCAGCATTACTATTTTGAAATGTATCCATGTTGCTAGAGTCTGTTCCTTTATATTGCCGATTCTGACAACTTTCAAAATTGGTAGTGCTGGTATATTATAATAAAGTATTTTGCTCTTTGAACTCCTCCTTCCCATTCTTTAGACTACTGCTGTCAACCATTTCACTTGTACAATCATTGATACCTTCATGTCTGTCACTGACTTTGGGAAACTTCTGTTTACCTTTACTTTAAACAGTTTATTTGCTCCTTTTTCTCTGTTCCCCTGAGTATTCTAATTATTCATGTTACACCTCCTGAAATAGTCATAGCGTGGATGTTGTGCTCATCACTTTCTTTTCCTCCATCACGTTTCCCTTTGCCTTTCAGCTTGGGGAATCTGTCTGGCACAGCCTCAAAGCCTCTGACTGTCTCTTGGTCATGCTCCATTTATTAAGGAAGCTATCAGAGGCTTCCTTTATTTCTGTTGCATTGCTCAAAATTTCTATCACTTCCTTTTGACACTTTTAAATCTATTCAGAGTATATATCTGTTCCTGTGTGTTGTCTACTTTTCTCATTATAACCCTTAATACATAAATGAGAGTTAAATTCCCCATTTAATCCTTCCAGAATGTGTGTCATGCACAAGTCTAGTTCTGATGCCTGCTTTGTCTATTCATACTGTGTTATTTTTCTTCTCTTTTAGTGTGCCTTGTATGCTGCCCTTTGCTGGATGTGATGCTTTCATAGAGTATCTGCCTCATACTCCGTATGTGATGTGTCAGGAAGGGAAAGTTGTGTATAATCCTACAGTGACATTTCACTCTTCTGGTGGAATATTGTTCT